ATGCCGATCCGATACGCATCTCGATACAAAGAATACGATCCGATATATTAGCGATACATTTGTGACATATTGCGATGCAACACGATACGATTCACACCCATATCACGATACAATGCGATAATTCAGCACTAACTAATTAAATCAAGTTTATGAGATGATGTGAAAGAGGATGCTGTGCCATTGAATGAGTTTGATTATTTATTAACCAAGCAAAACCAAGACTTTTTTTTACAAACTGGCTTTTCTCTCAGAGCCAAAGTGTCAGTTTACAGTAGAGGGCCATTTTAGAACATATAGCACATATTATTTAAGTATTTTCAAGATAAACAGAATGTATAAGTGCAATATATATTAAAATATATATATTTGCACTCTTGCAACATAAAGGTTGAGCATTGCACAACAAGAATTGTGATTTAACTTTTCAAATATGTAAACAAGTTTTACAAAGATATATTTTGCCACTGATTATTCAAAACTTAAGGTCGTGAACTAGCAGTGTTATGCTGCTTTGAAACATCACTGTCACTGTAAACAACAGGCTAATAAAAATATAACAAACCAGCAATCTTCTTGCTGTGAGGTGGTCAAACTACCCACTGTGCCACCGTGACACCCATTATTTTTATCATTATTATTATTATTATTATTAAATAAAAATTAACAGGAGGAGGTGTTTAAAACCTTCGTTCTCCGTGACACTAGGCTGAATATCTTTGCAGATGGACAGGGCTGGCACTGGAAGATGCTTTCACAACAACACTGGCGCCGCTTCAAGTGAGATTTCAGATTACTCGTACTGCCCGCGTATTTTATAGATGCAAATATTATGCAAATTGCATCTGTCCTGTCAAGTCGTCCATCCTTAAATCCATAAGGTTGCCATACTTTAGATTTAAAACTCAGTGGGAACTAAAATGTTTGTTTTGCTTCTCGCGCTTTCTGAGGGCGCACCACTAGCTTCATCCGCACACCTGATACACTGAGTTGTAGTGTAAGTGTACACATCCGCAAATCCATTGCTAAGGCTTACTTTATGTAGGTCGATTAAATTATGCTCCAAAAACAGGTCGACAACACTTGTTAATAAATAAAAAATACATTCTATATTAAAAATATAAGCTGTATCTTGGAAAAACCGATGCATCTCGCAAAAACCGATGCATCTCGATTTGCTTCCAAAATTTCATTCATCCTTTGCTGCTCAACCGATGCACTCGCATCGTGCACGCGCATGACCGCGTATCGATACATATCGATTAATTTTCCCATCCCTAGTTTATTGAATTAAATGATTCAATAAAAAATTAATCATTATTAAAGTTTCAAATGACGCAATTTCTAATGCCTCTATGCTTTTAAAATCCTCATGCTGCAAAAACACATGCAAGTGGTAAACTCTAATTCAAACTCAATATTGCATATGCTGCGATGTAACCATTGCAATTGATCACATTGTATATCGATGCTGAAATGATATATTGTGCAACTCTAATGGAAATGGAGGTTTATGGCTCGGTGCAGAACATGTTCATTTTGAGAAAAATCTTTAAAAAATATGTTCTCTGAAAAAAAAAAAAAAACTCAATGACAAATGTTTTGCATTTTTTATACATTAATTAGTTATTCAGGTTTCAACAATTTTATTAAAATTTTTTAAGTGATTCAAAGCTGTTTAAAGTCCACATGAACTGGAAAAATTTTAGGGGGTTCTCTAACAACATGCATCCAAGGTCAAAAAACACTTTCATGGTCTTATAATACGCATTTATTTTTACCTAATTATCCAAATGACTCTCATATGATTTGTTCAATGATTCATTTGTTCCCAAACTTCTTGGCATGATAATAATCTGAGCTGATTGGTCGACTGCATTCTGTGTGAGATGAAGAGAAATTCCCACCACAGCTTATCAACATTGTTGAAGTAGTCAGAGTGCACAGTGTATGTGTGAGCCCAATGCAGGAGTGCATTAAAGCAATGCAGTTTAACACCAGCATATTGCTCTATTCTTAACCATAAGTAAAAAAGTGACACATTCAGTATTAATCCACACAGTGGCGAAAGCTGAACTATTTTGAAACTTGACTGCCGCACGCGTGTAGAAACAGCTGACGGTGGCCATATCAACGACAAACGGCAGAGAATCATGAGCTCACAAACGCATTTAAATCCGTAAGCAAAGCGGCAAGTGTTGCGTTTTCAATGTGGTTTTAGACGCGATATGAGAATATGAAGAGTTAATCAGATACAGTACAAGCGGTTACAAGTAACAAAACACAATTAAATACATAATTTGCAAGCTAGAGAAAACGAGGCAGCCATTTTAATCACACTTGCTTACACTTGTGAAATAGACCAAGAAACTGGTCCATGAACTGTACTGTAAAGTTCCTTACATCAATAGTCTTTTCTGATCCTTCCAAATGGCCGACAAATCCCCCGTTGTAAGTGTGTAGATTGCTGAAACGCTCATCAGAAAAATGACCGGAACACAGCACAAGGCTAGGGCTATAATGAGATATTTTTGAAAACATTTTTGCAACTTTAACCACTGATTCTTCACAGCCTCGTCTTTGGGTAGGGAAAATAACACTAATTTTCTTTCACACTTCAAAGCACAGCATCTCTGCGACATGATTTAGCTAGGATCTGCTAAAGTGTTTGTCTTTTTTTTTTTTTTTTTTCTAGTGTTTGTGGGCGAGACCGGGAGTTTAAATTTTCCCGGGTCTGCGAACGCGAGAAATGGGCGGGACTTGAGTTCCATAAAGACGTCACACCGACAGGGCTAAAGACTCGTTACAGCGGTGATTCATTCGAACCACTATGAGGGGGGCAGCGTTTGTAGGTGGAGACATAGAAAACAGGCATGACTAGTTTTAGCTGAAGATCTTGTTTTAGGGTCTTGAATAGATCCTGAGGTTTCACCTGCCCTGACCAGCTTAAAAGTATCATCCAAAGCTAATGGCACAGTCGTTGGGAGCCTGCCTTTAGCATTTGCATATATCTATATAGTTAATTTAAAGCTAGATTATATTAATTCATATTTCCACAGCTGTCTCTTTAGGAATGCATATCACTTATACTCTTATGCAGTGTTCTTAAACAGTATTGTTATGAGTTCTGAAAACATGAAGGCAGTATTATTTCTCATATGATTGACTGCATGTGGGGGTGTGGGGGACTCTTCCTGTCCAACAATCGGACAGCTGCTGTCATGCCTTTTATGTTTAAAGCTGATCAGCCAACATATCAAAATAGTTTTCCCATTTTTGGCGCGGCACATTGTTGTTCCCCATTCTATTTTCTTCTCTTGGCCCTGATGAGCTTACATGTGTCTTTTGTTCTCCATGGGGCGAGCATGTTCTCGCTCTCTAGTTGCCTTTTTAAGTCCTTTAATGACTATGAGAAGGGGACTGGTGGATTTTGTTAATTAAAGATCATAACTTAATTTGGGTTCGTCACGTTGCCAAGTTTTTCATCAGTCAGGAAAAGATTTTTTTAGAAGGCATTGAGGGTTATGAGTTTCTAAATGCTGCGTTCTGACACTTGTCAAGATGCAATATGTGGATAAAAAATTACTTAAAAAAACAAGCAAACAAACACCAAAACTTGAAGTCTAAACATAGGGCATCTTATTTCTGTATTGATTTATAACAGTTATTCTTATTTGTAACATTGCATTATTTACTGCCTCTTTACTGCATGTTTTTACACGTTTTACTTTTAAGGATAGTACATTTAGCATAACGGAGTTAAAAAGATGTGTTAAAGGTGTTGTATGTTAGTTTTTGACTCTTCTAAAGCCTAAAATACCATAATATTTTTGCAGATATTTAAGAAATAAGCCAAGTAAACATTCTTGTTTATCTGAAAAACATTCAGATTGAAACAAGAAATAAGAGCCGTTTCTAATATATCAATTTGTGGTGTTGCTTAGATTATTTTCCATATTAAAAAGAGATGTTCTGTCATCGCGTGCCGTTACTTTTTTATCGAACACGATTTACCTGTTGGTCATCAATCTGGCAATCTGCGCTTGCATTTGTTTTGATTTCAGGAATGCAATAACTAGTTCTACCACTGGGTGTCAAACTTGCGTACTGCACCTTTAACCTATGTGCTCATAAAGAGTTTCTATTGTGCAAAACATGGTATTTTGAGGATTATTTCTGCCTTTTTTGTGTTAATATAGATAAACAATATTGGACAATTGTTTTGTTATCCAAGTCTTTTTTTTATTGCAAGAATTGCAGTAAATCAATCATATATATATATATATATATTTATATATATATATATATATATATATATATATATATATATATATATATATATATATATATATATATATATATATATAGCTTTACACTAGTTTTTTTTCCCTATGGTAGCCGATGGCTAACAGTTTCCTTCATACTTTTAATATCTTTTATCATGTTTAACAGAGAAAAACTCTTCTTTTAACTTTTATCACTCAAAGGTCTGAAGTGGAGGATGAGTAACTAATGAGAGAATTTTCCTTTTTGGGTGCACTGTCCCTATACTTCTTTTGTAGTAAGGTTAGGGCTGAGCCAATAAGCAATCTTATATCGAACTGCAATAAAATTAGTCAATAACAATGTTAAACGCTATACTTGTGTTTTTTTTTATTTTTTTTTTTTTTTTTACTCTGAATTGATCTAAGAGCCAATCACACAGTAGAAATGTGCAACTATGGGAATCTAAAAGTGTGTTCATATTAGAGATGTACCGATTTATCGGCCAAAAATGTTATGCTATTTAATGGACCCTTTAATTTTTGTGGCTTCTGTCATTGTTAGGGTACTCCTTTTTAAATCTGGAAACATAAACAGCTTCTATTGAAATGTATATCGTTATCGTTCAATATGGAAAAGAATTATTGAGATTACGTATTTGCCATATTGCCTAACCCCAAGTAAGGCTTGTAATTTTACTACATATTTGCTTATGAGCTAATTATTTATTTGTTTTCTAGTGGGTGATAAGGTGCCTGCCGATATCCGTATCAGTGCCATCAAGTCCACCACACTCCGAGTGGACCAGTCTATTCTGACAGGTAACACTGTTTTTTTTTTTCGTGTCTGTATTTAAGTTTCAAGTGTGTTTTGTCTGTGGATTTACCATAAGTCAAACATTGAGTAAAAAAAAAAAAAATTCAAAGCACTTCATGTGATTTATTTCTCCTTTTTTTTTTTTTGCAGGCGAGTCTGTATCTGTCATCAAGCATACTGACCCCGTGCCGGATCCCCGTGCCGTCAATCAGGACAAGAAGAACATGTTGTTCTCAGTAAGAACATTAAATATCAACTAAATCTTGTTTTGAGCTTGGTATCGATTTAGATGCACCAATTCAATTAGTTTTAGTGATTAGAGATTTAATACAAGGCTATTGATATTTCAAAAAGTAATCTGTAAACACTTTATTTCAGATGCATGGTGTGTTAAAACAAAGTTTTTAAATTAGAATTAAAATGTATTTTATTTTATTTCAAGAAATTATTTGAATATTTAATAAAGAGGTCTTCCATTTAAACATTTTGTAAATTTCCTACTGTCAATATTTATAAAAACATATTCTTTGATTTAGTAATGTACATGGCAAAAAACTTAATTTGGATATTTTAATGCCAATATGCTCTCTTTTTATGCTTTATATTTCTAATTTCAGATTAATTTGAGAAAAATTTGGAATTTGCCAACAAAAAAAGAACTGCTAATAAAAACCAAGCAGTGAAAAAAAAAACTAAAATATTGCAATAAAAAAATCTTTTTTTTTTTTTAGCTATTAATTTTTTTTCTCAATACTTTATTTTTGTTTCTTTCTAAAAATTACTAAAATACTTAGTTTTTTGTTTCTAAAAACTTTCTATGGTCCTATATGTGGTATATATCTATAAGTAAATATGGTCCTAGATTGACTCGGTTAAATGTGTTCCATTTAAGAAATTTTGTAAATTGTCTTCTGTAAATATTTTAAAACTTATTAAAAGATTTTATTAACATTCTTTGCTAAGAACTTCATGTGAACACTTTAATGGCAAATTTCTATATATTTGCATTTATTTATTTTTGTACGTTTTATCCAGATTTAAATGGTTGTATTTTTGTTTATTCTAACATAGCCCTAACAAACCATACATCAGTGCAAAACATATTTGTTGTTTATCTTTCATGTGATGTATAAATCTAATTCCCTTTATTTTGTATTTTTTGCACCATGCTATTTTATTGCCTTTGCAAGTGAACTGAATGTATTGAAGTACAGTTGAAGTCAAAATGATTAGCCATCCTGTAAAGTTTTGTTTCTGAAATGATGTTAACAGAGAAAGGCAATTTTCACTGTTTCCTATAATATTTTTTCTTCTGGAGAAAGTTTTATTTTGGCTAGAATAAAAGCAGTTTTGAATTTTTTAAAAAACATTTTATGGTCAATTATTAGTCATCAGGCAAATTTTTTTCAAGTTTCTACAGAACATACCATACTTATACAACGACTTGCCTATTTACCCTAACTTGCCTAATTAACACAGTTAAGCCTTTAAATGTCACTTTAAGCTGAATACTAGTATCTTGAAAAATATGTAGTAAAATATTATTTACTTTCATTATGGCAAAGTCAATAGAAATCAGTTATTAGAATTTAGTTATTAAAACTATGATTAGAACTGTGTTTCTTTTCGGTAAACAGAATTTGGGAGGAAAAATATTCAGGATATGTAATAATTCTGACTTCAACTGTATATGCATTTTTCAGGGAACCAACATTGCTGCAGGTAAAGCCATCGGCGTAGTGGTGGCCACAGGTGTGAACACAGAGATCGGTAAGATCCGTGATGAAATGGCCTCCACCGAGCAGGAGAGGACGCCGCTGCAGCAGAAGCTGGACGAGTTTGGCGAGCAGCTCTCTAAAGTCATCTCCCTGATCTGCATCGCCGTCTGGATCATCAACATCGGCCACTTCAACGACCCCGTCCACGGTGGCTCCTGGATCCGTGGCGCCGTTTACTACTTCAAGATCGCCGTGGCTCTGGCTGTAGCTGCCATTCCTGAAGGTCTGCCCGCTGTCATCACCACCTGCCTGGCTCTCGGCACTCGCCGTATGGCCAAGAAGAACGCCATCGTCCGCTCTCTGCCCTCTGTGGAGACTCTGGGCTGCACCTCAGTCATCTGCTCCGACAAGACTGGCACCCTCACCACCAACCAGATGTCCGTCTGCAGGGTGAGTGAGTGAGTGAGTGAGTGCATCCTTTCTGCAGAAAGTTCGACAAGCCCATAAAATGGTTTTGATGAGTGCAGTTTGATGTGTGGACATTTGCTGTTGTAACCATAAGCTGTGGCAGATGGGCTGTAGGGTTTAGTTAATGATTTGATGTTTTATAATTGACTTCCCCATTTTTTTACATGTTAGTATCAGTATGTTAGTCTTAAGGATGTCTATTGACCTTATTCTAAAATGCGGAAGTCAACTGTTTTCCCGATTGTCTTAGAACTTCCGATTCAGTCGCCTATAGGAGAAACGACTAGAAATAATAAACGGCAGAAAACGGTCAAACTACTTGCTCTACAAACAAATGTTTGCATGACTATACAGACCAAGTAGAATAATATAATAGGAAAATACCAAATTGCAACATCTAGCAGCGTAATGAGCCGTTTTTAACGTCAAAATATGAATGGAAGTGAATGAGACCGGAAGTCTCGAGCCAAAAAGATTCAAATGGCAGCGCCCACTCGTCGGAGGAGAATAAGGTGAATAAAGTAGTGTGCTCCAAAGATGTGAAACCATCTAGAACATGGACATACCCAAAGCTTGCAGTTTGTTGCTTCAGGGGTGTCCAGACTCAGTCCTGGAAAGTTTAGTTCTAACCCCAGTCACCTGGGTTATCTAATACAGTGGTTCTCAAAGTGGGGGTCGGGACCCCCCTAGGGGTCGCTGGACAATGAAGGGGGGGTCGCCTGGTGTCCAAAAATCTATTTTTATTAAACCATAAGAATTACCATATTGTATTCATAACCTACTGAAGAGGAAAAATAGTCATTTATAATTACTATATACTATATAGATACTAGCTTATAGTTACTTGTTCTATTGGATTGCGACCCCTGTGGTAATTACATTATATTAAAGACAGATGCAGCAGATTGATTTTATAACACCAGGTTTAACTTTCTGGCCCATTTACAGCACTCACATACATTAAAAAAATTAAACGAAGATTAGACCTGGGTGTGTTGGTGTGTGTGCGCTATTGCATGCAAGGTTTCTGTCTTTATAACCACCTCAGAGGATATTGGGGGTCGCGAGTCAATGGCATTGTTATTTTGTGGGTCGCAGGCTGAAAAGTTTGGGAACTGCTGATCTAATAAAGCTCTTACTAGGCTTTCAAGACCCATCGTTGCGACTGTGTTGAGGCAGTTTAGAGCTAAAATCTGCACCGGCCCGCCAGGACCAAGTTTGGACACCCCTAGCTTAAGTGTATCAAATAATTTTTTTATGTCACTTCATACTTATCAAATCTTCTGACCAATCGAATGCTCTTAAGTAAATGACATGCCCTGCCCCGTTCAAGACGCTTTTCATTTGAGCTGATATAAACAAAATGCTATTGGCTGTTTTTATTTGGAGGAGGAGCTACCATAAGTCAAACATTGAGTAAAAAAATTTTATTTCAAAGCACTTCATGTGATCTTTAAGGATGAACAAATTTATCTAGAAAATCTTTTCACTGTGCTGCGTTTTTCATTCAATTAAACTAAAAAAAAATTGGATTTGGGGATCCTCTGCCATTCCTCCTTGCAGATCCCCTCTAGTTCTGTTAGGTTGGAATGGTAAACATTGGTGAACAGCCATTTTTAAGTCTCTCTAGAGATGTTCATTTGGATTTAAGTCAGGGCTCTGGCTTGCCCATTCAAGAACAGTCAAAGAGTTGTTGTGAAGCCACTCCTTCATTATTTTAGCTGTGTGCTTAGGGTAAACCTTCAGCCCAGTCTGAGGTCCTGAGCACTCTGGTGAAGGTTTTTGTTCAGGATATCCTTATACTTGGCCGCATTAGTTTTTCCTTGATTGGAACCAGTCTTCCTGTCCCTGCAGATGAAAAATTTAAGAGGGTCTGAATACTTTCCGTTCCCACTGTAGTTAAACTAGTTATGTTACTCGGGTAAATGACATGCCTCGCTCCTTTCAGGACGCTTCTCATTTGCTTTTCATTCGATGCGATTAATATGTACCACTCTTATTGGCTGAGCTGATATAAATGAAATACTACTGGCTGTTTTTTGGAGGAGGAGCTACCATAAGTCAAACATTGAGTAAAAAAACGTAATTTCAAAGCACTTCATGTGACCTTTACGGATGAACTAATTTACTAAGAAAATGTCTTTTTATTGTGCTGTGTTTTTCATTCAATGAAATTTTTATTCAGAGGTAGATGTACAGTGGGTACAGAAAGTATTCAGACCCTCTTAAATGTTTTCGCTCTTTCTTTTTTTTTTCTTCTTTTTTTGTCTTTTTTTTTTTTTTTTTTTTTTTTACATAGCAGCCATTTTGTTAAAATTAAAATTCGTTTTTTTTTATTAATAATGTACACACAGCTCACCATATTGACAGAAAAAGACAGCATTGTTGACATTTTTGCAGATTTATTAAAAAAATATAAATATCACACTGAAATATCACACGGTCCTAAATATTCAGACCCTTTGCTCAGTACTTAGTGGAAGCAGCCTTTGGATCTAATACAGCCATGAGTCTTTTTGGGAAAGATGCAACACGTTTTACACACTTGGATTTGGGGATCCTCTGCCATTCCATCTTGCAGATCCTCTCCAGTTCTGTCAGGTTGGATGGTAATTGTCTCTCCAGAGATGCTCAATTGGATTCATGTCAGGGCTCTGGCTGGGCCATTCAAGAACAGTCACAGAGTTGTTGTGAAGCCACTCCTTCATTATTTTAGCTCTGTGCTTAGGGTAAACCTTCGGCCCAGTCTGAGGTCTTGATGCCCTGTCCTGCATCTCATCCTGCAACTTATTTTTCCTTTCCTTTTTTCTTTGTTTATGGCCCCCAAATCTGTAATTCTGGGAGTAAGAGTTTGTACTTTTTTATTTAGTTATTTATTTTTTTAATTTGGTAAAATCTATGAACTAATTGGCAGTTTTTTATTTTATTTATTTATTTATTTATTTATTTTTTTTATCGTCACTAATTTTTTAATGTAAAATTCTCGCTATTAACGAACCATTAACTTTTAAAACTTTTCGCTCAATAAACGACTCCTGAAATACCCAATTCAACTACAGCGCATGTCTTTAACTTGTGGGGGAAACCAAAGCACCCAGAGGAAACCCACGCCAACATGGGGAGAACATGCAAACTCCACACAGGAATGGCAATTGACCCAGCCGGGACTCGAACCAGCAACCTTCTTGCTGTCAGGCGACAGTGCTAACCACTGAGTCACGAAGAATAAAAATTAGGTTATTACTAAGCTATTTGCTCTAGGTGTGAAAATGAACAGAGCTTTGCATGTGATAAGTCACAGCTTTTGTGGTTTTGATAATCTCTCTAATACACAGTATCATGATTTTGACTTTTCAGTAATTTTTCATTTTGCATTTTAAACATTTGTCCCTTTTCACAATTGCTAATCACTGGAAACTCGAAGATTGTAAACATTCTGAACACCATCCATCTTTCTCATCCTCTGGCATTTTTGGAAATGTGTTTACTCTAACTTTGTTTGGTTTTGCTGCTCTGATAAAAATCTTCCCAGTCATTTTTGGAAATGAAGTGCTTTGCTGCAACTTCCTGAACAGCAGAGATGGAGATCTCTGTCACAGCACTGATATGCTCACACTGCAGAAATACAGGAATGAACTGCATGATGGAGAGCTGAAGTATCTGAATTGTCAACTTGTTATTTTTTTCTCATCACTCATTCTTTCTCGGTGTGCTTTCTCCACCTTTTCTATGTGCAGTTCTGCTAGTTTTAGTATTTATTTAAACATAAAATCATTCAGGACAGACTTACTGAGTCACTGAATACATATAATCTTCTTATGCTAATACTTGCTTATGCTGCCATCTTCTGACAGCTAACTTTTTTTCAAACAAAATCCTTCTAGACGGCCAGCATGCTGAAGTTAACAACTTTTATCGTAAAGGGAGTTCACACAAAATTGAAAATCTCCTCTTCGTTTATTCTCTCATATGGTTTTAAAGCTATGCGTTTCTTCTGTTGAACACAAAAGAAAATACTTTAAAGAATTCTGGTTGCATTCGACTTCCTTTGACTTCAATAGTATTTCTATACCTACTAAGGGTGCCAGCAACCAGCATTTTTCTAAATATCTTCTTTAATGTTCAACAGAAGAAACCCATAGCCTTAAATCCATATGAGAGAGTAATTGATGACCTACTATGGGTGCCAGCAACCAGCATTTTTCTAAATATCTTCTTTCGTGTTCAACGGAAGAAACTCGTAGCCTTAACCGCGTGAGAGAGTAAATAATGAGGGGATTTTCAATTTTATGTGAACTTTCCCTTTAAGGTAAAAGTTGTTAACTTCAGCATGCTGGATTGGATAGGCTAGAAGGATTGGGCTAAAAAAAAATAGCTGTCAGAAGGAAGTTCAAACAGGTTTTGAAAGTAAAGTGTAAGTAAATGATGACAATTAAAATTCTGTGCTGCAATATTAATTTAAAGAAGCCCTTTACCCAAAAGTTCTGTTGTTTAGAAAATAAATAAACTGATCTGAAACAACATGAGTTGGTGTATAAATGACATGTTCGTTGTTTTCACGTGTGTTTGTCTTCTAGATGTTCATCATAGACAAGGCTGAAGGAGAAAACTGCTCACTGACTGAATTCACCATCTCTGGCTCCACATATGCTCCTGAAGGAGACGTGTGAGTGTCCTCTTCTTGCACTGATATTTACTTGTGCTAATCAATGCTTTAGATTAATTGTTATTTAAATATCAATTACGTGTATCTTTTTCAAGCATTAAACATGGATGTCATTACCCTGTATTGTACACTCACCGACCACTGTATTAGTACCGGGTTGGGTTGGACCCCCTTTTGCCTATTTGAGTTACTGTTGCCTTTCTATCTGCTCCAACTAGTCTGGCCATTCACCTCTGACATCAACAAGGTATTTGCGTCCACAGAACCCCCGTTGGCTGGATATTTTCTTTTTTTGACCATTCTCTGTAAACCCTAGAGATGGTTGTGTGTGAAAATCCTTGTATATCAGCAGTTTCTGAAATAGTTAGACCAGCCGTCTGGCATCGCCAACCATGCCACGTTCAAAGTCACCTTTTTTCTCCATTCTGATGTTCTACTTGCCTCAATGCATTAAGTTTCTGCCATGTGATTGACTGATTGGGAATTTGAGTTAACCTAATAAAGTGGTTGGTTAGTGTATAAAGTCAGATGTGACTTGATTCAAAACATGTATAGCACATACGAGAGGAAAATTAAGAGCATGTGTGAATTTATTAAATATTCTTTGCTTCTGTGGTTGGAGGAGCAGAATGGGTCATCCGTTTTATGGTCCTGGGTTGTTTTGTTGTGCCATGTCCATTGTGGAGCGTATTATCAGATTGGAACATTTAACATTTGTGAAAATGTAGTGTATAAATGTTTATCCATCTGAGGTACAGTTGAAGTCAAAAATTATTATTCCTACTATAAAAATATTATTATTATTATTATTAATATTATTATTATATTCCCAAATGTTATAAAGTTTAATAGGTCAAGAGTTGTCACAATATTTCCTATAATATTTTTTTCTTCTAGAAAAAAAAGCTTTTTTTATTATTCTTTTTTTTATTGCCTAAAATGAATGTTTTTAATGTAAAAAAAAAAATTTAATTAATAATGAAAGTTTTATTGGACCCTTTAGGAAATATGTGTTTTTCGATTGGCTACAGAAAAGACAATGGTGATCCAACTTGCATTGTTAACATAATAACCTAGTTAAGTCTTTTAATTACTATTTAAACTGAATACTAGTAACTTGCAAAATAACTAGTAATTATTATGTTCTGTCACCATGGCAAAGACAAAAGAAAGTGTTTGTTAATTATTAACTTATGTTTATAATGTTTTTGAAAAAATGATCTGTTAAACAACAACACTGGAAATATTTTTAAAATAATTAATTTCACTGTAGGGGCTAACAATTGACTTCTGCTCTACATAAATTGAGACAATCATGAGTGTTTTCTTTGCATATTCTCCAGAATTTCCTTAATTTGTGCAATATCAGATGCTCATTTAGGAAATAACACTCTTATTGTAAAAATTTTCTTATTGTTTTTTCTCACATCTAATAACACATGCAGCAGTTGCCACTTGCCAGTGTAAATATGAGGTGACGCTATTGAAATTACACTAGTCATTACATTTAATCATTAAATCCTTCAACTAAATTTTTCAGTCATCATTTTTTTATAACCCTACTAGCCTTTTTATTTAAATTTATAAACATTTTCCTATGGGTGCGGATGCTTATGTTCTGAGTGTCATTTGCACATCCTGTTATGCAGGTTACATGGTGCCACTGAATTATAGCTTGTGTTATTAAAGTCCACGTGAAGCTGAAGTAGCTGAGACTTTAATTTCAGTATGTGGATGTGCTTCAAACTGACCCTGATGAATTTTGAGTTGGTGGCGGGGCTTTCTTTTTGTGCATAATTTCCTCATGGCAAACTAATGGTTTGGTTAAGAGTATTGGGGCATCAGTTTTGATTTCACACAGACTTTAAGGTTAATGATTGTTTGTTAATTTGAAGTCAAACTGATGCACATGATTGCACTTTTTTTTCTCAGCTTCTGTTTAATTGGTACTTTATTCAATTGTTCTGTTTGGTCTTTCAGATGCCTTGACAACAGAATCGTGAAGTGCTCCCAATATGATGGTTTGGTGGAGTTGGCGACCATCTGTGCCTTGTGCAATGACTCCTCCCTGGATTTTAATGAGGTGTGCTTAATCATTATCCTTTTTTGGCTGGATGATATAAAGAAAAATTCATAACTTGTTGGAAAAATATATATTTACAAAAGTATATATATAATTTTTTTATTAAAAATGATTGAAAAATAATAAAAGGCTTGTCACATCACAAGTATAAAAACAACATGTATGCATATTTTACTTTTATTATTTAAAAAATAATAATAATAGTGCTTAGATTATTCAGTTTTGAGTTGCCCATAGCTAGTGATTGGTATCTGATTTCTGGTTATTTATGTTTTTTTTTAACCTTTTGAAATTTTGGTTTATAGCAACAACTCATTTTTAGTCTAAATATTACCAAAAAAATAATAAAAAAAATTTTTTTGGATGCACCAAAATTTTCAAATATTTCCCATGTGATGTTTTTAACAGAGCAAGGACATTTTTCTTATATTTTTCTTTAGAAGAAAGTCTTAGCATTTTCTTTTTTTATTCCTAACAAACTAAAATAAATAAGTTAAATGTTATTAGCCTCCTTAAAGGTGCAGTAGGTGATTGTTTTCAGAGACATTTTTTGTTGTACTTTGTGAAGAGACTCTCAACTTCCAGTAGTAATATTTACAGTAAATGATCTAAATGTGTTTATGTATTTTTATTTTCTGGGTAAGACTACAAAAATGTTAATTCAATTAAATATTGTCCTGCCGACAATTCCCATAGTTCTGATGAGTAGCCCAAACTTTCTGTAACAAATGTAGATTTGTACAACGTCGCATCTGATCATGCAGATCCGCTATTTTCGTGTACACGTGTGCATGCGCACCAAGCATTCATGTGCAGACGAGACGCGCTGAATCAAAACTTGTTAAAATCCTGAATCAATATTGGAGTTACTTTTGCATGCTGGAGGAAGGATGACAACATGGCTGAAGTATTTCTCTTAGACAGGTAATGTTCTGTTTTAAAACTATTTTAGTCACACAAAGCTGATGTAGAATGTGTTGTGTTATGAATGGGTTATATGCACAGACGTGTAGTTCAGCCACTGAAACTTTACGGTAATAGATTGATGTGACTATTTTCAGTTCCATAAGGGACCTTTTACAGCATCGGTAATGTATATTTTTATTTAGTTTGACAACAAAACATCAGTAAATAGCGCCGTTCGACCTAGCCTACTTTTCTGTGGTGAAAATGCTTTTATATTCACATTGGTTAATTTTTGAACAATGACACCCTGTGATGCGCTCCCTATAGTGTTTACCATGCTACTCTGAATATTCACTCTGAAATAGCATGCAAGTATGGCTTAGTAATAAGTGTAATTCCTGTACTCCGCCGGCCAACTATTAAGCATACAGTAGTCGATTTAGAACAAGGCGTGTGATAGAGTGAGACCATTTAGACAAGTGTTGCTTGCTACACAGCTGAAAGCATGCTAGATATAATACAGTTATTAGATTAAAAGTGTATTATTATAAAGTACTATAAAGTTTTCTAACTGGCGAATGACAAGAACTTGTGGGTTATCTGTTGTCATCTTTAAAGTGCACACGCTGGTGTTTCAGCAGCCGTGGCTTTGGACAGCAGAGGAGGGACAGTCAAAGATATTATGCTAAGCCGTTAACGTTTTGGCAGATCACCTGCTGCACCTTTTAAGATTTTATTTTTTTTATTATTTGCTACAGTACAAACCACCATTGTCCAATGACTTGTTTGATTAACTCAACTTGCCTAGTTAACTTTTTTAACCTAGGTTTAAGTGTACACACTGACAATTGTTAAATTGTTAACTGATTGATAATAAAGCGTATTCGGCATGCTGTCCCGGGAGAGAGCCCTGAGCTCAGAATATCCTAGAGTTCGGGGCTCCCACCCTTTTGAAGGGCGAGAGGAGAGTTTGAGCTCAGGTAGGTCTCGAGAACCTTGTGAGCGTGATGAGATATTTCTGGCTAAGAGGGTTTCTTAAGATGCTATTTTTAAGTAGTCATTTTACTTGCGGTGTATGTTTTTTGACTGTGGGAGGAAACCAAGAAATCCAGGGAATACCCATGCGAACACGTTGGAGAACACGCAAACTCCACACAGAATCGCTGACCGGCTTGTAGAAGGGCCGAACCAGCGGTGTTCTTGCTGTGAGGCAACAGTGCTGACCACTGGGCTGCCGTGCCGCCCTATCAGAGAAGGGGAGGAGTAGGGGTGGAAGGGGGGATTCTTTAAGACGAAGATGACTGGAGTAGAAAGCTCTGGTAATTTATAGTGTGTCAGTATTCATCTTATTGGTGCAAATATAAGGAGCTCATATGTGGTACCAGCTGTTTTCAATCATAAACACGTGATCCTCACGAAATTAGTTTATTATTAAACCACATTACAAGTATCTTTCTAAATGGCTAGAAAAATATGATGTACTGTCGTCATGGCAAAGACAAAATAAATGAGTTATTAGATATTAGTTAACTATTATATATAAAAATGTGCTGCATCAAATTTTCTCAGTTAAAGAGCACTTGGGAAATATTTAAAAAAGGTAAAAATTTCACTAATAATTTAGCCTTCATTCTGACATCACGTCATAGATGTCCCTGGCCAGTATATTGTTTTAATCTAATTTAATGTACCCTTCAAGGGAACATTTCTGATTTGATTTATAGTTGAGACATGATATGATCAAATAAATTCTTGATGATTCAGTGCATCTTTAAATGTGTTTGCTGCCAGTAGAGCAAACACTGTGAAAAGGACTCATGTTAAAGCGACAGTTCACTATTTTCATTCATTAATTTTATTTTCGGCTTAATCCCTTTAATAATCAGGGTTTGCCACAGCGGAATGAACTGCCAACTTATCCAGCATAAATTTTACACAGCGGATGCCCTTTCAGCTGCAACCCAACACTGAGAAACACCCACGCACACTCATTCACACACATACACTACGGTCAATTTGGCCTACCCAATTCACCTATAGTGCATGTCTTTAGACTTTTTTGGGGAAACCTGAGCACCCAGAGAAAGCCCACCTGAACAATGGGGAGAACATGCAAACTCTACACAGAAATGCCAACTGACCCAGCTGAGGCTCAGAGGCAACAGCACTACCCACTGTGCCACCGCGTCACCCTACCCACTATTTTATTTACTATTTTAGTTCCTTTTGTTCCCTACTTCTGCGAAAGACTTCTCTTTTATTGGTATGTCACAATCAAGGGAGGAGTCTGGCTTATTTAAGCAGACACCAGACTCGAGATCTTTGTCAGTTTATCTGGCTAGCGACCTGTTGTGGCAGAACTGTGCGCAATTATCTTTGTGTCGCATACTCTGTTATATAATGTGGATGTAGTGTTTGTTTTTGAGTTCTATAGAAGTCTTTATATTGAGTTTAGTTTTTTTGATATTGTATTTATTCTTTTGTACTCATCTTTTTGGGAAGCGGGTTACTGTACATGTTTGCACTGGATGTTTTTATCATCACCTTTGTAAATAAATTCCACCATTTTTCACACTTCCGGGAAAGGTCATCATTTATTGTGTTTTTGTTGGTGTCGGGCATTCCACGCCTCATAGTAAACCCATTCTGGGGGAACTACACAAATTACTACGTCAGCACTCAGGACATCCAGCCCTCTTACAAGTCTGTGGAGAGGATAGTTTTGGCAGCGTCGCAATACACAAAAATTCGGTTAGCTTGGCACTCATTGACTTCCATAGCAATTTTTTTCCTTCTAATAAAGTCAATGGGTTCCAGCAACCAGCATTGTTCAAAATATCTTCTTTTATGTTCAACTCATACTTTAAGCTCATAAGGGACAATATATGATGATGTAGTTTTTATTTTTGGGTGAATCTTTAATAAATGCAAACTCCCTTTCAGTCCAAAGGTGTTTATGAGAAGGTTGGAGAGGCGACAGAAACGGCTCTAACCTGCCTGGTGGAAAAGATGAACGTCTTTGACACTGACGTCAGGAACCTGTCAAAGATCGAGCGAGCCAATGCCTGCAATGCTGTAAATATTTTGACCACCAGTAAACAATTATGCAACTGCTTATTTAATTCTGATTTAATAACCCATTCTGTTTGTGTGTGTGCACTGTAGGTGATCAAGCAGCTGATGAAGAAGGAGTTCACCCTCGAGTTCTCCAGAGACAGAAAGTCCATGTCTGTGTACTGCTCCCCAAACAAAGCCAAATCCTCCTCTTCTAAGATGTTTGTCAAGGTACTGACTTGTTACCGATGGTTGCTGTATAGACTGTGGTTTTGTCACCTGCCTAAATGAAGGTGTTTTCCTCAGGGAGCTCCAGAAGGGGTGATCGATAGGTGTGCATATGTCCGTGTTGGAGGATCCAAGGTTCCTCTGACTCAGGGCATCAAGGACAAGATCATGTCTGTGATCCGCGAGTACGGGACTGGCCGGGATACCCTGCGCTGCCTGGCACTGGCCACCCGTGACAATCCGCTCAAGAAAGAGGAGATGGTCCTGTCAGATACCGCCCGGTTTGCTGATTATGAGGTAGGGCTGCACGATATTGTAAAATACTGACACTGCAATTATTTTAATATTCTGTGATTTGAAATGTGTGATTAAACTATTTACTAAGCTATGTTTTAAACGCATTTAAACTTGCTAACTTCCAATTTAATAAACTATTAATCCAACTGTTTTACTTGGTATGCTGGTACTGTCTAATGCATCCCAAAAACGTGTTTATTGTTCTAGCCAGTTAACTTTTTTTAGCAAATATTTTTTTTATTTACTTGAACTAAATTAAACTAAAGTTTATTTGTAAAGCGTTTTTCACAATAATTATTGTTTTAAAGCAGCTCTACAACAAGTGCATGTTGTTGTATTCAGGGTGTGAATAATACATTGGCGATCGGGGGCTCAAGTTTTTCGATTATGTTCAGTAATATGCCTCAGTAAACCAAAGTTACAAATTAAATTAAATTACATCTAATTTATAAATCAATCTTTTGTTTTTGTTTTGAGGGATATTGAGTGGTTCTCAATGGCATTTGTTATTATTAAATAAACGGTGACGGGTTTGCATTCCTGCACCTTATAATGGATGACTATGAAAGACGGCATGAAGTTTTTATTACTGTTGAAAGGGTCATGAAACACCAAAACACATTTTTAGTGATGTTGACAGTCATGTATGTGTCCCACAATGCTAAAAACACTATTAGGACACACATATTTCACACAAAAGTGAAAATTAATCGTTTTTCCGTTATTTCAAGCAAATTTGTTCTCACGTCTTGAAAAGAAAATTGAAAACTACGTCATGGCGATAAAATCCTTGTGTAAAACGTGGAGACTTGATGTCTGTACTGGCGGGTACAAAATTACATATTTGAGTTTTCAGCATTAATTCATGAGATAGACTTTGTTCGAACCAATCAGTGCGTTCTATTGTGAATGAGGTGGAACTTCATTAACATGCATGATATAGCTTCGAAGACAGAGAGACGCCACGTTGTGTTGCCAACCGTAATTAAACAATTTCTTCTTCCACTTGTTTTAGAGACATGGGTCGTCAGTGTTGCGTTAATTAATGTGCTACAACACAGATTTTGTTTTCAATCCCCTGCTATGAGAGCGCAGATGGACCCACATGTCGCGTTTTAGCAGACCACTGTAATCCACACAAGTATCTTTAAACTACTTTAACATCACTACAATATTATTGACTAAAAGATCTGCTGTAAATGCTGCTCTCTGAATGTAAACAACTTAATCAAACTTTTACCATCGTGTAGGATGTTCACTCCATTTTGTGAAAGGGTAGTCCATACACACATGGCTTTCTGACACTATCCTACCGAATGCATCTAAGTTACTGAAAAATGCACAGGGTTTTTTTCTCTCATACAGTGTGCGGTGTCAAACATTCCTTTAAAACAAATCTTCTAGTTGTTCCTCGCATCAAATATCTCTTTGTCACTGGGGGAATTCATTTTTTGGCACAAACATGCATTCACAATGGTATGAACCATTATAGGGGTGGTCAAATGTGTATTTACTTTATCTATTATTTTAACTGAAAATATATCAAGGATACAGATCAGATCAAACTATTTCTTAACAATTATAGGGCAAAACACCCATACATCTTGTTTTGATGTTCTTCAGGGGGGGATCAAGCGTTAAATAGGGTGGTCAGACCCCCCAACCCACCTTGTAATTCGCACCCTGGTTATATTACAATAAAAATCCGAAAAAATAAGGTTATTAGTTACCAAAACTTTATTAGTTACTTATAACTTGAACTGTTAAAAGCCATTAGTTACTTGTTAAAGTTATTATATATAAGCATAGTTAACCTGCAGTTATATGGGAGAGGTCATTACCTATTGTCATCTTAGTCATTGTCATAAACGATCTAAATGAAAACTTGAAAGGATCAAACTTCATGAGATTTTCTTAGTTTTCACTGTGAAGTTTTTATTTCCTAAACATTCTTCTCTCTGCCAGTCTGATCTAACCTTCGTGGGCTGTGTGGGCATGCTGGACCCTCCTCGAACAGAAGTAGCGGCCTCCATCAAGCTCTGCCGCCATGCTGGGATCAGGGTCATCATGATCACCGGTGATAACAAAGGCACGGCCGTGGCCATCTGCAGACGCATCGGCATCTTCTCTGACGAGGACGACGTCCACCGCATGGCTTTCACGGGACGCGAGTTTGACGACCTGTCGCCCCATGCCCAGCGTGAGGCGGTCACTGTGGCCCGCTGCTTCGCACGAGTCGAGCCTTCACACAAGTCCAAGATTGTGGAGTTCCTGCAGGGCTTTGATGAGATCACTGCCATGGTGAGCTGCCATAAGCTTGTGACAGATACAGCTTTGGAAAAATTAGTTACGAGATTAGTTTAAATTTGTTTTTCTTCTCTAAGACAGTGGTTCCCAAAGTGGAGTTTGGGACCCCCTGAGTTACTTGATGATTTCCATAAATTAATTTTATTAAACTATTAGAATTCCCATATTTTTGCCATAACCTACAGCAGATAAAAATAGTTTATTTATTATTTATTATTATTTATTTATCATTATGTATATATTATTATTTAATTTATTGTTATTATTATTATTATTATTATTATTATTGTATTTTATTATATATATATATATATATATATATATATATATATATATAAATTCTTTTATTTATTTATTCTTATTTTTATTTATTTACTGTTTATTTATTTGTTATTATTAAAAATATATATTGTGTAATTTTTATTTATTAATTTATTTTTTCTATTGGACTGCGACCCTTGGGGTGATTACATTATATTAAAGACACAGCAATAGCTTTAGATGTAGCATGTTGATTTCATGATACCAAGTTAAACTTTCTTACACATTTACAGCACTTACATACATTTAAAAAATAAATAAATAAACAATAGGCTTGGGCCTTTTTTATATTTATAGCAACCTCAAAGGATTTTGGCGTTGTTATTTTGGGGTTCGCTGGAAGGGTTTGAGAACCCCTGCTCTAAAACAACTAATGGTATTGTTTCCAAAATTGTTGAAATTTGTGCATAAAAATGCAGTTTGTATTAACACAATACCATTAGAAGAATAAGATTAGAAAAGTTAGGAAAGCAGTATTTTGTGGAAAAGCATTGATTTTTAGTCACAGCAATTGAAAACATCAAACAAACAAAGATACTTTACCTGACTTTTAAAAAATGTTGTCAGACCTTCTTATAGGTTTTTATTATTATTTTTTATATTTAACTTGTACAAATACCTATTAAATCCATTACATCCAGAGAAACTAAAAGTTTTCAAATAGACTAAATTTGTCCTGTAGCTTTAGTCCCAATTAATCCCCCTTTTATGCCGTTTGTTATGTTTGTTAGGAATAAACGTAACTCTGTAGTAGGCAAAAGTACAATGATAATCATTGAACATCAGAACATTCTTTTTTTTTTTTTGTAAAAGTAAAAAATACAGTAAAATTCAATAATCAATCCCTTCTCCTAATCATATATGGTATAATTGTCTCAAATTTTGTCAAAACATTTGTAGTGTTGATATTAATTAAAGATTGAATATTACAGTGATTAATGGTGAGGATGATGATAATAATAAAAAATAAATAAAACAATACTTTTTCCAGAGTGCACATATGTATTTGTATGGTCGTTTTTTTTCAGCAATATTATGATAATTTTAATCTCAAACTTTTTTGTTCTAACCAAAATGGTTCGAACAAGTCATGTGCAACAGTTCAGAAAACCATCGTAATAGCTAGTTGTTGTTGTTGTTTGTAACAAATGTTTGGTTGTGTCTCTGCAGACAGGAGATGGTGTGAATGATGCCCCTGCCCTGAAAAAGGCAGAGATTGGCATCGCCATGGGCTCTGGCACTGCTGTGGCCAAGACAGCCTCGGAGATGGTCCTCGCTGATGACAACTTTTCCACCATTGTGGCCGCCGTTGAAGAAGGCAGAGCAATCTACAACAACATGAAGCAGTTCATCCGCTACCTGATCTCCTCCAACGTGGGAGAGGTCGTCTGGTCAGTCCATTTTTATTATTTGTTTTATTATTGTTATTATTATTAGCTTTACAGAATTACATGAAATATCAGTCCTACAATACAGTACACATGAAACAGTACAAAAAAGCAAAAAGGAACCAAAAAAAGTGGATGTAATTCTATCTGTAAATATACACCTATTTTATGTTTAAGAGTGTAACTTTGGTTTGAAAAGTGGGCGGGGCACAAAACGGGAAGAAATGTTTTAGATTTAAATCCCATTTCCATACGTTCAGGGTCAAAATATTTAATTTCAAACTGATGTAAAAAAGTCTTTAACAATTATCTATTAGATTTCAACATTATCTTTCATTTATAAATTTAAGGAAAACAAACCAATAAATAAACATTTTTATGTTTTATTTATTATTAGTCTTTTTCCTCAAAGTGACGGCATGAGCTGCACTCAGCAGTGAAATTGAAACTGAAAGCACGCACACAATTTAAATGATCATTTTGCATATTAGAGTTATGATTACGACAGGCATTTGATATGTTTTTTCATTCATAGCGAACACAGTGTTGTGCATGAAAATACATCTTTATCAGTGTCAGTATAACTACTCTAGCCTTTATTATGAATAGTTGTATTCTGATGTTGTCACTTTACTGAGCATTAACAACCAGGACAAATTTAAAGTCAAGTTAAAATTTAACATTTTAACCAACAGTAAACCTACAGTACATATAGGCCTAATATTATTGTTGTTTTAACATATATTTAAGAAATAGCAACAATAATAGCCTACTCATATTAACCTTTTTTTTACATCTGCAGAATCGTGAGAAAATCCTGATATTTATTTTTAGCAAAAACAATTGTGATTCTCATTTTAGCCGGAATTGTGCAGCCCTAGGTTCAATTTCTTACATTGTGGCTAGTATGGCGCAGGTGCTAGAACCCACCTTTATGCATGTGTTACGTCGTAAATGTATAGCAAGTGTAAACCCATTAATCAGATATGGATCACAAAAAAACGATATAAGCACCAAATCAGAATTGGGCATCAAGACCTGACAGTGTAAACGGGGCCTTGATAAAAATTTTTAGAGCATGCACGTGAAGTTTGTGCATACGAATGTGCGCATAAATGCATGGTTAACAAATGGCTAAAAATATAAAAAGTGGGAAGGACACTAACGGTATTTTGAAACTATGCAAAATGTGGAACTATGACCCTGTATATGCTTGGATTTATACACGCGTAAAAGCATCAACACATACACTCTTGCACTCATATACATACATCTACATGTTTATACATGTGTACACACTTTCACACATATAATCATTTATACACACATGCATACAAATATCAAGTGGTTTGTTGTCTGTGGCTGATATTGATGGTCTCCTCCTCAGTATCTTCCTGACCGCTGCATTGGGTTTCCCTGAGGCGCTGATCCCCGTCCAGCTGCTGTGGGTGAACCTGGTGACTGACGGCTTGCCTGCCACCGCTCTAGGCTTCAACCCCCCTGATCTGGACATCATGAACAAGCCCCCCCGAAGCGCCAAAGAGCCCCTCATCTCCGGATGGCTCTTTTTCAGATACTTGGCCATCGGCTGTGAGTTTCTGTACAAACATACATATGCTGATATTGAATAATTCATTATATGGTGATAATGAACATGCACAATATTGATATCATGGGCACTTTCAAGATGGAGTGAATGTTTATTTATTATTTCAACTTTTAGAGTGGTTTTTAAGAATATTCACATTGTGCTTTTTAAGTGATATAACATTTGCTTGGAGAAATAATTATTTAGCTAATTTTCAAGTTAATCTGGCGTACTACATAATGAAATATTGATTGTAAAATGTTGTGACCTTAGGGGTAATGTACATTAACACTATCCGTCAATAATTTAATTAAACTCACAATGAAAACGATAAAAGCTTTAACTATATATGGTTAATTTCTCAGTTAATGCCTGATAACATTTTAAAATTGTATTCGTAAGCCGATTCAAAGTCGTAATTGTTTTATGACATTGAGTTTACAACTGATATAAGTTGGTTGTATTTTAAACTAATATTAACATAGTAGCTATAATAAATAAGCCTTCTCATTGTTAACATTTACTAAAGAGATGTAGTAGTCGTAGTAGTCGTAGTAGTAGTAGTAGTAGTAGTAGTACTAATAGTCATACTAGTAATAGTAGTCATACTAGTACTTGTAGTCGTAGTACTAGTAGTTGTAAATGTAGTAATGGTACTAATCGTAGTCATACTATGATTACTAGTACTAGTAATCATAGTCATAGTACTAGTAGTCGTAATCGCAGTCTTAGTACTAGTTGTCGTAGCACTAATAGTCTTAGTCGTAGTCTTAGTACTAGTAGTCATAGTACCAGTAATCGTAGTCATAGTACTAGTTGTCATAATTGTAGTCGTAGTACTAGTAGTCGTAATAGTAGTCATAGTACTAGTAGTGTTGCCCCCTTGAACAATGAATAGGACAGCCTTTTGATTTTCTGTAGATTTATTTGCCCCAGTCTTTTTTTTCTCTTTTTTTTTTTTCTGTACAACAACAACGATTCATTTACAAGAACGGTTCACTTACAGACTGAATCACTTATCTGACTCTTCTTCTCTTATGAACACACAATGTCTCTTTTCTCACAGCGCCCTCAATGGTGCATGTATGCATCCCTGTACGCTGTCCTCTCCAACTTATTTATATATAAACCACAAGTAAAATAAAGGCATTAAAAATAAAAGAAAACATGTATAATCCTTTTGAGGCCATTACAGTAGTCATAGTCGTAGTACTAGTAGTAGACGGAATTGTAGTCGTAGTACTAGTAGTCGTAATTGTAGTCAAAGTCATAGTACTAGTAGTAGACATAATCATAGTCATAGTACTAGAAGTAGTCGTAATCATAGTCGTAGTACTAGTAGTCGTAATTATAGTCATAGTCGTAGTACTAGTAGTAGTCAATCTTAGTCGTATTACTAGTCGTAATTGTAGTCATAGTTATAGTACTAGTAGTCGTAATCGTAGTCGTAGTACTAGTAGTTGTAATTGTGGTCTTAGTACTATTAGTCGTTATTGTTGTCATAGTCGTAATCGTAGTCGTAATTGTAGTCAAAGTACTAGTAGCTGTAATCATAGTCTTAGTACTAGTAGTCGTACTCATCGTAGTAGTACTCATAATGGTAGTAGTTGTCAAAGACGTAGTAGTAGTCGTCCATCATCATCATCATCATTATATTAGTAGTATTTTTAAACTAATGTTAACATAATAGCTGTAATAAATTCCTTTTTCTCACTGCAATATTAAATCTCATTAGTAAATGTTAACAAAGTGTTACCTATAGTACCTATTGTACTTTACAATTCTTTTTGCAGTTTAATTTGGTTGAAACATTTGTTTACTCTCATCATGTGTATAAAAGTAGGTAATGCCAAGCATTTTATTTTATTAATTTGCCTGTAAAAATAAAATTTTTTTGCAGCTTTTTGAAGTTCAGTCTGGAATTAATACCATTTACTGAGATTTACATATTCAGCAATTTAATCATAACACGAAAAACTCATTACCTTTGAGTAGATTTACTTACTTTTATATTAGTTTTAAGTTCTTTGTTTTTGTTTTTTTTTTTGCTTGCAATGTGTGAAGCACAGCTGGCACCTAAACCAAGCAGCATCTTTCTGGTCAATGTAACACATTTACATTGATCAAATCTTTGAGATTTCTATTGAAATAGCTGTATTTCACCTGTGAGCAACTTGTCAGAAATTTAAGTGTAACTTGCATATGCAAATATTAGTATTTAATAGTTTTATAGTCATGTATTGCATGTCTATTAACTTGTGTGTGTGATGTTTGTCAGGTTATGTGGGTGCTGCTACTGTAGGAGCTGCAGCCTGGTGGTTCATTGTTGCTGATGATGGTCCAATGATCACACTTTACCAGCTGGTACGTATCTCTGTTTTTAAATAAATGGTGTGTGAATCAGCCTTAGGAAATTTAGGATTCCTTAGGAACTTTCATGCATGGAAGACAAAACCGGCATATGCATTCTTTTATCACACTGTTTGCACATTTCATTTATATCTGCATCTTATAGCTCCTCATGGGATTGTGAAATATTGCAACATATATTATATGGGCAAAATAAAAAGTAATTTCATAGGATGTTTTATATCATTTGATAGGATTTTTACAAGTGCAATACTACAGAGATGCAGACAGCAATAGTAATTATTTTTATGTTTTACCTGCAATCATTCATTTTTGAAATCGTTTTATATTATTTTAGTAATATTTATTTCGCATTTGTACATTTTTAATGAAACTTGCCCTGACATTTTAAATAAAGTAAGATCACATATAAAAAAGTACATTTCTGAGTACATACTTTAAAATGTAAACAATAAATAGTGCTTTTCAAGTGGTCAATAAAAAACAGGGGTTGAATAATGATACTAATACTCTGGCTAATTTGGTGTTGGAGGTTTCATGGCTAAATTTGAACTTCATTGATTGTTCTTACTGGTGGGATGTGCAGAGTGTGAAAGTTTAATTAGCAGAGTTTAAATACAGTTTATGAAAGTGAAGTTGAACATCTCCCATGGCCTAGCCAGTCACCAGATCCTAAATATTATTGAGCCACTTTGGGGTGTTTTGATCCTGTATTGCAAATTGATGCTGTATTAGCCACAAAAGGAGGCCCTACACCCTACTACACCATACTATTGTGGTATGAAACCAGGTGTTTCTGTTTCATTGTCCAATTGCTGTACATAAACCAATAATTGGTTGAATTTACAGAAATCATACTATTTTGCTAAATATATTGTTATCAGCATAGGAGATGGCTTGTACCGTGATATGAGATTTTCTTATTGTCCTAAATCCTCCTTATCTGCGCTCTCTCTCTCTTCCTCTCAGAGTCATTTCCTGCAGTGTTCTCCCGATAATCCTGACTTCCAGGACTTGGAGTGTCACGTCTTCGAGTCTCCTTACCCCATGACCATGGCCCTGTCTGTGCTCGTCACCATTGAGATGTGCAACGCCCTCAACAGGTCAGTCCTCAAAGCACACAGCTGTCTTCCACATCACGTCTGACTGTGAGCTTTGTGTTCATGATGTCCTCTTTCCTCCTGCAGTCTATCCGAGAACCAGTCTCTGGTGCGCATGCCACCCTGGGAGAATATCTGGCTGCTGGGAGCCATCTGTCTCTCCATGTCTCTGCACTTCCTCATCCTCTATGTGGAGCCACTGCCGGTACAACACACACACACACGTCTTCATTTTCTTCTTAACACCACTAGTCAACAACTAGCCGATGTAGTGTACTGTAGATTATACTAGATTGGAGTCATGAAAAAAGTGGTTGCATTAGAAGTGGTGGTAGTTTATTTTATTTTTTAAATTTATGCTTCACTTTACCAGGATAGTCCCATTTGAGATGCAAAATCTCTTCTCCCAGGGAGTCTGAACTCATGGGACATTTCAAATGAGTTTGGCAGAAGATTTAGTACTATAGCTGTCAGTGTAAATGAACAAAGTATTACAAGTACAAGTTGGTAATTTACCATGCAAGGCCTTGAAGATAAACAGCAGCATGTGCACTTTCCTCCTTTAAAACAGTAGTAATAGGAAACATGATGTTGTAGATGATATCAGTAGTAAAGTCATAAATAGTAGAGGAAAAATGAATAGTAGTAGTGTGTGAATTAAATATAATAAATACTTTCTATAGTAATAGAAAATAATTTTAGTAGTACTACTGGTGGTGGAAATTTAGTAGTTGTGGTGATAAATAATTGTAATGAAATTAGAAGTAATGGAAACAAATTGGGTGGTAGTGGCAAAAGTAAAACTAGTTATCATTAAAATAAATAATACTGATAGTAGTAGTGAAAAATAAATTGTAGCGGTTAAGGTACTGGTGATTGAAATAAATGGTAGTGGTGAAATAAATTAATTAGAAATAAATTAGTAGTGATAGAAATTGTCATTGTAGTAGTAGTCATTGCAGAAGTAGTAATAGTATTAGTAGTCGCAGAAGCAGTCATTGCAGAAGTTCTCATTGTATTAGTAGTAGTAGAAGTCGTAGTTGTCGTCATTATTGTTGTTGTAGTAGTAGACGTTGTTGTAATAGAAGTAGTAGTTGCCATCATCATTTTAGTAGTAGTAGTAGTAGTAGTAGTAGTAGTAGTAGTTGTTGTTGTTGTCTCAGAATTTATTGTTGTAGTAGTAGTAGTAGTAGTAGTAGTAGAAGTAATAGTCATTGCAAAAGTTGTCATTGTAGTATTCGTCGAAGAAGTTGTAGTCGTCATTGTTGTAGTAGTAGTCGCAGTAGGAGTAGTAGTAATAGTAGTAGTTGCAGAAGTTGTCATTGTAGTAGTAGTAGTAGTAGTAGTAGTCGTCGCAGAAGTTGTAGTCGTTGTCATCATTGTAGTTGTAGTAGTTGTCACAGTAGGAATAATAGTAGTAGTTGCAGAAGTTGTCATTGTAGTATTCGTCGCAGAAGTTGTAGTCGTCATTGTTGTAGTAGTAGTCGCAGTAGGAGTAGTAGTAATAGTAGTAGTTGCAGAAGTTGTCATTGTAGTAGTAGTAGTAGTAGTAGTAGTCGTCGCAGAAGTTGTAGTCGTTGTCATCATTGTAGTTGTAGTAGTTGTCACAGTAGGAGTAGTAGTAATAGTAGTAGTTGCAGTAGTTGTCATTGTTGTATTCGTCGCAGAAGTTGTAGTCGTCATTGTTGTAGTAGTAGTCGCAGTAGTTGTAGTAATAGTAGTAGTTGCAGAAGTTGTCATTGTAGTAGTAGTAGTAGTAGTAGTCGTCATCGCAGAAGTTGTAATCGTTGTCATCATTGTAGTTGTAGTAGTTGTCACAGTAGGAGTAATAGTAGTAGTTGCAGAAGTTGTCATTGTAGTATTCGTCGCAGAAGTTGTAGTCGTCATTGTTGTAGTAGTAGTCGCAGTAGGAGTAGTAGTAATAGTAGTAGTTGCAGAAGTTATCATTGTAGTAGTAGTAGTAGTAGTAGTAGTCGTCGCAGAAGTTGTAGTCGTTGTCATCATTGTAGTTGTAGTAGTTGTCACAGTAGGAGTAGTAGTAATAGTAGTAGTTGCAGTAGTTGTCATTGTTGTATTCGTCGCAGAAGTTGTAGTCGTCATTGTTGTAGTAGTAGTCGCAGTAGTTGTAGTAATAGTAGTAGTTGCAGAAGTTGTCATTGTAATTGTAGTAGTAGTCATCCTTGCAGAAGTTGTCTAGAAGAGTAGTCGTCATTGTGTGGTGGTCGTCACAGAAGTAGCCATTATAGTTGTAACATTATAGTTTTATTTGTTTGACATTGTTGTTGTTTTGTGTGTGGTTCAGGTCATCTTCCAGATCACTCCTCTGAATGTGACGCAGTGGATGATGGTGCTGAAGATCTCGCTGCCTGTCATTCTCTTGGACGAGCTGCTCAAATTTGTGGCGAGGACCTACCTGGAGCCTGGTAAAGACCTGAAGGAGGAAAAGGAGGACAGGAGAGGCTGGTCCTTCTCTGCATGCACTGACGGCGTCTCCTGGCCCTTCATAGCTCTCACACTCCCTCTGGTGGTGTGGCTGTACAGCACTAACATAACCCAGCTCTTCCGGCACTCCTGACTGATCCCAGACCTGACTCCAAATAACCAGAGACACAACATTCATTAACAAGGAGCAACAATTACCCTTCACGTTTGCACACGCATCCAAGCCTTGTTTGAATTTTTATATATATATATACATATATCTCTATATATAGCGTATTGCTGTCAGAAAATAATGTTTTTTTATTATTATTATTATTACATTTTTAAGCTTTTTTTATTATTATTAAGTGTATATTTTCTCAGGTCGCTTTTTTTTGAAGGTTTCATGTCCAGAGAGTGAAACGTTTATCAGATTACTTTGTATATGTTGGGCTCTCTTTAGCTGGAGTTTGCGTATGGACGTTTATTTTGACGTCAACCGTCATTTCTGTTCCTCTTCGTCGTGAGGAAATCATTTTGCTTGAAGTAGATTTGCAGCTACCTCAGTTTCCGTCAGTTGCTTACTAAGATAGCTTTTATTTTTTATGCTCTATGGAAGACTAGCCAGATGCACTTGTTCCCTTCTACTACAACACTAGCTAGTTTGATTTGATGAATGCTTCAGGATGAAAGCTGTTTTTGGAGATGTTTACTTTACCATGTGTTTATAGGGACGGTGTAGTGATTTCTAATATTATAGATGAATTATTTTTATTGTAATGTACATGTCTGTATATAGTAGTAAATGAACTGAGCACAAATGATCCTCTTGGTTTTGTATTATAATGTTTAGGATGAATTCTGGGATGAAACCGTGCTGTTAGTTGACGAGTGTTGCTGGAAAAACAACTCTTAAATGGCACAAAATCAGTTCTTTTATAAGAGTCTTAATGCGAGTTTGTCAAACGCCACGCATAATTAGAAGCCGATCACACCGAACACACTTAGCCCTTCTGAAAACATGAGGCACACCTTAATGCCTTTATTCTGGCAGCTAGCACTCTGCAACTCTCACATTGTTGCCCACTGAAGCTAAGCAGGGCTGGATGGTAGACCACATGGGAAAGCTTGGTTGCTGCCAGAGGTGGTTAGTGAGGCCAGCAGGGGACACCAACCTGCGGTCAGTGTGGGTCCTAATGCCCCAGTATCTTTATGGAGACTCTACTGCTCAGTGAGCGCCATCTTTAGGATGAGGCGTTACACTGAAGTCCTGACTCCCTCTGGTCGTTAAAAATCCCAGGATGTCCTTCGAAAAAAGAGTAGGGGTTCCACCCTGGCATCCTGGCCAAATTTGCCCTCCAATCCAAACCCTCCCCATATCATAATTGGCTTCATCTCTGTCTTCTTTCCACCAATCAGTGTCCAGTGTGCGTGCCGGCGCAATAGGCTGCCATCTCATCATCCAGGTGAATGCTGCACACTGGTGGTGATAAGGAGATTCTCCCTATGTGTAAAGTGCTTTAAGTGCCCAGAAGAGCGCTATATAAATGTAAGAAATTATTAATTTTTGACAAGAAATAAACAAGTGCGGTGTTCTAGTGTGGCTAGGCAACAGTGTTGGGCACATTCCTTTAAAAGAGTAATTAGTTATAGGAAAGTCCGTTTAAGGCAAGTCATTTCACTCTGCGGCCATCTTTGAAAAGTCTCTCGGGCAGTATGGGGAAACATCAAATTCTCCAAAACTGCTTGCCAAGCTCACGATAACATTCCATACAATAATAAACCAATAAAATTAAACAACAGCTGACTCTTTAGTTTCATTTCTAAATGTTTGTATCACACAAAATCTGCAGAAACCTATGTCTAGTACTAGCCTCTTCCATGGAGTATCATCAGTCTGTAGCGATTGCTGATTGGCTCCTGTACTAGAAGGCGGGGCTTCATTCACCATATTGGTTACACTTTTCCCCATTCCAAATTATATGAGTGACATGTCTTGTGCATTCTGTAGTCTTTGGTTATAGTCACTAGTCATTTCTCGCAAATAGTAACATAGTTACATAATTATAAAAGTAACTAATCACCAGGGAAAGTAACTATTGTGTTAATTTAAAAAAAACTAATGTGTCAGTTGACTGTAAAATATCTCAAAAAAGTCGTCTTCCAAAAGTGATTGTGTCACGTGTGTCATTGTGCCACGATTGTGCCAAAAGTGATTGTGTCACGTGTGTCATTGTGCCACGATTGTGCCAAAAGCGATTGTGTCACGTGTGTCATTGTGTCGCGATTGTGTCACGTTGCATTAGTATATTAGATCCATCTTGGACAAGAAGGTCGCTTGTTCGAGTGTTGGCATTTGCATGTTCTCCAGTGTTTGCGTGGGTGTTCTCCGGATGGTCCGGTTTTCCCCACAGTCCAAACACATGCGGTTCAGGTGAATTGGGTAAACTAAACTGGCTGTAGTGTATGAGTGTGTATGGGTGTTTGCCAGTACTGGGTTGTGGCTGGAAGGGCATTCACTGCACAAAACATATGCTAAAGTAGTTGGCGGTTCATTCCGCTGTGGTGACCCCTGATAAGTAGGGGACTAAAGGCTGATTTATACTTCTCAAAAAATGTAACTGCATGTCGCAAAGACGCGTAGACCGGCTTGGTGCCGGTGACGAGTGTGGGCAGGGGTGAGAGCCGCGTGAACTCGTTGCAGCGAGTGTTTGCAAGTGTCGAGTCCCGTGTAGGAGCAATCAATGACAAGTTTTGTTTTGTGTTTACCTCCTGATTAAAGTTGTTGCACGTTCGCCGATTTCCGCCTCTGAATGAGCTTTAGCTACTTGTACATTAAGGTAGCGTTCAGAAAAAACAAAACACCCGTGAAGAAACTCGACACAGAGGAACATAACCTACTGCCAGCTAGTGCTCCAGAAGTGTTATCGCAGAGCAACACAAACAGCCTGCAGAAGTATAAATGCAGGACTACGCGCAAGGCAGGTGCCGTGGGTCACGCTGATCACTCTACACAGTATAAACCAGCCTTAAGCCCTGCTCAAACTGAGATTTCAGCCATGATTTTGTCATCTGAGACAAATTAGGAAAATCCTAATAGATTTCTGAAATTCCAGGCTAAAATCTGTGATCTTTGATTGTTGGTTTGACATGTTCACTGACAGCCATTTAGTGCCCTTTACGATCAGATGTTTGTTCTCTGATGACGTTCTGGCAGTATCAGAAGATTTCAGACACTTCCCGCAGTGTGATAACAGCTGTGATGAGCATCAATCCAAAAACCAATAGGAGCTCCGAATTTGATGACACAATCTATGAGACAATTCACATGACAAATGACAGTCTCACGCTCTCCTCTCCTCCATGACTGCCAGAAAATATCGACTACAAGTTGAAGGTAAATATTGGACAAGTACAGATTCAGACCTAAAGATGTAAAGTTAAAGTACACTTTTTCTAAAAAAAAAAAATAATAATAAATAATAATAATGTTTGTGGTTTGTTCAAACTATTTATTTAAAACGAGCTGAAACAACACAATTCTCTTTCTTTTTTGGAGGGGTAACTTGAAAGTTTTTACAAATGTAAGTAGATTGAACATAAAACAAATACGTTAACTCCTGAGATGGGTTGCAGCTGGAAGGGCATCCGCTGTGTAAAACATATGCTGGATAAGTTGGCGGTTCATTCTGCTGTGGCGACCCCAGATTAATAAAGGGACTAAGCCGAAAAGAAAATGAATGAACGAGTTAACTTAATTCCTTCATGCTGCCACAACACAAATGGATTGTGTGAAAGCCAGCATTATCTTACTTTGTAAAGAACAATTCCTGAGAAAAAGCCAATTACAGTAATGTTACGTCACACCACTGCACAGAATTAAACATGTTAACAGCATCCTATAACCTGTGAGATAGTTTGAACTGCAACATCAGAGCATAACAGGACCCCTTTAAAACCAATCATCTGTCCAGAGTGCATCAGCGAGTGAGTACTGAAATATTCACACTTCACCTCTCTTTCCTGTGTGTTTGTGTGTCTACTGACGTAATATGCACAATGTGCCAACACCTCGAAAATGTTTGATCATTAACATCTTAATGTTTGCTGTAGCATGACGTCAAATTATACATCTACATTATCTGTATTTCTGAGTTCAACCGTGTCTTATTTTCTCTCTCTCTCTCTCTTCAGCTCCAGAGGATTAAGCCCATCTACTCTCTGTATTCCATGCAGAAGCTTTTCTTGACTTTAGTGCATGTATGTTGTTTCAAGCAGCTCCACACATCAGTCTAGGCCTGCATGTCCAAACAAAAAAAACCTGAATAATTTGCATCGTTAGTTTAGAAGAAGCTCAAACATTAGGAGCGACAAATAAAGCTGAACATTGAAATTTGGAAATACTCTTGAAATGTGACATTAAAGCAGATTTGATGATGCATGTCCCCCCTAATGTTAAACTTTTGTATAGGAACTATTTAATTTGAAAAAAATATTGAACCTTTTGTGAAATATGTAAATTAACCAAAAAAAAACCTGATAGTTTATGTTGCTGTTTTGCGCAGGGATGTGCAATATGTTTTAAAGCCGAGGCTCATTTCAGGTGTGTGTTTGTGTGTGTGAGAGACATTGAGAAACAGGCCGTCTTTTACAGCCGGAGCTGCCAGATCAGTGTTGTAATTATCACAATCAATTGTGGTTCATTAATAAAAAGATATTACATGGTCGTATTGCTGTCTTTTTTGCGGGTTAGTAAATGATATTCATAAGATGGAAAGCATACGAGTGTGTTCATGATTTTAATTGCAAAAACATTTAAAAAATAGTCCTATTTACACAATATAGAAACATTCAAATAATACAAAAAGCAGCAGAAAATAAAATAAGCTTACAGACATTTCAATTTATATGAGCGTGGGCAAATTTCACAGAGCTAGATTCACCACAGAACAAAAAGAAAATGAACTTAAAAACTTTGCATTGGGATAAATCTCTTATTAAAGCAGAAAAATAAACTCTTAATGCAGCGATAAGCTTAATGAACATCAGGAACAAACTGCATTACATAAAAGGATGATAAAATGGTCAAAAAATATTTGACAGTTAATGGCTTCATTTTTTTTCTTTAATTTTGGGGTGAAATATTACCTTTCATCACCACAAAATTCATAAAAAGGTGGGGTGTACATGGTATGTATGAAAATATAATATTTTAAAATAAAGAGGGTTTAACTGTCAAACTGTCAATGTGAGGGGGCAAAAACATTTAACAAAAATTTCTTTCCGATTTTATGGTTCAATACAACTTGAAGAAATTTCCTAACATTCAGCCGCTCCAACTCAACAAGAGTAAAAGTACCAATACAGACCCAAAAAAAGTACTCGAGTGAAAGAAAAAGCTTTTTTTTTGTTCCAAAAACAAAAGGTGTGCCGTTTTTCAACTAATTTAAAATGAGGAAAATTTTTTTTTTTTTTTTTTTGGTGGGTGGGGGGGGGGGGGGGGCTTAATTTATGTTCAATCCACTCAATTGTCCCAACACTAAGCCATCTCTTTAGTACTATTTTTATTGTACCTTTTTAAGTACAATTCCCAAAAAAACAAAAATTTTCTTTGATTTTGGGGTGAAATTTTTATATGTACTCGCCACAAAAATCCATAAACTGAACATTTTTTACAAAGTGTATATTACATATATATATATATATATATATATATATATATATGGCTTGAAATATGACTCGATATGACAAAAACGAACAAATAAAACTATATTAAAGTATGCTTTTTTCCATAAAAAAAAACAAACAAACAAACAAAAAACAACAACACTTGATCGCCTTTATAGAAAAACAATGTAGGACAAACTGTTAAAAATCACGTGGGGGCAAAAACTTAATTTCCTTTTTGATTTTGTGGTGAAAAACTGCTTAAATCTCCTAACGTTCATCATATCCAACAAAAACACACAGCATTAGCACTCTGTGATGTAAAGAGTAACTTTAAACAATCATCTTTTTCAATAGAGTGAACCAAAGCTCAAAAGAGCAGCAGAATAACAGAACTGACACAATGAAAAACAAAAAAGCTGCAAAAGTGAAGCTCATGATGTTCATAAAGCATTAGAAACTATAATGGAGTAAATCCTTTATATGTTTAAATGGACAGTTTATTGTTGGTCTGCTCATCTCTGAACTCAAGAGCTCTCAGTTGTACTATATTAGCTTGTTTTTTTTTAATCTCCTGTATGACAAAACTGGAGACTAAATGACCAAATAATTAGTAGTAAATTCTTTATATTTTTTTAGTCCAAAAATCCAATCGACATCATCCTCGAGGTACAGCTTATTATTAGCCAGCTCAAGAACTCTCTGCTGTACAATATCACCCTTTTTATGACAAAACTGGAGACCAAACCAAATACCAAATCAAAGCGATCCATCAATGTCCAGTAGAGGGCAGCAGTGAGCGTGATGTGTTTCAGAACACATTTGAGTCGTGGTGGTCACTGCATGCCGAACCACTGCTCCTGATCTGCCCACTGCGCCGCCTCGCTGTCGCTGCCCTCCAGATCTCCTTCCTCGCCGCTGCCCTCCATGTCGTCTCCGTCCAGCTCCACCGTGGCGTCTGTGGGACTCTCCTCTTTCTCCATCTTCTGCATCCCCTCTAGTGACTTCTGGTCATTGGGGTCCAGGCTGTGGACGAGGAACAGAAGCACACCGTCATCTTTATATTATAGAGAGCTCAACATGTGGGATTTTATTACTCTGAAATTAAACCACCGGTTCTACTGCACCCAGCCAGCTCTGAGCTGGAATCAAACTGGCATGAGTCGTTGCTCTAACCAGGAGGCTAAAGAGCATGGCCTCCAGCGTCTATGGCTGAACAGCTTTTGAGGTCAGAGGAGTGAAGTTTACCTGCATAGCACTTCGCTACCTGGCCTTCGTAACACTCACTCCCATCCCGGACGAGCCCCCACGTGTAACCCACAGGTTCTACTGCACCCATCCCACCCTGAGCTGGGATCAAACCGGTGATACTTTGCATGGGAGTCAGTTGCTCTAACAAGGAGGCTAAAGACCATGGCCTCTAGTGTCTGTCTAGCACTTGGCTAGCTGGCCTCTGATACAGAAACAATGCATTAAAGATATAATTGAAGAGGAGAGTTCAGCACAAAACTGAAAATCATCAACTCATCCTGCACTGTCGCTCTGTTTCTTCTGTTGAACACAAATGAACAGGAACTCAAGAATGTTGGAAAAAAAACATCCTATTATTGATGCTGCTTTTTCAATGGTTCTTCAGAATATCTGGTGTTGTGTAGAAGAAACAAATTCATTCAAGTTTTGAAGCACTTGAGTCAATTTTCTTTTTTAGTTTTTAGGTGAACTGTAGTGTTTAGTTTGTAGATGAGCTTTAGAAAACACCTTTAGTAAAGCGGCTTTGAAACAATAATTATTGTAAAAATGGCTATACAAATAAACTTGAATTGAACTGAACTATCCGTTTAATAGCATTTTCATTAGCAGAGGAACATATTAATACTAGCATTATTTCAAATGACTTTTTGGGGGGTCTCATTTACCAGTTAAAACCTCAAGCAAGGCTCAGTTTAAAAAAAAAAAAAAAATATATATATATATATATATATATATATATATATATATATATATATATATATATATATATATACGCACGCACGCACGCACGCACGCACGCACGCACGCACGCACGCACGCACACACACACACACACACACACACACACTAGCCCTCCCTGAATTATTAGCCGCCCTGTTTAATTTTTCCCTAATTTGTTAACGGAGAGAAGATTTATTCAAAACATTTCTAATGGCTCATACAATGATTTATAGTGGTTCAGCTGAGTCAATATTGAAGGTAAAAATGTTTACTTTGAGTTTAGCTGCGCATATTTTCCTGTCAGGTTTGTTTTTCACAATCACAACTTTTTGCGTTGGAAGTTCTGCTCATTAATGAGACTCCCTGAAAATGTTTAGCCAATGATAAATCCTTGGGACCTATTATGCAAAAATGACTTTTATAAGGGCTTTAAACACAGTTGTGTGGCAACAGTGTGTGAATATAACCAGGCAGCTTCTAATGGTAAAAATGCATTCATTCTGTTTTTTATAATCACACTTGATAAAAAAAAAATCTGCAGGAACACTTTGATTGACATTTTCCCTTTGTACACGACTTCATCAGAGGGGGAAAGCTCCATGCATTAATTACCATCTCTCCCTCATGAGCATAGGACGTTGGTCTTGTTTGTGAATCTATCTATATGCTGACTCATGAGCGTTCGAAGCTCCACCCTCTTTTGAAAAGAGCGCAATCTCACTAGGATCAAGCCTGAAAGGGTCAGTTTCAAAGAGTTATAAAACATGATCTGTGGGGTATTATGAGCGGAAACTGAAGTGAATTTTATACTCTTTAAAGTGTGAAGTTAATCTATATATTCAAATTATATGTGTATAATCTGCTTGTAGATTTGCCTACCATTAAAACCATTAAAGTGTTATGTAAGGGGAAAGGGCCTGAGGAAACCACTAAGGGTCACGAGAAGTGGATGAGAAGAGAGCGGGAGAAAGCCTGAGTAATCAACTAAGGTGTCTCAGGAAATGGATAAGAATAGAGCAACACATGTGTAAACAGAGACGTATAGATGGATAAGATATATAGTTACCAGGTTGGGGTCAAGGGTTAAAGTAGGAGGGATCTTGTGTAACATATGGAGAACAAAGAAAAAAACTGGTGTAGAAGACTATTTAAACAGGCTATAATTTGAGTGAGACAGAATTTTTCAGACAGAGATGCTACTGGGGGTCTCCTGAAAGTTCTCCTTTGTTGTCGACAATAAAGTATATTCTTCTGTTATTCATAACCTCCAGACTGAGTTTGATTTAGTAAGAGAAAAACCAAGAAAACCACTACAAAACTTCACATACACACTCTAGGGCAGGGGTGGGCAAACTCTGTCCTGGAGGGCTGGTGCCCTGCACAGTTTAGCTCCAACTCTAATCAAACACACCTGCTTAAAGATTTCTAGTGATCTTGAAGACATTGATTAGTTTGTTCAAGTGTGTTTGACTAGTGCTGGAACAAAACTCTGCAGGGACACCGGCCTTCGAGGATCAAGTTTGCCCATCCCTGCTCTAGGGGCATCAGAGACGTATTTTACATCTTGTAAAAAGGGGCATAAATAAGTCACCTTTACACAAATACTGTTAGCAAGTAGCAGAAAAGCTGTAACTTGTTAATGGTTTTAAGTTGTTCCTTCCAGGATCCAATGGATAGAAATGGTAAAGAAGATACTTTGTATGGAGATACTCATGTTTAGCTTGGGACTTGCTTCAAAAAAGTGCATTGGACATAGAGTCTGCCATTTACCTCAGTGCTATACTGTACTGGTCCATCGCTTCCTGATAGTCATTAACAGCAACCAGAAAATCTCCCAGCATTCTGTGCAGCACACAGTCGCTCTGATTGGCTAACGTGTTTCGCAGAAGAGCAATTCCTTCCTCATACTTCTGTTCTCGACCTGTGAGAGAAATTGATTTGATGTTAAAAAATACTTTATTATGATTCAATATTACATAAAAAGATAATAAAGTATAAAGAGACAATAATAGTATAATGCTATATATATATATATATATATATATATATACATTAGGGATGTGCGGAGCAGCCGGTATTTGTATTTGTTGAGAGGGGAAAAGTATTTGTATTTGTATTCGAGTAAAATTCAAAATGGCGCAAAAAATATATTTTTTCTATTACACTACTAATTTACGTTATATTGAAAGTATTGTTTAATTATACTCATTATATAAATTATAGATATGCAATATTGGCTGTTGTTTTTGAACATGTGATAAGAAATGTCATTGAAAAGAAAATAACATAGAAGCCATTATCTCATCCATGGTTAAACCAACAACTCATAAAATACCATTGTGAATATTATGAACCCCACCACCACTGTTCTTGTTGAAGGACACTGAATAGACAGAATAAAAACAAATAATACTTCAAAAAACTGTTCCTCTTCTGAAAGAACTTTTTTCCAATGGACAGAATTCCTAAAACTAAAATTAACTAAATAAATCTAAATAAACCCTGCCTGGGAGATCTGGCAGAACAAAAGTATTCTATATAATACTAAAAGATACAGCCCTGCTATTATCATCTGCCAGCCACAAAAAAAGACACAAAGTTTGTTTGTTTGTTTATTTAGAGATATCTGCAAATATTTTTCAATGAATGTCCATGGAGGAATATGACTAGTCAGTCATAATATATTTGCAGATATTTCCAATCTGAATTATAATTATGACAAGTCAAAATATAATTAGAGATATCTCTAAATATATTTATGGATAGTCTGAACAAGGTTTAAATGCTAAGACGGCTTGCCATACGCACAGTGGCACAGTGGAGATTTCTCTAGTTATATCGTTTCAGTCGTTTGTTATGCAGTGACATGCAGTCAAATATTTCGCCAAACAGTCCTTAGGGATGCGGGGACACGCAGTCAGATATTTAACCGGACAGATCCGCCACTTTTGGCGCGCATAAACAATCATAAAGCTCTCGTGCTGCAGGAATGAGGAGGTCTGCTGAAGGCGCGCAGCTGACGTGCAGTAAGGGGTTTGCGTCTTTAATAAACTACGGCAGTTTGCGATCACTGAACAGTAAGAATGATTAATAAATCCATATGAAACAGCCCCTTAAAAGTCACGTCTCGCTTTCAGTTTCGGGCTTTGGCGCGTTTTGCACTGAGCGTGTGTCTTTCTCTCTCTCTCTCTCTCTCTCTCTCTCTCTCTCTCTCTCTCTCTCTCTCTCTCTCTCTCTCTCTCTCTCTCACTCAGGCATGCACTGTGGTCTCATGAGGAAACGCAGCTTTTTGATACAGTGTTTTTCTTGCTCCCGAATACAAATAATTTTTCAAGTATTTGTTCGAATCAAGTATTCGTAAAAACACGCTATTCGTGCCTTTCCGAATACCGTATTCGGGTTCGGCTCCACCCTTAATATACATATATATATATATATATATATAAAACTAACAAAACTAAAAATAAATACTAATTAAATAATGCAGAAAATTATCACAACTATGAGGAATTGACAAATTATTAAAAAAATTAAAAATAATACCAATAGTTAATTATTAAAAATATTTTGATTAAATTATAAAAAAATTAAAATACATAAATTTTTAATTGAGAAAAAATTTAGATGTAAAAGAAATAGAAGAAATATATACAATAACAAAAAAGTCAATTCAAATTTTAAAATAATATTCACGATAATAACATAAAAAACGCATTATTAAATAAATTATAATACAAATAATTAAATATATTACTACTGCTGCTATTAATAACAACAATAAAATAAAAATATTAATCAAACAGAAAAAGAATCAATTAATAGTTATAAGAAATAAAAAAATAATCAACTGTAAAATACATCAAAAAGTAAATTAATAAATTGTATTCATAATCATGCATTTATTCAAGATATGATAAGTTGATATGCCAAACATTATTACTATTGTTAAACTTAAAAAATCAGAAAATTACACTGAAAACTACAAAACTGATAAAAACTAAATTAAAAAAACAGTTAAATGAAAAAAAAGAACTAAATAATATATTGTGTGCAAAATGTTAATAATTAAACAGAACATAATCAATTTATAGTTATGAATAAGAAATAGAAAAATAATCAACTGAAAAATAAATCCAAAAGTAAATAATAAATACATGATTATGAATATAATTTGATAAAAATATGATAAGTGGATCCATCAAATATTATTACTATTATTAAAATAAAAAAGTACCCAAAAATTGAACTGAAAACAAAAACAAAAAATAATAATTATATAAAAAACTAAATAATATATTATGCGCAAAATGTTAATAATTAAACAAAAATAATTAGAAATAAAATAATAATAAATTTTAAATTACATAAAAAATTAATTAAATATGATTACTATTACCATTTATTATATAATAACTTTATACATCAAATATTATTATTATAATCGTTAAAGTTTTTTCAAAACTGAAAAAAACTAAAAAATATGAATGAATTTAAAAACCATAATAACCGTGATGTGCACGGTTTCTGATTTACTCTACAGAGAAGCAGATCTGAGACTCACTGAGCAGCTCTGCTTTCTTGACCACAGCTTTGATGTAGTCGGGCCGCTGTGCGAGGGCTTTGTCCAGCAGAGTCTTGGCTTTCTCCTGGGTCATGGGGTCTTCCAGACACACAGTAGCCAGAATAGTCAAAGTCTGAGCGTTTGCTCCCAGAGTCTTATAAATATTGTTGGCCATCCCCATCGCCTCACGGATGCCATTAGACGCTAGATAGCAGTCGATCAGACCTAGAAACAGGAATAAAAGAAAAATCTAATAATGTTGTTCACACATTCAAAAGAAAAGTACACAATAGAATCGATTTATAGCTTCAAACATGCAGCTTAGCCTTCAGTTTACAGCTGATATTCAAATGTGTTGTGATCAATCAAATCACAAAAAGATCCATCTCTTCTGTCCAGTTTTCTGATGAAGGGGGTTTGTGTGTGTGTGTGTGTGTGTGTGTGTGTGTGTGTGTGTGTGTGTGTGTGTGTGTGTGTGTGTGTGTGTGTGTGTGTGTGTGTGTGTGTGTTAAAGGGATAGTTTACCCCAAGAAATCTGAAATTTACTCACACGTGTGATTTCAAACCTTTGTGACTTTTATACTTTCTGTTAAATATAAAAGAAGATAGTTTGAAGATGAAAACTGGTAACTATTTACTTCCATAGGAAAAACAAATACTATGAAAGTCAATGGTTACTAGTTTCTAGCTTTCTTCAAAATCTATTTTTTTGTGTATTATGCAGCAGCTGAGCTACAATCATGGTATCTAAAACTCAGAATTTTTGAAAACTAAACTGAAACTTAACTTCATGGTACAGGGCCCGGGTGTAAACAGCCCCATGCTGTGAAAACAATCCAGCCAAATGCATCTGCATGTGATCAAAACTGGAAAAGCTCAAAGCAAATTCTGCTTTTTTTATCATCCACTTGTTTGAAGAAAACACATCTTAAAGGGACAGTTCACCCAGTCCTACTGCAGCGTTTACTGAGGGTGCAACGGTTTAAACTACTGCGGTATGGTAGGTGGTATGTTTAGAAAAAAATATATATACCTCTGTATTGGGTGACAAAAATCTGACAATTCTATTATTGTTATTATTATTATTCGATATGTTTTAATTATGTCTATTATAACTTTATTGCATTTATCATTGTGTGTATCTTTCACTGCTGCACAATTTCATGCCTGTAAAGAGCCTTACCATGCTACATTCTATATACAGTTAAAGTCAGCATTATTAGCCCCCCTGAATTATTAGCCCCCTGTAATTCTTCTCAGCACATTTCTAAACATAATAGTTTTAATAACTCATCTCTAATAACTGATTTATTTTATCTTTGTCATGATGACAGTAAATAATATTTGACTAGATATTTTTCAAGACACTTCTATACAGCTTAAAGTGACATTTAAAGGCTTAACTAGGTTAATTAGGTTAGCTAGGCAGGTTAGGGTAATTAGGCAAGTTATTGTATAATGATGGTTTCTTCTGTAGACTATCGAAAAAAAATAGCTTAAGGGGCTAATAATTTTGTCCCTAAAAGGGTTTTTAAAAAATTAAAAACTACTTTTATTCTAGGTGAACTGAAACAAGTAAGACTTTCTCCAGAAGAAAAAATATTATCAGACATACTGTGAAAATTTCCTTGCTCTGTTAAACATAATTTAGGAAATATTTTTAAAAAAAGGAAAAATTCAAAGGGGGGCTGACTTCAACTGTACTTGTTTTTCCTGAGGATGTTATTATTTATTTGGTGATTGATTCACTAATGTGTATATAGTTTTTCTACGTATATATACACGTATGTGTGTATGTATTGTACCCCCTCCCCTTTATTTTATTTATTTATATTTTTTATTATTTTATTTATGTCATGTCATTGCGTCACCATACTATCCGCATTTCCTCCAGAGTTTCATGCAATTTCGGGTTTTTGATTTTTAATTTGTGGACTTTAACTACAGTTTGGCACTTTCACTTTCATTCATGAACATTTCATGCATGCCCCTCCGTGACAAACGAGATATTGGATGCAACTATGAACTTATGGAAGACTGTTGTTTTAATGAAAGTTCATACGGCATGCTGAATACAAGAAAAAAAACTCAGCATTTCACGATGCAGGTGTCCGTGGTCTGCACTGCTTGGGTAGGTGCAAAGAGTGTCGAACAGAAGTGTGTGTGTGTGTGTGTGTGTGTGTGTGTGTGTGTGTGTGTGTGTGTGTGTGTGTGTGTGTGTGCGTTTGTGTGTTTGTGTTTGTGTGTGGACTATCCTGTTGCAAAACACAGAGAAAAGTCCTACATGACGGTAATACTTCGATTGCTGTGTTTACATGTCTGTACTGCACTTCAATAAAGCATCTAAAATCGGCATACTCCACTCGTCTCAATTCAATTTCTGTTTAGTTCGATTATGACCTTAATCTGATTAAATTATTTAAAAAATTTATTAAATTAATAAAAAAATAAATAAATAAATAAAAAAAATAAATAAATAAATCGCTGTTGACATGGTTAACTCTTAATCAGAGTATTGTCTTAATTGGATTAAAATCTAATGATTGGTGTCCTTGTAAATGTAGTCAGTGACATCAATGTGCTGTGTTTTGGTCTCACCTGTGAGGAAACTTGATGTAAACAACAGATTTACATACTAAGAGGTGATTGGACAGTTCTTTGTATGCGAATGCATGTGAATCAAATCAGAAGCGTATGAAGGCAATTTTTTTTTTTGCATTGTTGCAGTTGTTTTTATCATCCAACCAATATTAATAATACATATTCTGAAACGCAGATCACAGGGCACACCGAACTCTGGGAGAACAATGGGACTGGTATTTTATGAAGAACTATTGCACCCATACCATTTACTCACACTCATGTAGTTATAAACTTTTATACATTTCTTTCTTCTGTTAAACACAAAACTAAATATTCTGAAGAATGATGGGAAAAAGCTTCCAGAAAAAGCATTCATTTATTCTTTTTCGACTTAGTCCCTTATTTATCAGGGGTCGCCACAGCGGAATGAACTGCCAGCTATTACGGCATATGTTAAACACAACGGATGCCCTTACAGCTCCAACCCAGTACTGGGAAACACCCATACACTCTTGCATTCACACATACACACTCATATACTACAGCTAATTTAGTTGATCCAATTCATATGTAGCGCATTTCTTTGGACTGTGGGGGAAACCAGAGAACTCAGAGGAAACACAGCGTTACGACAAAAGTTTATTTATTTATTTATTATTATTATTTATTTATTTATTATTACTGGGAGTGGAGTTCGTGGATTTCCCTTACCCCTCTGGCCGATGTTTGAGCTTGTAGGGGTGGCCTGCCTATTTATTTGATTACTTTTGACGATGTTTATGTTTAGGGAGAAAGGTAAGCTTTCTGTATTTTTCTTTCAATATTTATAGGGAATTTAGTGCAAAGTTTGTTATTTTGGCCTGTGGCCACCCTGAAGAGATACTCATTTAAATGTACTACTTTTTTCCATAATAAATCTATGCAATTACTCTCAACTGAGTGTCTAAGTTTGGTTGTCGACTGAAGGGGATCTTTTGAATGAGGTTTTTGTTTTGTTTGAGAAATCCACCACCCCAACACATTTGTTTTTCCACTTACTGTGCCCATGTTAATTTACCCAAGACTTAGGGCGTAATACACAAGGAACACACGCAAACTCTACAGAGAAATGCCAACTGGTCCAGCCAACTCGAACCCTTGACCTTCTTGATGTGAGGTGACAACGCTAATCACAAAAAGTGCTATGGAAGTCTTCAGATTATCTTCATTTGTGAAGAAAGAAACTCAAACAGGTTTGAAATGAGTGAAGGATGAGTAAATGATGGACAGAATTAACATTTTTGGGTGAACTGTCCCTTTAACAACAGGAGTAAACAATGCTAATCATGACCATTCCTCATTAAACAGAAGTGTTCTTGCCTTCGTAGCAGTCGAGTCTGCAGGGTGCGAGTCTCATGGCCTCTCTGAAGTGAATGATGGCCTCCTGCACGCGGCCCATGTTCCTCAGCGCGACCCCCTTCAGGAGCAGCGCCTGCACACTGTTACTGTTCAGCTGGATGGCTTTAGCTCCCAGATACAGAGCGCGTGAGTAACGCTTACTGTAGAAACTGTGACATCTGAGGACAACAACACACATCAGAAGTAGAGATGGGCATTTCATTCATTCATTTTCGTTTCAGCTTAGTCCCTTTATTCATCAGGGGTCGCCACAGCGGAATGAACCACCAACTTATCCAGCATATGTTTTACCCAGCGGACATTTCACACTAAATTATCATATGTCTATCTGTGCACAATGCTTAAAAGGTCAGACTCACCCGGATATGACCCAGGGCTCAGCATGCTGGTCAGAGATGTTGAACAGACGTCCTCCTAAAACCTCCACATCTTCCAGATGACCCTCTCTGGCCATGAGATAGCCGTATACGTCCATACCTACAAATATCAGTTAATTTCAGATGAGACATCATGCGGCACATCAGCATTATTAGGCGACTGGTTATTGTCCTGCACCTTTGATGAGGTACGGGTCCAGCATCTGAGCTTGCTCAAACTTCAAGATGGAGTTCTTGGTGTCTCCGGCTCGGAAATACACATCCGCCAGGGTGACTAGAAGATCAACATTGTCCCTTAACAGAGACTTCTTCTCTAAAGAGCTGAAGAGATATAGAAGATATTTAATATCCAGTTGAAGTCAGAATTATTAGCCCTCCTGTATGTTGTCGTTTCAATAACTAATTTCTAATATTCAAACTTCTTTATTTTGTCTTTGCCATGATGACAGTAAATAATATTTGACTAAATATTTTTTCAAGGTACTAGTATTCAGCTTAAAGTGACATTTAAAGGGTCAGGAAACACCAAAACACATTTTTTGAGCTGTTGACAGTCGTATATGTGTCCCACACTGCTAAAAACACTATTAGGACACCTATATTTCACTAAAAAGTGTAAATTGGTTGTTTTTGCGTTATTTCAAGCAAATTCGTACTTCCGGTTTGAAACGAATTTTTGAAGCTGCGTCACGGTCATGACATAATAGCCTGTATTCCAGCGTGCAGACTGGGCGTCTGTGCCAGAGTGTGTCTTATTATGTCTTACAGTGTGATGCATTAATGCATGAGTAAGGCTTGGTTCAAACCAATCAGCGCGCTCTATTGTGCAACTTCATTAATATTCATTAGTCACAGTGTTTAGACGGCAGAGACGCCACGTTGTGTTGGCAAAACAAGCGTGAAGTGTTGCTTTTATAGTTTGCTGCTGTTAAGTTTCGTTTTCATTTTCTCTCTGTGAGAGCTCAGAGTCACGTGTGGATTAACAGTGTACGCGCCGCTCGACAACAGTAACTTACGTGTCTAAGGAGGAACATTGTTTACCTGAGAGCTGTTCTCATCTGCAAACGCTGAGATCCGGATTAGCTTGTAGTATTCTCTTCATAAAGACGCGGCTCTAGTTGCTGTTGATTGTCCTGTCTCTACAGATTTGGTAAGTGAGCGACCAGTGCTTTTTGTTTATTCAGTTTGTTCGTATCTAACAAACTATTGGACCGAGTGTAAACATGTTAGCACCACAACCAAACTTTAACCTCGTGTAGGGTTTTTACCGCATTTAGTGACCGGAATAACACACGCGGCTTTCTGACGCTACCTGCCGTGTGCATCTAAGTTTCCGAGAAATGCGGAGGGTTTTTTTCTCTCATTCGCCGTGCGGTATCAAACATTGCTTGAAAAATACACGCTTAGAGCAGATCCTCGAATCAAATATCTCGTTTGTCGTGAGGGGCATGAATGAATTCCCTGAATGAAAGAGCCAAACTGCAGTTAAAGTTCACCATTTAATAATTTGGCAAATAATTTGACTACAGATGTCCATGTAGGTTAAACACCATCACTTTCTCCTGTGTGTTTGTGTCAATTTTGACTCTGAAACTCACGCGCGCCCAAATAGACACTCCCACACCATCCCACTTTTCTTCCTCCGACACTCCCCCCTAAACAGAGCTGGACACGCCCACTTTTCTGACTTTTTCCAAAGTAGAGCTGTGAAAACACCCTGCTGAAACGAGGGGGTTTCATGGCCCTTTAAAGGCTTAACTGGGTTAATTGGGTTTACTAGGCAGGTTAGGGTAATTAGGCAAGTTATTGTATAGCAATGGTTTGTTCTGTAGACTATCGAAAAAATATATCGCTTAAGGGAACTAATAATATCGACCTTAAAATGGTTTTAAAAAATTTTTAAAGTGCGTTTATTCTAGCAGAAATAAAACAAATAAGACAAATCCTCACCAGATAGTGTTGATGGCTCTCTGATTGTCTCCTCCATGAATGAAGGCATGTGCTTTGATCCAGACAGAGAGCCAGTCCAGATTGGGGATACTCTGAATCACGTCCATGGTCATTGAGGCCACTTCAGCTCCCTTCACTGACAGAGACAGAAGACCTGCAGACCACAACACAAGGACAGGCTTTCATTCAGCCCTTACAATCAGCATTAAGGAGACTGTTCACCACAAAAATCATCAATTGCTTGTTATTTCCTAACAATGAAGTGGTTCTAAGCTTTTTTGAGTTTCTTTCTTGTGTTGAACAAAAAATGAGCCATTGACACTAATGGCTGGGTCTTCAACAGAAGGAAGAAACAAGTGGGAGGATGACTAAATGAAAATGCTTTAGTCTGTTCGTAGTTTAAATATAAAGATAAATCTTAAATCAAGAAGCATTTTCTACACAACCAAAAAATTTTGTCTTGTTTTCAGAAATAATGTCAAAATGAATTTAAATCAATTAAATGATTTTTTCTGGGACAATGGGCTAAACCAAGACATGTTCCTGGAGGTCTACCGTCCTGCAGATTTCAGTTGCAACCCATATCAAACACACCTGCCTGTAATTATCAAGTCCTGTTCAGGTCCTGATTAATTGGTTCAGGTGTGTTTGATCAGGGTTGGAGCTGAACTGTGCCGGAGAGTAGATCTCCAGGAACAGGGTTGAGCACCTCTGGGGTAAAAAATATAATATTTTAAATACAAATAAAATAACAATCTTCGCTTTGAAATAAGATTATTATGCTCACCCTATTGGAAGACTGTTTTGCTTATTTCAGAAAAAAAACACTTCATTTAGAAGTATTATTTTTGAAAGCAAGACAACATTTTTCTTGATCTAAGAATGTTAAGATATTTGGACTACATTTTTTGCTCCGTTAGTGAACTCTTCCTTCAAATACCAACAAAAAACATACAAAAAATCTAATGGCAGATTATGTTGTTTGAATTAAGACTCACTTCAACCTGACATTATTTCTGAAAACAAGACAATAATTTTTACTTGTATTTAAAGTTTAATGACTTAAGATTTTTTTTTGTCATTTAGACTACTTTTCTTTCAGTGTGGATAAACTCTTCCTTCTAAAACAATTGGCAGATTATTTAGCTTGATTTAAAACTCACTTCACTTTATCATTATTTCTAAAAACAAGACAATATTTTTTACTTGTCCAGAAACCTTTTCTCGCCTTGAAACAAGATTATTATGCTTACTCCATCAGAAGATTGTTTTGCTTATTTTGAAAAAAAAAAAACACTTCATTTTGGAGTATAACTTATGAATAAAAGACAATATTTTTTACTTGTCTAGAAAATGTTTATTGATTTAAGAATATTAAGATATTTGGACTACATTTTTTCTCCGTGGGTGAACTCTTCCTTCAAATACCAACAAAAAATATAAAAAACAACAACTGGCAGATTATTGTTCGATTTAAAACTCACTTCAATCTGACATTATTTCTGAAAACACGACAATATTTTTGGCAGACTTTTGTAAAAGAAAAAGATTAAACATATCGGGACTGTTAAAACAACATTTTACTTTATATATTCTTTCGCTTCCAATACAACAGCTAAGATTATGAATGACGGAGTGTAAAGCCATCTCTCGTGCACTTCAGCAGCGCATCCCGCTGGAGAGAATGCGCTGTTTAATTTCATCTCAAGGTATAAATAAAAACGAACACAGCTGCTCATCACGCTCAAAAAGTCTAACTAAAATGCACAACTCTTGTTGGTTGCACCCGCGAGACGCACAATAAACCCAAGACCCCGATCTTTTAAATCGATGTTTGTGAAGCATGTGAACCAACCGCAGACGCTTTGTCATGTTGGTCGCGACACTCTGCTTCATACCTTATTAGTTTATTACAATAATTACACTTAGCTCTGTCATTATTCTTCACCACATGTAGCCACTCTTTTAAACACATTTTGCCGTCCATCTCTAAACAAATGTTTAGATTATTATTGAAGGTGCTCTACAAGTGGTGAAGTTCCTGGCAGAGTAGAGAGTGAAAAAATGCATGCAGAAGTTGGACAAGAGCTATTAAAATATTAATTGTATAACAGGTATTGGTATCTAATCCCGCCCGCTTTTATTACAAGTTGTGTTTTTTTTTATAGTTTTGGCTGTGAAGTTTAATAAGAATATATATGTATTATATTATACAGTATATTATACCATACTATATATATATATATATATTTGTGTGTGTGTGTGTGTGTGTGTGTGTGTGTGTGTGTGTATATGTATATACACACACACACACAAACACACAAACACACATACACACATACACACATACATACATACATACATACATACATACATACATACATACACAAAGGAATAATCGTTATTATTAATTGTGATTAACATTTTGAGTAAAATAATCGTGATTATCATGTTGACAGACATATATGTGACACGTTGCTAAAACACTTTGAGGTGAACACACTTTAAAATGAAAGTTGGTTGTTTTCGTGTTGTTTAGAGCAAATTTGTTCTTCCGATTTAAAAAGAAAATTTGAAGCTAAGTGATGACGACAAGATCATTGCTTAGATTCCAGCGTGGTGATTGGCCGGCAGTACCAGGCAGTACACAGGGACGTCATTGGGTTTTGAGCATGTCTGGGCATTAATGCATGAGAAATAGTTGGTTTGCAAATTGGTTATTTTTTTAAGCCCCTGCCTCTTTCACCACTTGACACTTGCACCTAAACAAAGCTGGACTCACTTTCCTGACATTTTTCAAACAAGAGGCGAGAAAACACCCCGTTAAGACAGAGGGGTTTCATGAAGTTTCATGACCATTTAAACCTTTTTAGATTTTAGATAGATTGAACAGCAAAATGTGACAAAAACTCATCAGAAAAGCTATTTTTGCAGTGTGGGTGAACTATCCCTTTAAATACCAAAAAAAACCACCAAGTCAAATTCTTACTGACCAATGATGGCATCGAGAGCCAGAGGACACTGTCTCAACACCTCCTTATAGCTCGTAACCGCTGACCGCTCCTGACCGGCCTTTCTGTACAGATTTGCCAGCATCATGTTGATCTGTAACACAAACAAATTATCAGACAGTCTTCTATTTTCATTTGTCACTTTTAGACAAACACTACCATACATTTGTTTGGTATTAGGGCTGCACAAATACATCATTTCAGCATCGATATTGCAATTTGTTTATTATATTTAAAAATCATAAAAAAAATTATTCCAATCAAATTAAAATGATTAATCCTTAAACAGAGCAAATCAAGTCATATGGAGAAATTGCTCATATTGCAATAAAACAAAATATTGCAAAAAAAAAGACATTTATTTAGCCCTAAAACAGAGTAAAACCTAACAAATGTAGAAAGATTATTGCAATTTTAAATAACTTTTAAAAGAATTTTTAAAATAAAGATTAAATCATAATCACGAATAATAATTCATTTAATTAATAAATAATTTAAATTTAAATAAATAAACAATTTAAAGTTAAAAATTTTCCTGTGATTTCCAATCTTGGCATGATCTTTCAGAAATCATTCTTTTATGCATTTCTATTATTAACAATTATTGGTAGGTAGGTACTCAATCCTTAATACTGATTTATTTTTAATAATCAATGTTAATAGATATCTTGCCTCATATTTTTGTGGAAACATTTTATGATTCTTAAAATAATTATTTGTTTTACTCACTCATTCATTCTTGAATAATTTAACAAATAATGACAGGTTTCACAAAAATAGGAAGCAGCTCAAAAGTTTATCACAGATAATAATAATGATAATAATGATAATAACAACAAACAACAATACCAATAATACAAATAATAATAATAAAATAAAATCTTCTTAAAGGATCATTGAAAACTGGAGTAATGATTCAGACACAGAAGTACAGCATGTGAAAATAAACAGACCTTTGGCGTCCTCTGGCGTGAAGGAATCCCATCCAGCACAGAAATGGCATCTTTATCCAGCTTCAGAATAGTGTAACACTCTGCGATCTTGTATTTCACTTCAATCTCTGATGGCAAGTTCTGTAGTTAATGAAAACAGAAAGTCAAATGTCAACAAATGTGAGCATGAGAAATTATGCAGCCGTTACAAACATCACCATGATAATCGAATACAGAGATAGTTTCCACAAGTACAGTAACGTTTAAATCTATCATATGTCACAGTTTAGTGTATTTTGCCATTGTCATTTACATAAAAGAACTGTAGTTCATTGCACCTTCTAGTAAAAAAATTCACACACACACATAACACACAACACACACACAACACACACACCACACAGTTAAAGTCAGAGATATTAGCCCCCCTTTGAATTTATTTTTTTAATAAAATAAGTGACATCACTTATTTACTATATAACTACAGGTTAACTGTTTTTAAATAACAGTTAAAAGCTATTAGTTACTAGTTAATTAGTTAACGTTATTAGTACCTTTTTATTTTTTATTTATTAGTAACTAATAAGGTTATGGTAACTAATAATCTTTTGTAAAGTTGCTTTGAAACAATAATTATTGCGAATAGCGCTATACAAATAAACTTGAATTTAATAAAGGTTTTTAATCTAATTATTATATATTAAACCTTTTTAATATTATTAATAGGCTGCAGTTTGCTAGTTACTTTATTTTCAAGATCTGAACTATCTGCTGATGCTTTCCATAGTACGGAAAAAAATGTCATGTTAAATGCTATTTAAACATTGGAGACATTTAACACTCAAAGAAGCACATAATCAGGACCAGAGGTGATCATTGTCATAGTAGTTTATGCTGTTGTTCAGCAGCGAAGTTGCAAAAATAGAAAGCATTTCTAAAACAGAAATTTCGCACATCGTTGTCACAGTTGGTTTGGATAAAAACTCCTTATAACATGGAAAAGATCACAGCGGCACAGCGAGTGTCACAGTGTGGGTTGTTAGAACATGGTGTAATGTAAAAGGGGGAATGATTACGAATACTGCATAACGCAAATGCAGAGAAGGACCACCACTCCTAACACAGTAAATGGTCAGACTTTGGCTCAATCCCAATTCTACCCCTTAGCCCTTCCCCTTACCTCTACCCCTCGTTTTGCTGTAAAACATTTGTCTGTGGAGCTGACCTGTGCCTGCACCGCAGATGTTGTGCTGCCTGTGCTGGAGGGACGAACTTTAGATGTCTTGCTGAGCATCTTCTTCTGCTGTAGAGCCATGTTGTACTTGCAGGCCGCGTTCCTGTACTCTTTATCATGGAAGATGGCATCAGCATGATACACCAGCAGCTGGTACTTCTGAGACGGGGAGAACAGCTCTCTGAAAAAGAGGACGATATAACTAGTTAACATTCAGCTGTTAAATGAGTTTGCACACATGTATTCATCAATATACAACTGGAAGCTTCCAATTAAAGGTAGTAGAATTGTAGATAATGTTCAGTTTTTCTGCACAGACTGATCACTAGGCTTAATAAGAGCTCAATGTAAAAGCCATGGGTGTTGATTCTATTATGCAATTAATTCATTGTAATTTCTATTTTCTTCTTTAGGGCAACACTGTGGATCAGTGGTTAGCACTAGTGGTCGCTGGTTCGAGTCCCGGCTGGGTCAGTTGGCATTTATGTGTGGAGTTTGCATGTTCTTCCTCCTGTGTTCACGTGGGTCTCCTCCGGGTGCTCTGGTTTCGCCCACAGTCCAAAGACATGCGCTACAGGTGAATTGAATAAACCAAATAGTGTATGACAGTAAATGAGTATGATGTTAATGGATGTTTCACAGTACTGGGTTGCAGCTGGAAGGGCATCCGCTGTGTAAAACATATGCTGGATAAGATGATAAATAACCCCTGATTAATAAAGGGACTAAGCTGTTGGAAAATGATTGAATGAATGAATTTTCTTCTTTAATGTCCTGCTAAAAATGTTTTAGTTTTAGCTAAACAGAGAATCATTACTGATATTAATTTGGATATATTCACATGGACTTTTAATTTTTAGCCAGGCAGCCCAAGGTCTTCCGTTGAAAGGTCTTTCCATTACCAAATTGTGACGTTTAAGATCTGATTTCTCTAAAAATCAGTGATCTTCACTGCCTGTTAGATATACAATATGAAGTGGGTCTCAGATTGAACAAGAAGCACTGCATCAAATTCCATTTCCCCCGCCATGTCTTTAAAATATGATATTTTACGCCAGTATTTTCAATGTAATTTCTGTGCTAGCCTGTTGCTACAGATGGCGCTAGTGGTTACAATGGTCTTTCATCTATTTTTTACGCTTGAACAACAAAGTGAATGCTTAAGTCTATTTAACTGAATGTATTTTAATTGCATTACAACATGGATGCTTTGAAAACAACCTTGTGAAATTGAAAATAGTCATAATAAGCCTTCACCGGATGTTTATCATTGACTTTAAAACTAGCTGTGCATAGAGCCCTTTAAGACATTAAAAATGTGAATATACGTACAATTAGGAAACATCCATGAGGAAAAAAAAATAACTTAAACTTAGAGAGTTCAATTAACAAATCTACTTAGAAATACCTACACATATTAATAATGTTATGTTCTGCCAAAATAGTCCAGGCGCTATAACTATTACAATTTGCACAGTAAAATACAATATTTTAACACCTTCAAGAAAAATGTAAATATAACATGGGGCCTTAATACTAATAAACAAATCCAAACATACACACAAACAAAAAAAACAACAATGATGTTTTGCCAAAATAGCAGTCACTATCATGGTTGAGACAATAAAATTGTATATACAGTTGAAGTCGGAATTATTAGCCCCCATGTTTTTTTTTTCTCCAATTTCTGTTTAACGGAGAGAAGATTTTTTCAGCACATTTCTAAACATAATAGTTTTAATAACTCATCTCTAATAACTGATTTATTTATCTTCGTCATGATGACAGTAAATAATATTATACTAGATATTTTTCAAGACACTTCTATACAGCCTAAAGCAGGGGTGTCCAAACTTTTTGGGCCGAGGGCCAGATGCAAAAAAACAAACGTTGTCGCGGGCCAAATTTTACATACATCACACAGACACGCATATATATATATATATATATATATATATATATATATATATATATATATATATATATATATATATATATATAAATACAGTTGAAGTCAGAATTGTTAGCCCCCCTAAATTATTAGCCCCCGTTTATTTTTTCCTTAATTTCTGTTTAACGGAGAGAAGATTTTTTTCCACACATTTCTAAACATAATAGTTTTAGTAACTCATTTCTAATAACTGATTTATTTTATCTTTGCCATGATGACAGTAAATAATATTTGACTGGATATTTTTAAGACACTTCTATACAGCTTAAAGGGACATTTAAAGGCTTAACTAGGTTAATCAAGTTAACTAGTCAAGTTAAGGTAATTAGGCAAGTTATTTTATAACAATGGTTTGTTCTGAAGACTTAAGGGGCTAATAATTTTGACCTTAAAATGGTTCATAAAAAAATTTAAACCGCTTTTTATTCTAGCTGAAATAAAACAAAAGTCTTTCTCCAAAAGAAAAAAATATTAACAGACATTCTGTAAAAATGTCCTTGCTCTGTTAAACATCATTTGGGAAATATTTAAAAAAGAAGAAATAAATCAAAGAGGGGCTAATAATTCAGACTTCAACTGTGTGTAGACAGATAGATAGATAGACAGATAGATAGATAGATAGATAGATAGATAGATAGATAGATAGATAGATAGATAGATAGATAGATAGATAGATAGATAGATAGATAGATAGATAGATAGATAGATAGATAGATAGATAGATAGATAGATAGATAGATAGACAGACATACCGACAGACAGACAGGCAGACAGACAGGCAGACAGATAGATAGATCATAACAAGAACTGCTGCTTAATTGAATGCATGTAATAGCGACACCCGGTGGTTATTTTTTGAATTACGTTCATTTTTGTATAGCGGGCCAGATTCTATTGGTATTTATAAAAAGCCTCGCGGGCCGCCACAAAACTGATTGCGGGCCGCAGATGGCCCGCGGGCTGTAGTTTGGACATGCCTGGCCTAAAGTTACATTTAAAGGCTTAACTAGGTTAATTATTTTAACTAGGCAGGTTAGGGTAATTAGGCAAGTTATTGTATGACGATGGTTTGTTCTGTAGACTATTGAAAAAAAAAATAGCTTAAAGGGGCTAATAATTTTGACCTTAGAATGACTTAAAAAAAATAAAAACTGCTTTTATTCTAGCTGAAATAAAACAAATAAGACTTTCTCTAGAAGAAAAATATTACCAGACATACTGTGAAATTGCCCTTGCTCTGTTAAACATAATTTGGGAAATATTAAAAAAAAAAAAAAGAAAAGAAAAAATGCAAAAGGGGGGCTAATAATTCTGACTTTAACTGTATATATACATGATATAGTGTGTATATATTCGTGAAGAGACATATTTAAACATATTCTTAAGGAAATTCCTGTCTTTATGAATAGATCAGTGAACCGTTGACTCAAACGATTCATTCAAAACAATGATTGATTTAGAAAAAAAGCTAACTTATGCCTTTATGTGGCGACCCCTGACGAATAAAGGGACTAAACTGAAGGAAAATGAATGAATGAATAAATTTTCTTTTTTAATGTCCTACTAAAAATGTACATTTTGGGGTGAACCTAAATGTCAACACATCTGACTTCTCAATGGGGAACCGGGTTTTAAAATAATAAACTGATCCAAAAATACAAAAACAAGTAATGTTTTAGTTTTACCTCAATAGAGAATCCCTACGGATATTAATTAAGACATTAAATATGTGTATATATGTACAAGTAAGAAATATCCATGAGGAGAAATATAACTTTGGGACACTTTGGGAGTTTAATTAACAAATCTAATCAGAAATAGACATGGGAAGATAACCGTTTTCAAGATATACCGTGGTTTGGAAAAGTCAAGGTTTTAAAACCACCAAAATTTTCTGCTACACAGTTTCTAAGATTGTGTAAGATTTTTTTATTTACGTTTTTTTATTTTTTTTATTAGGACAACAGTATCTCCAGCAGAAAAAAATGTCCTAACATGCTGTATTAAATTGTACGGAAATCTGTGTTTTTTAAACAAATGAAGGCAGAAGAAGTTATTTAGTTCTTATTTAGCCTGACATGTTTACTGCTCCAAAATATTTAAAATATTTCTCAAAATAATATATATTGTGTGCAAAGTAGAAAAAAATGTTTCTTTTATACCGAGACATTTAAAAAGAAGTTATTTTAGGGCAGCAATCCCAATATCGTGAAACCATGATATTTTTAACCAAGGTTATCATACCGTCAGAATCTTATACCGGCCCATGCCTAATCAGAAATACCTAAACATATTAATAGTGTTATGTTCTGCCAAAATAGTGCAGGCGCTATAATTATTACAATTTGCACAGTAAAATACAATATATTAACACCTTCAAGAAAAATATTGATATAACACAGGGCGTTAATACTAATAAACAAATCCAAACATACAAACAAACAAATAAACAGCAATAATGTTTTGCCAAAATAGCAGTCACTATCATGATTAAGACAATAAAATTGTATATACAGTTGAAGTCGGAATTATTAGCCCCCATGTTTTTTTTTTTTATTCCAATTTCTGTTTAACGGAGAGAAGCTTTTTTCAGCACATTTCTAAACATAATAGTTTTAATAACTCATCTCTAATAACTGATTTATTTATCTCGTCATGATGACAGTTAATAATATTTGACTAGATATTTTTTAAGACAATTCTATACAGCCTAAAGTGACATTTAAAGGCTTAACTAGGTTAATTAGGTTAACTAGGCAGGTTAGGGTAATTAGGCAAGTCATTGTATAACGATGGTTCTTATTTAGCCTGACATGTTTACTGCTCCAAAATATTTAAAATATTTCTCAAAATAATATATATTGTGTGCAAAGTAGAAAAAAATGTTTCTTTTATACCGAGACATTTAAAAAGAAGTTATTTTAGGGCAGCAATCCCAATATCGTGAAACCATGATATTTTTAACCAAGGTTATCATACCGTCAGAATCTTATACTGGCCCATGCCTAATCAGAAATACCTAAACATAATAATAATAATGTCATGTTATGCCACAATAGTGCAGACGCTTTAATTATTACAATTTGCACAGTAAAATACAATATGTTAACACCTTTAAGAGAAAAGTAAAATAAACCTTGGGTGTTCAGTTAATAAACATATCCAAACATACACACAAACAAACAATAACAATGTTTTGCCAAAATAGTAAACGCTATCATAATTATGACTTTAAAATTGATATACACACATGATATACTGTAGAAATATTCACAATATGAATGTCCACAAAATGAATGTTGAAAGAATGCTGAAAAATAAAACATTTTATTATGTTTTTAATCATTTTTAATTAGTTTATTTTTTATTTTCTTGATTCTTTTATTCTTGTTTATGTAAAGCACTTTGAATTACCCTGGTGATTGAAATAAACTTGCCTTACCTAAAGGAGATACCCAAAAACTATGATAGCTAACGTTAATAAAAAAAATAACTAGCACTTTTGGAAAAACAATGGTTAATACCATAGTGAATTGTGGACACTGGGGTAAATTTGGTTTTATATTCGCACATTCTGACTTCCTCCTTAATAATATACTTTCCGAAAAGGATTCTTTGCAATTTACGAATAGTAAAATCATATTAACAGCGAGCGACTATTAAAGTACAACATTGTTCACAGTCAATTAAATGGTGGTATTGTTGTTTTGAAGTCATGTTTACATACCATTGCTGACTTAATAATCAAAGTACCATAGTAAACAATATAGAGAGCGTGTTACAAGTTGTCCCTGAACGAATGTGACCAACTTTACCTAAATATCTGACGGTATTGTTGCTCTTATTAAATTACACTAACGTTACATTACTTCACTTAAGCTTACTGTATTATGACGTCACATATCTGTTTTTAATAAATAACACATCACATGTAATATCCAATATTTGGTCAGTCTTCCAGGTGTGTTTATATAGTGACGCACTCACGGGTTGTTGGTGCTCATGGTCAGGAGTAAACTACTGATGATCCGGACATTAGAGTGCAGTCCGGCCGCTGCCATATCCCGCACATGATCGATCACATTCATCTTCAAAATCTTTGAGTCTGAAAGCACAATTCTGGTAAGTAATCGATACGCAGCGCAGCGGAAAACACAGCACAGTGACGGAGAAAAGATTTTTTGAACTGCAGGAAACAATAATATTTCAAAATAAAAGTCGGATATATCGCCAAAAGAAAAGTCGCCGCTCTTGGCAAGTGTTGTTTACAATATTTCAGGTTTGAGGTTATTTGGTCTTAAGTTTCACATTTTACAAAAAAAATTAAGCATATGCTTTAAAAATACATTAATCAAGTATGATTTCTAACATTTGACAATAGTTTCACTGTGTTTACGAGAGAAACGAACAAATGTACAGATTAGTGTTTTTTTTTTCGCTTTAAAAAAAATCTTTTCTATACATTAAATGCAAAAAATGTCTAGAAAATAACTTTTGTGGCAATGGCGAAATATGAGTGGATTAAGTTTATGTTAAAAAGTCAGCAATTTATTCTAACTAAAATAAAGTTATTTTGACGATAAATGCTAATTACAAACATCATTTTAAATTTAAAAACAAATATTTATCTTAGGCTATCATAAGTGTGTTTTTTTCGTGATATTGCAAACCATCATAAACCATTAGGTTACTAGGCCAACCCGTTATTTTATTTATTAATTATTTTATTTATTAAGCCTTTTTTAATAGCTTGTTTTCAGGTTATTTTCATTTTAGGGCCATGCGCTACTAGTCAAAACGAACTCGATATGTTGTATTTTAGCTCTTAAAATAGATCTACAATATATTTTATGTTGTTTAATTTGCATGAGCAAATAGCAGTATAGCCTAAATTACATGTTTTTAAAAGATTATCTTTCTGCCTACCTGCAGCGCACGTGAGTGGTTCCTCGGTTGATCCGCGGTAATTCCACTTAAGTTCTATACCTTTTCCATTTATAACACTGCAAACTTGACTTCGCAGGCCGATCATCTTTAAACCCAAAAGGCATATTTATTATTATAGCTTGACTGCTGCTGCATAATGGGATGTTTCTCTACACAAAGTGCGCTTTTTAGCAAGATGAAAGCATTCAAAGGGTTCTGCGTTTTGTCAATTTTAGCTTAATTGTAATAATATTAATATTAATAATAATAATAAATAAATTTAAATATTATTTATAGTGTAGCCTACTGTGAGACTGTGTAGTAAACTATTTTTTTTATTAAAACATTCTTATTAGGCTACATCTTCCCGAAAAACTAATAAGACTGGCAGTTGCGTCTCTGCTAAAATTAATTTAACAGCAAATTTCTTATGTGTTTTTTTTCCTTTTGGAGCTCAAGAAAGTTGTGTTTAAATAATTAGTTAACCAAAACATGTAATGAATTAAGCTGCTCCTATCATCACAGACGGTACTGCTACTTCATAGTTGCCTAAATATCATTCTGAAATCCCGCCAAGACTCTCAAAGAGCGTAAAAGAGTAATAAGAGTTGAGCATGATATGACGTGAATACTAGTTAGCTCCCATAGAAATATACATTGGATGTCGCCTACCCTGATGTTGTCTATTGGAAGGAATGCGTCAATAGATCCGCCATTTTAGTACAGGGTAGCGCTCCTTTGAAATGAACGCTCCTTTTAATTGAGCGCCATCTAGCGGTCACATGATCTAATGACTAAATATTATGACAACTTGTTCAACTTCTTTTATAAATATATATAACTTGATATTACTTTTTTTCTCACCACCACACTGGTCTTTTTCACAAGAAAAAAATGTTGTTGTTGGAAACTGTTTTTATATACACTTAAATTTGACTTTTGCATGCTAAAAGTACTTGAGTAAGAGACGTTTTACTTGATTTGGGTCATTAGAAAAACTCCATATGATTTATGTAGCCTATACCTGCTGTAGTCAACCTTAATCCTACTGTAGGTAGCCATAAAACCAAAACAACACCCATTCTTGTCTTAGGACATTTTAATAAGCAAATTTTAAAATAACAGTAAGTTCATGACTTGTTAAATATATAGTATAATTTGCTGGTTTTAATCACACAGAATAATATTAAATATAGTTATGAAACAACCATAACATAACCCTTATGTCTTAGGACATCTTTGATTACCTTTTTATTACCTACACCAAATGTTGACTAATGAAGGTACATTTATAACAGCCATTTATTTGTTAGACTACTGTATTGTCAAACCATGTTGCATACAAATGCATTCAACAGACTTACATGCCAGTGCATTGCTGTAGAGGACAAATAAAACACGAAATAGGTGTTTAGAAAGAGTATAGTTTATTTAGTTTGACATGCAAACAAGACAAACTTTCAGAAAACAACCCGAAACATTATAACGCGCTCGCGAATATAACCTGCGGTTGTCTTCAACTGTTGTCTTCAATAGTCCTTATTTGCTCAACAGCTTTGCTGAAAAACAAAGCAAAACATTACAACAGTCAGACAAAGAGCAAAGAGCATAGAATCACCAAGAGGCGACACTCTACAATTTGGGAAACAATAACGCGCTTTTTGAATAAATTAAATAAAAACAAAGCAGCTGCTTTCCATCGCGACAGCAATGAGATCCAATGGACGGCCGATCGCTTTCACTTCAAAATGGCGGAATCCGGGGCTGTTGCTCTTGGTCATTCTAAACTCTTTGCATAAAGTTAAATCATAACAGTTACCATGGTGTCTATTTCAAACTACAGTAAACTAAAGTTTGAAACTATAGTTTAAAATAGACGATGAGTGGGCCTCGCTACTCCCACCCACCATAACCCTCGCAGCGAGGTCCCACTACCGGCCCCCCGTGTTTCCCTGAGGGTCCTCGGGGGTTGTTTGTTCCCTGCCTAGGGCTCAAAGGCCGCCTCGCCCCAGGGAGTGCACGAGAAGACCGGGCGCCAGGCCGTGCCAGTATTCACTGGATGTTGCTCGGCGGCACATTTCGAGCAACAAACACGTAATATTCCTTGCGATGTTACGTTTATGTACGTAAACCACAAGGAACTACAGCACAGACGGGCCCGAGTGAAGCTTCACGAAGCGGACTTCGTGAGATTGGCGTGGCTCCACTCGTACCGTCGGTATTGAACTCACCTTGGTCAAGTACAAACAGCAACACCGAGCGAACTGACAACGCTGACAGAGAGCACACGAGCTTTATAGGAATGCAGATGCAAATTTTTACAAGGCACGTCACTGCTATCTCGTTGTCATGGCGAGCGCTGAAGAGGGCTCACCTGATTGGAGCACACTCGGGAATCTGCGTCACGGCGAGTTGTCGTCTGCCTTACACAAAATTACATTAAATATATTCAATATATATATATATTTTTACATTTTTGGTGCTGTGTAATATTCTGGGATGCAGTAGAATATGGAGACAGATGAATATAATTGGGTATATGCCGAGCTAGTGTTGTTCCCATTTACTTATAAACTTCCGGTGACCGGTTATTGTTTTTTCCATTTTATACGGTTCCTTTTACAGCATTCATGTTGTAATGTAATTAAAATACATTCAGTTAAATAAACTTTGGCATTCATTAATAATTAGTTGTTATTAGTTGTTCAAGCGTAAAACGAGACAAAAGGCCTGGTAAAATAAATGCTCACATTATAAAGACATGGCGGGGAAAATGTAATTTTATGCAGTGCTTCTGGTAAAATCTGAGACCCACTTCATATCGGATATGACTCAGCCAGAGGAGATCGCTGATTTGTAAAGAAAACAGACATTAAAAACGTGCAGATTTTTCCTTTGGCATACAGTTCGCTGGAAGCGCTTAACCCAAGTTACTGGCAAATTAAAAGTCCTATTATTATGCTTCAGCTAAAATCCCAGAATGTCTTTCGAAAAAGAGTACGGGTTTAATCCCGGCATCCTGGCCAAATTTACCCACTGGCCTCTGTCGATCATGGCCTCCTAACCATCCCCATATCATAATTGGCTTCATTACTCTTTCTTCTCTCTCTGTGGAGTGCGGTCTGGTGGAAAATGGCTGCTGTCGCTTCATCCAGGTGGATGCTACACTGGTGGTAGATGAGGAGATTCCTACCCAATATATACCAAACTAGCTAAATTTAATAACAATTTTTCCCCTAAATGCTCATTTTGTACTCAGTATGATGAAACTCTAAACCATTTATTTTGGGAGTGTACTTACTGTAAAGTGTTTTGGGTTGACTTTTCCAATTTCATAAAAAAAATCTTATTTCCAAACGTCTGTATTTCCCCAAAAATTGTATTCTTTGAGTAGATCCTTCTCATTGTAGATTTATTATTGATTTATTGCTTTTTTAAACAAAATTTTACATCCATAAATGTAAATTTTCAAAGAAACACCCTTACTTTTTTTATTTTCAGAAAGGACTTTGAAATTTATGTGAACTCTTTAAAAGACTCTAACAATTACACTGCATTTAAAATGCTTTCTTAGTGTAAATCATTTAAACTTGTTTAATTTGCTGGAATTCTATTTCCGTAGCGCCGGGCCGGATATATATATATATATGCCCAATGGCTCTTTAAAAAATGCCTTTGCCAAAAAAAAATGGCTCTTTGCTAAAAAAAAAAAGTGATGTATGAGTGTGAATAGGAGTGTATGGATGTTTCCCAGTGATGTGTTGCAGCTGGAATTTGAGTCATTGACTTCAATGAATCACTCAAAACAGTCGAATAATTAATTCAGAAACTAAGCAATTTCATGTCTTTATGAACGGATCACTGAATCATGGACTCAAATTAACCACTCAAAACAGTCGAATAATTTAGAAGCTAAGCAAATTCCTGCCTTCATCAATAAATCACTGAAACATTGAATCAAATGATTAACTTAAAAACAGATTCATTCAGAAATAAAAAAAAAACTGCATAGCACTGAAACTTAAAAATGGTTGGCTCTTAACTATTTTTGTTGACAAACAAAAAACAAAAAAAAAGATACACTATTGTGTCTGAAATGTAATCCACTCAATATAAACTGTGTAAAATAAATAATGCAACTACAATAGGAAATATGTTTAAAAAAACTAGCTTGTGTAATGTGATGCATCTTATAAGACATGAGAAACCCACACAGGGATACTTTTGCTTTCAGAACCTGAACTATAGAATCATTCAAACTGTTCAAATAGTGACCGCTTTTACACTCTTAAAGACGATTGTTTTCTTCCTCATTAAATGACACTGTCGATTAAGTCAGAGCACACGTGATTAAAACTCACAAATGAATAATATCACACACCCCCCATCCGCAGTCACACAAAAACAGACAATGTTGATATGTATATTGTTTTACCAGGTTTCACAGGGTTATGTTGTGTACAGAGATACATGTCAGTTGTATGACTTGAATGCAACTGAATCCTCTTCTTCAGACAGTGGTGATGGGGTCTGGGGTCTGGGGTCTTTGGGATTTTGAAACCAACTTCAGTCCAATATGCTCTTAAAAAAATCAGGTTGTCATCATCATCATCATCATCATCATCATCATCATCATAAGAATCAATGCAGGGCTCATTTACATCATGTCCACACGTCAAACCCAACAGTTTGTTTCTCACAATCAACTTCAAAGTGCACAATTGATCACATCTCACGACAACAGAGGAAAATCTCTTCGCAAATGTAAAATCCTTTTAAAAAACAAAAGGAAAACTGCATTATATCAAATAAATCACATTGACACTACCTCTTGAACAGCTTCGAGCGCTTAATAGTAGGTTTCGGATCATGAAGAAGGCTCTGGAAACTCTACAATAATGCTGAAAGAAACTCTGTACCTTGCTGATGTGCAAAGGGGAAAATGTTGAAATGTACCAGACAAACAGTTGTAACAAAATTCTTAACCACAGGAATAAACGAGAATGTTAATCTATGCACATAAATATACAAATAAATACAGGTAACAAAATAAGCACTTTCCCTGATTATTAGCAATTAATAGTAACTGGAAGACAGATTTTAAATAGGCCTCAAAGAGCTGTGATGATGGATTTCATTTGGACAAAAATGTGAAAACATGGCCGTTGTTTGTGCAATAAAATCTGCACGCTATTGTTTCCAAGAAATTCAGAAGCTCAAATCCAGAAAAGTGTCTTTTAGGGTGTGTTCACACTTGCAGTTCAGATATGGTGGTCCATTCTGAACATTATTCATATACTATCCGGAATATGAATCCAGAATACTATCCAGACCAGTATTTATGCAGGCATTATTTTTAAAGCCCGAACAGAACTTAATCATTATCATTTGAAAATCAAAAAGCGTATAAATGTGTAAATAAGTCAAAAAAGCACCAGAAATTCCTTTGAAACACAAACAAAAATAAAGATTTACTGTGGGGAGACACATTTCTAATGCTTGTATTGAATTGAGACAGGTACCATTGTGATTATGATAAAAAAAATAAAAAAAAACAGGTATAGTTGAGAATTCTGTCGCTTTTATTCACCTTATTCTTCACGTATGATCTTGCGCAGCCATTTGAATCATTTTGGCTTGAAACTTCCGCTCTCATTCACGTTTTTAGACGTAAAAAACTGACGTTTTCATTAACTGACGTATTATATTATTCCACTTCGTCTGTAAGATAGTCATGAACACACTTAGTAGTTTGATCGGTTTCTGTCGTTTATTATTCCTAGTTATTTCTCCCATAAGCACCTAAATCGGAAGTTCTAAAATCGCAAAAAACAAAAAAAAAAAAAAAAAAAACGCAAAAACGAGCACACTTCCGCACCGAGGCATAGTTACATTTTGTGATACCATGTCGTGTTTTTTGTTTGTTGTCCACTGCAGGGTAACGCTCAATTGACGAGGCTTGTCTACTGTGTACTTTTAGTACCTCGTACTTTTTTTAGTACCACCTAGGGTGAGGTTTCTGGCAAGCTGTACCATTACAAATTGTGATATAGTTGGCGCCAATAGTGTAGTGATTAAGTGTGTCGACATACCCACTTGTTAAGTCGTGATGTAAGGAATACTGTTTCCGGGTCCATGCTACTTGTTTGAATTGAGAAAATATTAGTTTATGACCACTTATTAAAGTGTTATTTCTATAAAATCATGGTGTACACCAGAATCTCAGTCTGGACAGACACATATATTTATATATATTTATAATATATATATTGCAATCGTGATTTTCGAAAGTATTACATCGCTTTGTAAACGTTTATTACCATGTATATTACCATTACCATATGTTAAGCCTCGCCATAGAGTTTAATATAGCGATTGGACCCGGAATCCGTTTGTGTGAAGTCACACTTAACAAGCGGATAGCACCAAGGTGCTCACGGTGACCCTAGCTTGATTCCTGGCTCGAAGTCCTTCAATCCTTTCCCTTTCTCTTGGCTCCCCATGATTTTCTGTCAATACTCTCCACTGTACCATCCACTAAAGGTTAAAAAAATAAATAAATTGTGAGATATAATGACTGCTTATCACCGAATGGTCTGTGAGAATAGTCACTAGCAGTGTCATTGGATTTGCAACAAGACACCAAACTAATATACTGCATTTAAATAGTTAGCAGCTGCCCCTGCTGTATTGCTGGTTCGCACGACTAAACTATTTTTATATCATCGTAAGGAAAAGACACCTGAAATGGCAACATCATGGTCAGCAGAAGAGGTCCAGAGAGCCAGAACTAGATAGGACGACCCAAAATGAAAACAACGTCATTGCCGAAGAGGCGCACAGTCAGTACCTGGATACCTAGGTTGCTGCCGGAAGCGGTGTTAGTGAGACCAGCAGGGGGCGTTCAACCTGCGGTCTGTGGGAGTTCTAACACCCAGTGAACTGGAGGGAACTAGATACTGCTCAGTACTGCCGTTTTTCAGATGAGATGTTAAACCAGTGGTCTTTAAAAATCCCAGGATGTCCTTCGAAAAAGAGTAAAGGTTCAACCCCAACATCCTGGTCAAATTTGTCTACTGCCATCTGTCCATCATGGCCTCCAAACCATCCTGGTATCATAATTTGTCACCTCTCCACCAATCAGCTGGTGTGTGGTGTGCGGTCTGGTGCAATATGGCTGCTGTCACACCATCCAGGTGGATGCTGTACAATAGTGATGGATGAGGAGATTCCCCCCAATGTGTAAAGCACTTTGAGTGTCCAGGAAAGCGCTATATAAATGCAGGGAATTATTATTATTATCAATAATTCCAGCCACTTTAAGCTGTACTAAACTGCAGTGAAAATGCAAACTGAACCAAGAAAAAAATGAATGAAGCAAGCTCAACCATACAGTACCAAGCAGTGAAACAGCTTTAGGAGTCATTCACATATTGCATCTTTTGCGCACACAAGTTATTTTCAATGGAGTCGCGCGGCTGGTGCACGCATATTGGAAGCGAGGCGGAGGTGGCAGGACACGCTTTTGTTTTTTTCACCTAGTTCTAAAAATGTTAACTTTACAGAATGCCGTGAGCGTACTGCGAGTCAGGAGACAAGAACTGACCGATCAGCTTCATACTCCATATTGAATCTGCATATTTTGGTAGACTTACTTAAGACAAATACAGAGCATGCAAACACTGCAGTGCTTTTGATTTTCTCCATAAAAAAAAAACTTGTATCAGAGCTGATACAACTGAAAACTGTAAAAACTGTTAATACTTAAGGCCAATTCATACATCTCAGACCCTTTGACCTACCCTGACGCACCCCTCAAAAAAATGAAACACACATCGCAACAAGGCGCAAGACCTGTGATTGTTCGGCCTGGTGAAAGGTGATGAGTGTGGGCGGGGCCAAGAGCTTTGGGGCAGAGCAAGGCTGCACTTTTGCTGCTTGTTCAATCTACTTATTAAAAATGAGCTTCAAACAACACGATTCTTATTTTTTTTGGGACAACATAATCCATTTATGTTCAATCCGCTTACAATTGTAAAGAAACAATAAAGTAAACGTATTAAATTTTTGTGGGACAACTCGAAGGAATCGTGCAGTATTTATTACAGTTTTTTTTATGAGTACCACAGAGGAGCTCCACACGGATACCTTTGTTTTGTGTTTATTTTATGATTAAAGTTCATTGAGCCAGTTCTTTCATGAATGAGTGTGAAATACTGCAGCCTTACGCACATTTCCAGCGTAAACTCACGACGATTACTCAACGCAGAATTATAAATGAGGCTTTATTCGCACCAGTTGGTTTTAAAACAAACCTGCCAAGTGTGAACACACTCTTAATATTATTTGCGCAGAACAAACAAAATCGTGAAGTGCTATTAATAACCGCATCGTGACCTATTATCGTCAATGCTCAAAGCTGTTCAATTCAGCAGATAAGCGTACAGCAATCCCTCTAAACCCAAAGAGTCTTAATGTGCATTTGTTACATACAAAATAAATAAATAAAAATATCAGTCTTTCAGGCGCTTTAACACCCAAAGCGCCAGATCGGGAATCACGATTGAACTCCAGATCGCACTGCAAACATCCAGATGGCGAGACGGTTCTGGCATATCAGCGTAAATCCCAGGTTATGATCTCAAAGGATTTAATCTCATGTTTGCTGTCTTGGCGCTGTTCCACTTCAAATGTCCACACAGGTTCAGACGCAGTGCAAGTATAAAATAAAATCTAATCATGTTTTTGTTTTGTTTTTTCTTTTAAAAAATGTTCTGTAAACTGTAACAGAAATACAGTATCGTTTCCAGTCTCGTAGCTGCCATTACAGTAATGTTTGATTGCTGTGTTCTGCAACTTCACCGGAGAGCCGTTTGTTTGTGAGCTATGTCTTTTCCTCTCGCTCTGTTTTTCGCCTGGTGATGTTGCGGGGTTTGATCTTTAAGGAAAGCTCCCACAATGCCTCCTCGGCCAGATGATCACTGAAGTCGTTGAAGAAGGAGACGATGTCATCGTTGTGTTTGAGGTCATAGTGCCTGGAAAGATGAGAAGTCACACAAATGACATTTTAATCTTTCTTATTTGGCCATTAAACACAGAGTAAGGTTTAATTAAGAAAAAAAAACTAAATATATATTTTTAATAAAAATAAATAAAAATAATAGTAATTAGCATGTCAGATTAAATTGATTAGATATTCTTTTTTTAAATAAAGTGTTAATAATGTTTAATTAAATAAAACTAAACCCAACAAAATAAAAAGAATTAGGGAAAAACAAAAAATATATATATAAATAAATAAATAATAATAATAATAATAAAAAATTCTAATTATATATTTATTTTTAAATCAGTTTTCACTGGTTCTCGAATCCAATTGGCTGATAGCTGTGCGATATTCTGCAATAACACATTGTAATCATCTTTGTGTATTACTCCGCCCACATAAAGTGACAGCAGATCAATAAACTCACTACAGTTTGACAAATATTGCAGATGTTGGACAACATAATGTACTTTTGAGTCAAGAATTTAGTTGTTTAGATTTCAACTATGCAGTTTATTTATGAGGATAGTGTCTATTTTAAATATTTATAATTTCGGAGATTCAGCGCGTCGGCGGCCATCAGCCTGTCACACTGAGCAGAGTAAAGACGGTTGATGTTTCGCCACAAGATGGTGACAGAGAGCGCATAATAATCCTTAGGGGAGAAAAACTTGTTTTATAATGTTTTATCAGCTGTTGTTTGAAAATTACACCAAGTAAATTACATTCTAAGTCGATTTCTCTCTTTTGTATGTTGTAGTGCTGTATTTATAACATAGTAATCTGGTGATGTTTGCTTTGCTTCGCTTTGCTTTTTTCATGGTTAATTATTGTGATCTCCCAATTGCAACAGAGAAATACATGGAAAATCTGATTTTCCATTAAACCTTATAATCTAACAATGTGAACAAAATCACCTGTTTTGTCATCACTTTAGACATTATGCTAGAGAATCATTCAAATACTAGCTCTAAAGTGAGATGTGTGAATGAGTTTTTGCTGTTCTGACGGTCAGTCACCAGTGCCAAAATACAGCCATATTGCGATGCTACTTGTGTATACATACAGTGTGTATACATTGCAGTTTAACTGAATAAATAATAAATATCATGAATACTAAAAGAAAAAAATGAAAAACTGAATTTAGAAAGAATATATATATATATATATATATATATATATATATATAGAGAGAGAGAGAGAGAGAGAGAGAGAGAGAGAGAGAGAGAGAGAGAGAGAGAGAAATTGGATAAAACTTTCGGATTTCATAGAACCCTAAAATGGATTTTATAAAGTGAACAAATTTCAAAGTGACAAACATTTTCTTTAACCATAAAATCCATTCAAAAAAATAATTAATGAAAAAAAGGAAAAGATAAAACTCTTGTCACAGGGCTCTATCTCTAATAAAATCAAAAACAAATTTTCACAATCCAAATTAATTACTTACTGAATATAAAAGCTAAATTATTATCATAAATATTATAAATGATATTTTTTATGTTGGTCCGAGTACTCACACTTGCTGGAAACGCCTCATAGTGTCTAAAATATTAAACTGCTGCCAGCGTTTGGAAAAGTTGATCTTTCCTTCAATGTGGTCAGGATTCCCAAGATGCACAAACGTTAAGTCCTGGAGGATGAGACCTCTGCATTTTGTGGAAACATAGGAACATTACACACAGAACATGACAGCTAGATTACAACTTAAAGTGTGTATTTTTCTTAAACGACTGACATCTGTACTTACAGGTACGGTATACATGGAGGCTCCACGTCTGCCAAAGCTGCTCTGTACGCCCGGAAAGAGGACGAACTGTCAATTAAAGTGCAATATTCCTCCAAACCCTGTGAAGACAACATCAGTTACAGTGACCATCATCTGAGAAACAAGGGTCAGTGATGCATAGATGAGACATCACCTGTATGCTATATAACTGCACGTTAACTATGCTTATATACAACAACATTAACTGTTTAAAGCTATTAGTTACAAGTTAATTAGTTAAAGTTATTACTAACTAACGAAATTATAGTATCTAATAACACAAATTTTTCCAAATTTGATTTTAATGCATTAATGTGCATGTTTTGTAAAGCTGCTTTTGAAACTATAATTACTGTGAAAAGAGCTATACAAATAAACTTGAATTGAACTGACCTCAGACGTTTGCTTCTGCCATTCCAGTCTTCTGATAGGAGCTGAATCCAGCGCTGATAATATTGCCAAGTATGAGTTGAAGTTATTGAGCTTCCTTAAGTGCTACATTTACAAAGGGACACAAGTTCATTAAGTTTAGATATAGAAATTAAACAATACAGGGTCACACTTTACATTAAGGTTCATTAGTGAATGTTAATTAATGCATTTACTAACATGAACAAACAATGAACAATACATCTACTACTGTAATGTAATGTAATGTATTTTTTATTTAGTGCCATGTCAGCAACCAAGGCTATCTTCATGGCAGGAATCTTTCAACAATAAATATACAATTTAAAAATCAACAAACAAAATAAAACATAAATTAAATAAGATTTTTTGTGTTAATACATGATAAAAATTCTAAAATCTTTTCTGGTTCCACTTTGTCAAAAATGTCCTTAAAAGAGTTAATTTCATAAAAAGTCCTTCTGGAATCAGTAAAAGCAGGACAGTCCAGTAAAATATGTTTTACAGTAATAGGAGTTTTGCAGCACAAACACTGAGTAGGGTTTTCACCTGGGAGCAAAAAACCATGTGTTATTCTCGTATGCCCAATACGACATCTGGTAAAAACTACTTGATCAAATCGATTCTTAAAATGTCTTAAAATTCTGTGTGAAACTTCAGGTTGAATTTCATGTAATTTATTGTTTTCTAATGCATCCCGTTCCTTTTGCCACTTGTTTAAAATGTAAGCGTTGATAAAAGGTTTCATCTCTGACGGAGGAATTTGGCATTTGTTCACTACTTGCTTCAAAGCATCTTTAGCAGCTGCATCAGCTCGCTCATTGCCTAAAAGCCCGACATGTCCAGGAACCCAGCAAAAAATGATGTGATAAAACTGATTTTGTAGTTGGTGAACTTTAGTTAAAATATTATCAATCAAAGGATGATCATTTGTTGAAGATTCCATAAATTGGAGGCATGATTTAGAGTCTGTGAAAATGATGGATTTCTTTTGTTGTGCATTTTCTATGTACTCCAATGCTAAAAGTAAAGTGCGGGCTTCAGCTGTGAATATGGAGCATTCTTTAGGTAGACTGATTCCATGACTTTGTTCCCCTGTCACCATTGCTGCTGCTACATTACTTTCCATTTTTGAACCATCTGTGAAGATTGGTATGTGCTGAGAGTATTGAGTTCTGATATCCAGGTATTGTTGTTTGTACATATTGGGATGAGTAACTCCTTTCTTCTGGTGTCCTAGCTCCATATTGATTATAGGCATCTTTAAATTCCAGGGAGGCAATGAGTTGAAGTGTATTTGTTTTAAAATGTCCAGGTTTAAATTGAGATTTTGTAAGTGTCATCTACTACTGTATTTGTTCATGTTAGTCAATGTTAGTTAATGAAAATACAGTAGTTCATTGTTAGTTCATGTTAACTCATGGTGCATTAACTAATGTTAACAAGCATGGACTTGGATGATAATAATGCATTGCTAAATGTTCAATTATGATTAATAAATGCTGTACAAGTGTTGTTCATGATTAGTAAATGTATTAACTAATGAACCTTATTGTAAAGTGTTACCCAATACTTTTAGCTGGGATCAATATGCTTAGTTTGTACCTTCATTATTTTGATGAACTTCAGGAGAAGTTTTTCCCGATCCTGGGCTTTCTCCTGCAGGATTATTATGGACCGAACCCTTTAAAAAAAAGATGATAAATAATGTATATGTACAGTTTACTCATTAGCATCCCTAAATATATTTTTTCCTCCATCAACATAATATTTTAGGTTTCAGCTTTCATTAATTCACAAAAAAAAATGTGTTGACCACAGATAAAGCACCTTATTTCCATGATAAAATGGAGACTTATCTTATGTGGGAATATTTTTGGCAATAGCCAATATTAAATTGTATGTGTCAAAATTATAAATGTACTTGGATTTTAATGCATTAGATTGTTTAAAAGGAATTAGTTCAGATTTTAAACTTTAAAAATTATTTCTTCATATTTTTTGGAAGCCAAAACAAATTTTAGATTTTCATATAGCCAATATTTTTCTATCCTAACAAACCATACATCAAAATTATTTATTCATCTTTCACGTGATGTATAAATCTGAATAAATCAATTGATATGATTAAAATTAGTGTTTGGTTTATATATTTGTTATTACATTGGTTAAATATATTATTTAAATTTATGTAAAACTGTGGCCTAATATAATTTAGCATTTAAATTTTATTATAGTCAACTTTGACTAAAATCATGGGCGTCACAGTGGTGTAGTCGGTAGCACGATCGCCTCACAGCAAGAAGGTCGCTGGTTTGAGCCTCGGCTGGGTCAGTTGGCATTTCTGTGTGGAGTTTGCATGTTCTCCCTGTAATTGCCGGTTCATTCCGCTGTGGCAACCACAGATTAATAAAGTCGGTAAGGACTAAGCCGAAAAGAAAATGAACGAATGACTAAAATCATATACAAAAAGTAATTTAAGTTCACTACAATAAACACTGGCTAACAAATGCAAAAACAAACATTATATTAAAGTTAGTTACCAAGGAACTATTTTCATTATCAGTAAGTTTAACTTAAAGCAGGTTAAATGTAAATTAATAAATATATTTAAAAAAAATAAATAAATAAATAGATCACTAAAGTCTCCACTAATAAAACAATATCTTAGGGAAAAAGATAACTGGTCCCACTTTATATTAAGTGGCCTTAATTAATATGTACTTACAGTAAAATTAATAATTCTTTGCTGTGTACTTATTGTGTAAATACATGTTTTTACATTGTACTTATGCTTGAATAAATACCTGGATGTCATTACATCTGTAATTAATTTCTGTAAATACATTTGTAAATAGACTGTTGACCATCCCTTACACCTCAACCCACCCTTAAACCTACCAATACCACCAAACCTGTCCATAACCATACCCGTATCCCAACTCAAGAGCACCACAAGTGTTCTCAAATACATTATCAACCCAGTAAGTACATTGTATTTATTTTTTGATGCCAGTACATAGTAGTTAAGAACAATTAATATAAAGTGGTACCAGATAACTGTATTGGATTAAAAATGTTAACTATACTACTAAATCCATGGTAAATATTGGTGATTGCTGAATTCAAATGCTCTCTAAACTCGATTGTTTCCTCTGCAATTTTCCAGTGAATTGGAATGCTTACTGTATAATGCCAGTTGCATGATCGAGATTAGTCAGTAAGTAAACTCCTTCACATTAAAGGCTTAAAATGTTGCTGTGTTGTTGTTTTTTAAATGAGCTGATAAGTGTGGCTTTCTGTACAAACAAGAACACTGTTTTGTTTTGTTCTGCTTTTGCTGTTTAATCTTTCTCATTTGCAATTAAAATAGCATCTTTTATTAGTTTGACAAATTACAAGAAACACCAGTGTGACTTCTAATAAAATTCAGTTGCATTAACAGAACAAGTTGCAAAATGTGGTCATTTTATTGCAGGCTGGATCACGAAGACTTCAAGAGCACGCTTTATGATATTAAAAGCCTTTCACATTCAAAATTTGACACGAAATTTAAATGCTACTTAATGTTTCTTTGCAATGAATTGTGAAATTTGATAAAAATACTTCTACAACAAATTTCTTTCAGTGTAGTTCATTTTAAAGCTTATGTGAGGTGCTTTGAAACGTGCAGTTTTTATTCGAGGTTTAATGTAAACTCAACTGAAACATGAAGACAGGGCGGGACATACAGTAGCCTCTCCACTTTATCAACTGTTAAATTTCAAAGCCAATAGTGTTTTGTTTTTGTGGTTGAGCTCAAGCGCATCAAATAAAAAGCAAATGAGAAGCGCCTTGAAAAGGGCGGGGCATGTCAGAAACTAGAGAGCATTTGATTGGTCAGAAAATTTGATAAGAAATTGGAGTATGAGGTGATGTTAAGAAAATATTCATCCATTTTGGCAAAATATGACAAACTGCAAGCTTTGAATGTTTGTATCTTCTTAATGCAAATTTTGTCAGTCTTATGGAGCATGTTAGCTTATAGATATCCTTAACATTAACATCTATGAAATTTCATTTTAATTTCACAGAGCTTTTAAATGTCCCCGTATAGACAATACAGTTTTAAAAAACACAAATACACAATAAAAACAGTGTCTTTGTGGGAAATTCTATCAGATTAAGCATTAATATAGACCACACTTGATGAAGGAACGAAAAGCTTAGTGTTCATCTGACTAGATTGTGTCTTCTAGTTTTAAACATTTCTAGTTTAACAGCAGCTTGACAATGGGAGCATCATACCAGTACGACATGTTGTTGAAGTGCTCTGTGAATTGGGTCAGGTTGGGGCTTTTCTCCTCATTCTGTTCTTTTGCCCAAAGTAAAACCTCCGGGATCTGCAAACAAACAGGAAACATATGTCGGCTAACACTCCATCTTTATTAGTCAAATGGCTGATGTGTGATATTAGAGCGATGGCTCCCAGACTAAGGGGCGAAAAAAAGATTTATAAAGCATCACTCTAGTTTGAGGGGTTAAAAATAAAACAGATTGTAATTATAAAACAATTTATTGACAGTTAATGTCACCATTAAAAGAGTGCAAACCTACAGTAATCACTTTCCAGCATTAATCAAACTTCTTACAGAATGTCCTTTCGTTTTCATTCAGACTGTCTGCAGTTTTGTTCAGACCATAGACAGGATCACACAAAATGGAAAGTTCGACTTAGCTTCTTTTTGCCATATTTATTTATTAACATTTTGTGCAGATACAATATAATGTACAGTCGAAGTCAGAATTATTAGCCCCCTTGATTTTTTTTCTTTTTTAAATATTTCCACATGATGTTTAACAGAGCAAGGAAATTTTCACAGTATGCCTGATAATTTATTTTTTGTCTTATTTGTTTTATTTCAGCTAGAATAAAAGCAGTTTAGATTTTTTTTTAAAGCCATTTTAAGGTCAAAATTATTAGTCCCTTTGAGCTATGCATTTTTTCGATAGTCTACAAAACAAACCATCCTTATACAATAACTTGCCTAATTACCCTAACCTGCCAAGTTAACTTAATTAACCTAGTTAAGCATTTACATGTCACTTTAAGCTGTATAGAAGTGTCTTGAAAAAATCTAGTAAAATATTATTTACTGTCATCATGGCAAAGATAAAACGAATCAGTTATTAGAAATGAGTTATTAAAACTATTATGATTAGAAATGTGTTGAAAAAAATCTTCTCTCCGTTAAACAGAAATTGGGAAAAAAAAATAAACAGGGGGCACGGTTCTGCTTTTTCACAACAAAGAACTAATGACCAATGAAAAAAACAATATAGTTATTAAATAACAGTAAATGTAAAAAATAATAAAAAATAAATATATAAATAAAAAAAACTAACAATAAAAGAAATAAATAAATAATAATATTAATGTAAAAATGCTTTATTCCTCTTCTGCTTTAGATCAAGTGTCAATATAATTCAACAAAGTTTTCCATGTTTTGTAAAAAGATTTTAAAGACCCTTTTAATGTAAACCTCATTTTTCCCAAATATAAACACAAAAAATGTATTTATTCATCCGTCATATGAAGGTGGAGATGTTTGTTTCCACTTTGTTTCCACAGGAGAATAAGCCTTAAGTTAAATGTTTTTTCAAAAGTATCAACTATTTTAGACCCAAACAAAGTTTGACTAAGCTTTTATGCAATACTACAGAACGAAGATTAAAAAAACAAACAAACAAACAAACAAACAGATTTTGCGTTCTAAAAAAATTTAACATAGTAAATCTTAGTAGTCAATGTTTATTAATATTTATCAATCAAACTTTTTTGTTGATTTAAAGAGGATTTATTATGCTTTTAACAAGATGTAAAAATAAGTCTTTGATGTCCCTAGAAGTTTAAGCAAAAATACCCCACAAATGTTTTATAACTCTTCGAAACTGCCTTAGATCCATTTTGGTGATGGTCACTTTAAATTTAAATGAGATTGAGCTTTTTTCAAAAGAGGGAGGAGCTACAAATGCCTATGTGTTAGCATAGTGGCAGATTCAAAAAACAAGACTAACGTAATATGCCGATGAGGGGAGATCATCACCAATGGGTGGTTCATTCACCCTCTGATGACGTGTACAAACAAAGAATGTCAATTAAAGTTAATTAAATTGAATTAATTAACTAATGTTGACCATTAGAGGCTGGATTTATCCACACACTGTTGCCACACATCTGTGTTTAAACCTCTTATAAAGTGATTTTTGCATAATAGGTCCCCTTTAAAGTTGAACGTTTGTCAATTACATTATTTGAATCTTTATGTAATTGTAATTAATAAAAAGCATACGGGTCTGCTAGTTTTTTTTAAAGGGGCGATTAAAGAATTTAAATATTAAATTAGGGATCTCTTGGAAAAAAGAAGATATTGGAGAATCTGTACCTCTATCTTATAAAAGAGCTCTGCATCGAGGAGCGTCAGCTGGTCTGCGATCTCATGGCTACGGAAGTCATGCAATGTGCCAGGCCTGATGAAATAAACAGTCAACATCAGGTGGGTTTTCAAAAGCAAGATTTAATAAGCATGATTTAGATGAGGTTTACCTGGCGGCCACACCGCGTGCAGCCAGTGTTTTGAGGGAATTAGTGTACTGCAGCAACTTCTTCTGCTGGACTTTATCCAGGATGTTTTTGCGCAGAACCCGGGCCAAAGTAAGCTCCCCTTTACACAAGAGATTGAACACAAGCTCCATGAGCTGCTTCAGGATGTCTTCCGTCAGCTCCACCAAACTGTTTACACACACAAAAACAGTTGATAAGCAAATATAAAACATCATCAGCAACAATTATCAACCTTATTCTAAAATAAGGCTGCACAATACTGGAAAAATATGCAATATTCAATGCTATTTAGCAATATTTCTCATAATATATATATATTTTCTCCAGATTTTTATTCGCTTTTTTTTGTTATTACTTCAAAACTACAATCAAAACTAAAAAAGGCATATAACTGAAACCTCAGAGGGGTCACTGGATTGCTCTTGAGTTATAGATTTGTCAAATAAATCAAGAAATTGACCCTAAGTAGTCAACAATTTTCCTATTGTAAAAAACAAACCGTCACCTTGGAATTATAAGGTTCTATCTGCGTTCTGAATGATTTTGAGATATTAAAATAAATATATATTGAGATATTAAATAAAAAGTCTTAAAATGTTAACGATTTATATAAAAAAAAAACATCCCATAATGTAAATAAGTAGTCAATTGATAAGAATATGTCAATAATTCAATTTTGACAAAAATGTCAGATAAAACCTTATAATTCCATGGTGACGAAATACGTTCTATTACATAGTTCATAAAAGACAATAGTCAAAAAAGCTCAACAGAGGCATTTCAACAGCTTGCACAAGTGATAAATTTGCCTTTCAACTGTGATTGTAAAGAGTTTCAGCTCACCAAAGCTCATCCACGACACGCACCAGCACGAAGAAGGTGTTTTTACTAGCTCGTTGTTTGATGCTGTCAGAGCTGAGAGAAAATCTGGTGTACGTGTTCAGAGTCAAGGGCAAAAAAGAAAAAAATGCTTGGTGTACAAAGGTTAGATATGCAAAGACTTATAATGCAACCTTCCCAGAAAGGATATCTATAGCGGAGCTTTTTAATGAGGTCCTCTGGGGTTAGAAATGTTCTGTACGTGGTCAAGAAAGCTTCACAGTATAAAACCCGATCTACAAGAGAGCACACAGGGTACATTTATTTAATCAGAATTATAGATCAAGAGTTAACAATGCGACATAAATGTGAAAACATTGTTAGAAATGAATTCATTTGACATTCAAAGGTCTGGGGTCAAAATCGAAGTTAAAAAAGCAGCAATATTCATTCATTCATTTTCTTTTCGGCTTAGTCCCTTTATTAATCAGGGGTCACCGCAGCGGAATGAACCGTCAACTTATCCAGCATATGTTTTATGCAGCGGATGCCCTTTCAGCTGCAACCCATCACTAGGAAATACCCATATACTGTCATTCACAAACACATACACTACGGGCAAGTTTAGCTTGCCCAATTCACCTAAACATCATGTCTTTGGACTTGTGGGGAAAACCGGAGGAGGAAACCCACGCCAACACATGGAGAACATGCAAACTCTACATAGAAATGTCAACTGACTCAGTCAAGGCTTAACCCAGCGACCTTCTTGCTGTAAAGTCAAATATTCTAAAATATTATTCATTCATTTTCCTTCGGCTTTGTCCCGTTTTTATCAGGGGTCAACTTATTTAGCATATGTTTTACACAGCAGATGCCTTTCCAGCTGCAACCCAGTACTGAGACGCGCTAAAATATTATTACAGTTAAAATATTGTCATTTATTTTAAAATGTAAATTATTTCTGTAATGACACCTGAATTTTCAGCATTGTTATTTCAGTTTTTATCTCAGTAGCTATGTATCCATCCACCTATTTTTATGCGCATTTTTGATATGTGCACAAAAAACGGTTGACGGAAACGCCAAGATGCAAATCAATTTTGAAAATGCACAAAAAAAATGTATGCGCATCTTTGAGTGGATACATAGCTAGTGACATGATCCTTTAGGAATCAATATAATACGCTGATGTGGCGCCTAAAGCAGGTCGCACACCAGAAGCGCCATGCCGCATAGCGCCACGGAGCGCTATGCATTTTAGAATTCTAAACATAGGTTTCTATCAGGGTACACAAACCTGTGCCGCAAGTCGACGGCTGTCAGCGGCGCCCAGCTATGACTCAGGACACTGTTCATATTTCTGCTGCGCCACAGAGCGTCATCTGAATAGTTTTATTTTAAATACCATGCGAATGTGTGCATCTGGTGTGTGACACTTTTAATTTTTTAAACCAGTAGGCATCTTAATATAATGTCCGTGGGGGGATTATTGCACGTAATGTATGCAATAGTTTTATATTAGGTTATATTGGTTACGTGGCGAATATTACGCTCTTTCGAGCTCTCTTTCTCTCTCTCTCTCTCGTTAACATTAAATACTTGTGCTACATGACAATATAAAAGCTTTTTTAGCTCCTGTGTATGAGATTTAAGGTTTGCAACTCTGCTGAAGTCTGTTTTTAAATGAAAGCGTCAGAGATGACATCATTCAATATGGTTTTTAATGACATGTGACTCGAATTGGCAGGTGAAAATTCGATCTCCCTGCTAACACTGCGGACACGAGGACATGGATCCGATTCATATCAGATACATTTCCACTAATGAACTAGAACTAAATCTGATTTGAGTAAATCGGAATCCATGTGATTTTTTCCTGCTTACACGTACACGGGCCAAATCTGTGCCACATGAGAGAAATAAAATCAGAATTGAGTCACTTGAACCATGCAGTGTAAATGCAGCCTCAGTAACATTAAATGATTACTATCATATAATTAATTTTGACCAATTTACTGCATCTTTGCTGAATGAAACTATTGTAAATTGTAATAAAATAAATCTCTCCAACCCCAAACTTTTAAATGTCAGTTTAACATCACATTTGAAATCTTCTATATTGTTTAGCACATGTGTTGTTTTTTAAATAAACATTCAACACAATATATCTGACTGGCCCAGATTAGAAGAGATTATTCTTACCTTTGCGGTCGGTTTCAGTGGCATGAACTAATAAAATATCGCCTGATCCCGCTCTAACATCAGGGCCGTCGTCGTTCTGAAAAACACAGATTATGAGGTTTTCATCACGTAGGTTAAAGCTAGAGCTCGTCCTGTAACCAGTTCCTAAACATAACTTGCTAAATAATGTTTCTAAAATCTACTAATAGACGGCTTGCTAGTTGGACTTTGAGAAGCATGATATAGTTGGGCTATTTACTGCTTAATAGTCCTATATGTGATCCAGGATAACCAAACCTTTATGTTGCATGGCTACATTTTCACCAATAGCCAAAAATATATTGAATAAGTCAAATTTATAGATCTTTTTTTTATGCCAAAATTAATATTAAGAAAAGAACATGTTCCATGAAGATGTTCTGTTAGTGTCCTACTGTAATTTTATGACAACTCAATTTTGTATTAGTAATATGCATTGCCAAACACTTTAAATAGACAATTTTAAAGGCAAATTTCTCAACATTTTGATCTATTTGCATCATCATATTCCAGATTTTCAAAATTCTGCATTTTGACCATATATCCTATCTAAAAAAACATATTTTAATGGAAAGCTCCTTTATTCAGCTTTTAGATAATGTACAAAACCTGATCTCCAAACATTGACACTTATGACTGGTTTTGTGTTCCAGGGTCGCATATTGTCTTATTGTAGAGTGGTCTACTTATTAACGGTCTTGTCTATTTTTAATTCTCCTGACATTGGAGTTTTATATGCGCTTCAATTCATCACTGAAATAGCGTTAAGTCACAGGCAGATGGCAGCAGAGTAAAAACTAATGCTTTCACTATCATCACAACCTATGCATTTCAAAAAGCAAAACTGTATATGTGCATACTGTATGCAATAACGAACGCAAAAGTTTACCTCTTGCTTTAGTGTTATGCGAGACATGATCTCATCGTGGTCAATCAAACAGAGCTCATCCACCTCTTCTGAGGTCAAATCTGAGTCCACACACTTCTGCTTCCAGCTGCAAATCAAAGTACAGGTGATACAAATCTTTTTAATCAGATTTTAATCTCTGAAATAGTTTTAAAGGTGCAGTATGTAAGTATTTGACTCTAAATCATAGTAAATACCATAATATGTTTGAACTAGAAGTTGCTAAGTCTTTTATTTCAGTGTGTTGATGCATTTCCAATCACTCAATATTTAAAATGGGATATTGAGTAGGGGCGAGGCTTTCTTTTGCACATCATTCCCTCATAGTAAACTACTGGTATGAAGGGTGTGGTTAAGAATATTGCAATGTAGTTGCTATGGAAGTCCACAAGTTGACATCAACAGAGAAAGACCGCCACTTCAGATGTACTGTAGAAGCAAATGGAAAGACATTGAGTAAGGATTACCAATACAAAGTCTTTTTTTTGTGGATTAACTTGCACTTATGAATTAGTGTAACACACTGTGTAAACATTTGTTTATCTGAAGACTCATGCTAAAGTGCCTTATTTTACTTTGAAAATGTGCATCCCGTGTCAAAATGTCTGTCTTTGTTTTGGTCTCTATAACCTGCCCACTGCCAATTTACACAATTGTATTTATTTTTGCACCCCAGGTTGTCTTGGTTGGAAAACACACCATATTTCATTTCAGTCATGCAGGCTCCCTTTATATATGCGGGTGCAGCCAAAAAGTGACCTCTAGAGGACAGTAGTAGCCTCCGAAATGAGAGGCAGATTAAGAGTTATAAAAAAATCACATGAGGTGGTTTTTATTTTGCAAACAATTGAAAAATTATAAATGTTAACATTAGCTGAGCAGCTTACAGTGTAAGTTTGAAGGGCTGGTGTCCTGCAGAGTTTAGTTCCAACCCCAATTAGACACATCTGAACCAGCTAATTAAGCTCTTTTTAGGTATGCTAGTGTGTTATGCAGGACACTGGCGCTCCAGTTTGGGCACCCCTGGTGTAATGGTGCGTTCACACCAGATGCGGATGACGCGTCCATCGAGAGTGATTTACATGTTAAGTCAATGCAAAGATGCGAATAGACATCCTGCGGCACTATTCCTGCAAATGAGGCAGCACAATAGACTCAGTTTGTACGAATGTGAAAGTGACACAAATTGAGAGTTTTGCGCAATTGAAGTGTGATACGCTCGACTTGGAAAATCTGAACTTTAGCAGACATTTATGCCACATTAACCAATCAGGAGCTTGCTCTTGTAGGGGCATGATTATGACATTACAGTGCCTGTTGTGCCTGTTGTTGGTGTCCCGAAGAAAGTTGTTGGAGAAATCCTCCTGGTAACACTGAACAACAGCTTATCAAACTGGGCTTAGCTCAGTCGGAAGCACCGCTGAAAGCTTCCATCATCCAGGTATAGTTTCTGGAGGAGTTGATAAACTCACAGAGCTGAGTGCACCTCTGAAAGGATCTAGTGGACTTGAAAAATTAAATTAACGCTGTTTTTCAGCCTTCATAAAGCACAAAAAGCATTGCTTCTCTCTCAATAAAATCCATGTTAGGCATTTAACAAAGAAACTGAAGTCACTGGGCAGACAGAAGCCCGGCCCATGACACGAATCCACGCCTATTGTGAAGTGAATTTCACGCGCAAATGAAGCAAATTTGATGCGCGAATGAAAAGAGTAAACTCAAAATGTTCACGCATCTGTTTACGCACGAATATCACGATTTATTTGTGCAAGCCACATCTGGTGTGAACACCCTATTAGGCTTGACCTTCAGGCATGCTTGTGAACTGTTGGCGTTGTCAATCTGGCAACCTGTGTGTCATATCTAAAGCGGAGGGGCCGGATGGAAAAAGAACCCCTGTCCATTGTTTTGAACTTGGACTGGAATATCTATTTCAGCCACTGGGTGTCAGTCCTACATAATGCACTTTTAAAAGAAGAACAATAGAGAGAGAGAGTTTAAATCAAGGACTGTTACCCCTCTCTGTCAGCTGGATCTTTGCTGTGTTCAATAGCGGAGTCCTGGGGCGAATCTTCAGCACCGCAAAAAGAGTCCTGGCAATGACAGAACAAATATTTAATGATTATCACAACTTAACAACAACAATAAACAAAGAGACATTGCTGGGGAAAACATTTAATCAATAAAGGACAACTGGGCTGCATCTTGATAGGATGCAAAATACAGGGAAGAGTACAAAGTGGCAGTTAATTTCACAAAATTTTCAAAACAAGACTGGGAAATATTGAAAACACAAGACAATATATTAGATTAAGTTTCACTACATAACAATCAACCATTCAAATGTTTAGGGTTGGTATGACATTTGAAAGAAGTCTATTAAGCTCATCAAGGCTGTATTTGCTGTTAAACAGAAATATTATATAACAGAACTGCAATTTATTAGGTCTTCAGTGTCACATGATCCCTGAGAAAACATTGAAATGAGCAGCTTTGCATTTATTATTATTGTCATTATTATCAGTATTGAAAACAGTTCTTCTTAAAGGGATAGTTCACCCAAAATTATGTTATTCTTTGAAAAGAGGAATAAAATATTTTGTAAATGCTGAAAACCTGTGACCACTGACTTCTATAGTATTTTTTTTCCATACTAAGGAACTCAATGGTTACAGGGTTCCAACATTTTTCTAAATATCTTCTATTGTGTTCAAAGACACTCAAACAAACAAGTAAATACTATGTACACATACTAATCTTTAGGGTGAACTATCCCTTTAAGAAATCATGTTGCACTGATTAGTCATCCTTTTAAAATATCATACTCAAATATTTGAATGGTAGTGCATGTAATAAAAATACAGAAAATCAGCTTGACATAAAGAGCATGACATGCATCAATCATGAGGTTAGACAAATCATTCGGTAATTAATGAAATCACACACAAAAGCATCACTGAGGTATCACAAGTGTTTACGGTCTCAAATTATTTTTGCATATTTATCCAAAAGCATACCGTTGAGGCGACTGTGCAACATAACAATACAGTAGCCGGTAAACACTAAGACGACTCGCATCAAGATGATTCTGATGATCTGTTAAGAGGTTTAATAACTACTGCTTCGGCTGCAGGTTTTATTTTTGAAAAGCACACAATCATCAATTCCCCAATTCCCCTTTTTTGTTCTCGGAAGTTTTCAACCAGCTCGATTTCACAACAACATCTACATACAAAGTCATCTAAAAATGAGAAGCCTTTTTTTCGTTCAACTTTTTCCCCCCACACTGCAAGCAAATTTCTGCACAAAAAGACATGCTAGACAAGGTGTTTTCAACCTATTTTAACTCATGGCCCACTAAAACAAACACGTTTCCAGGAAACATTTGAGTTAGATTTGAACAAATACATATTAGGGCTGCACACAATTTGGAGAAAAAACCTAATTGCGATTTTTCTGATTAAAATTGTGATTTACTACTGAAGAGCTTCAGTTTTAAAGTGATGGTTTTAACAGCACCAAAGAAAGACACAAAGTATGCTCTGCATGTTTTGGATGTCTTCTTTGTCTGTCACATTCATTACAGGTCTTTCGGTCTCTGCTGGTAAAGGAGACATGGAAAATGTGCAGAGCTGGTGGTCCTCCAGTAAGATGGTTGAGAAACACTACTCTATGCTACTGTATATTATATATAAAATCTCTTAAACACTGTTGCCATTTTTTTAAATAAAGTTGTCAACACACAAATTAAGAAAATAACTACAGTATGTTAAAATTATTATATATAAAATCTTCGATTTTAATAATCCATACACACTCTAAACTATTCTTTTTATCAGTAAAACACTGACGATAACCTACATTAACGTTGAAACAAAGACAGCAAACGTGTTGCCATTTAAAGTGCAAAGAACACAAATAATACTAAAGCTAAAAGGTCAACAAGGAAACGTTTAGATTGTGTTACATTTTTCATATTGCTCAGGGTAATGTCTTTTCCAACTGTCTGAAGCTAAAGTGTCAAAAACTAGATGCTTCTTATATTTGATAGTGTATCGAAATAATCGTCGCTTTTGGGATTTGAAAATCGCACCCTTTCAAATCGATTTCTGCTTATAAACAAATAAATCATGCAGGCCTAATGCAAATGTACCCTTGTTGATTTGATCCATTTAATATAACTATTATCTAATCAAAACTATTTAACTACATAATAACACATGCTATTTCCAAAGTAAAAGGGTATTTATAATGCATCCATGATGCATCAGTGAGCTAGATAAATCCCATTTTATTTATTTAATATTTACATGTATGCGTATTCGCCAATCAAATCTTGTCCTATTTGCGTCTAGTTCAGCAAGTGCAGGTAACTATTTTGGTCAAGCATTCAAAACTGACAGATAATTGTCGGACGGAACCCATTGACAGCTATGTATTTAGCAAAAAAGATTTTACATTAGCGGGTTGTAATTTAACTAATTGATAAAATTCAATTGTGAATGCATAGTAACGATTTTATTATTGCTTGTTATTTAATTATAAATCAAATTAGGAATAGACATTTCACATATACTGACAATATTATTTTTATTAAATAACATCTAGCCTCTACCCCCCCTCCCCCCCCTTCATGACACGCAGGTTGAAAACCACTGTACTAGACCCTAGGGCTGAATGATAAATAGAACTGAAACCACATTTGTGATTGTCTTGCATGTCATGTAAGGAAAGTATGGTGATGTGATCATCAGTAAATCTCCTTTAGAAGGCCAGAGGGCACCCAAAAAAACAAAAACAGGAAATACTAGTCTACATTGGATATCCTTATACCACTTGCAGGATAAACAGTGTATTAAACTGCAATCATTTTATTAAAAGCGATTGATAAACACATGACCACGACAACATATGATTTTTTATCAGTTCTTCTTGCAATATATTCTTTAATTTTCCAGATTATGGGTTCCCAAAGTACCAGTGGTCCAAAAAACCCCCAAGGGGTCACAGGACAATAAAGAGGGGGGTCGCCTGGAGATTTACAAAAATCAAATTCACTTCATTAAACTATTAGAATTACAATATTTTATCGATAACCTACAGAATAAAAAAATAGTAGCTAATATTTAAATAAAAAAAACAACAACATGTAAATAGAAAGCCATCGACCTTTCATAAAGGCAAATCTATTAAAGACACAGCACATTGATTTTATGGTACCATGTTAAACTTTGACACCATTACAGCACCCACGTACATTAAAAATAAATACAGCCAAAACTGAAAACGGAGGATGGTCTCCGAGTGGCAGTGTTCGAAATTAAATGATGAATAGATTTGGGCCTATTGGTATACAGTTGAAGTCAGAATTATTAGCCCCTGTTTATTTTTTTTCCCCAATTTCTGTTTAACAAAAAGAAGATTTTTTTTCACAACATTTCTAAACATAATAGTTTTAATAACTAATTTCTAGTAATTTATTTATTTTATCTTTGACATTATAACAGTAAATAATATTTGACTAGATATTTTTCAAGACACTTCTATACAGCTTAAAGTGACATTTAAATAATTAACTAGGTTGATTAGGTTTATTAGGCAGGTTAATTAGACAAGTTATTGTAAAATGATGGTTTGTTCTGTAGACAGTCGGAAAAAATTACCTTAAAAGGGCTAATAATTTTGACTTAAAATGGTGTTAAAAAATTAAAAACTGCTTTTATTTTAGCCGAAATAAAACAAATAAGACTTTCTCCAGAATAAAAAATGTTATCAGACATGCTGTGAAAATTTCCTTGCTCTGTTGAACATCATTTGGGAAAAATGTAAAAAACAAAAAAAATTCAAAGAGGGGCTAATAATTCTGACTTTAACTGTATGTATCCCTCAGAGGATATTGGGGGTCGGAAGTCACTGGTATTATTATTTTGGGGGTTGCGGGTTGAAAAGTTTGAGATCCCCTGTTTTAGATAATAAAGTATGTAATAATGCAACGTCTTTGCCACTACTAAATATGCTGTGTGTCTTATTTTGTGTAAGAAAACATATTGTTTAACAAATTCATTGATTTCAAAACAATCGACAGAAGCTACAAAGTGAGTTGAGTAAAATGTCATTATATACAACGTTGGGGAAATGCATTACAAATAACACACAATTATATTACTTTAAAAAAAAATAAGTAATAATACCTGTGTTACTTGTAACCAGGGCCAGACAGAATCTGTGGACGTTTTTTGCTATTTCTGCTGAGAATTTCGGAAAAAATCTACGGATTTCTGCGGAATTATTTTGGGTGTATCCAGCAGAGTATCATAACTAAAACATTAATATATTAAATAAAAAGTAATAAATTACTGAATAAAAATGAATTAACTCAGATATACACATTTACTCAAGTAAATAAACAGAATTAATAATAGACTAAAAATCTGCAGAAATCTGCAAAAATCTGTGGAATTCTGCTCGCGCAGATTCTGTGTGGGCCTACTTGTAACTCAATGAGAGACCCCACAAGAACAGACACAATCAAAGATGCCAGAGCATTACATTTTTGCGCTAAAAGTGTTTGCATTATTTTGAACGCATTGAAGAAATGAAAAAGGGATTGTCCCAAAAGACAGTGATTTGACTGAATTAATAAGACAAAAAAATACAAATATAGCAAACACATTGCTTTAAACTTTCATTAATCTGTACATACCGCATGTATAGCTCTAGGGTCAGGAAGCTTTCAAAAGATAACATTACCCTAAATTACAGTTAAGGATAAGTAACTCAATATTGTGGGAAGTCTCTCAATATTGTAATGCATTACTTTCAAAGGTAACTCTCCCCAACACTGATTATATAAGGTATTAGCATGTGCTTTTAGGTTTAACATTAGCAACATTTACGACAATGGGCTGTAGTTCACTGACAAGCAAGGCAAACAGCCGTCAATATCGCAGAAGAATTATTTATAATTTGACTATAACAATGTGATATTTTTCGTAGCTTGTCAGTGACAAGAACACACTAATGGAGATTCACAACTGATTAAAAGAGACGGCTTTATAAACAAATGGGCACAAAAATCACATTCGATTTATCGTTCAGCCCTACTAGACACTTAATATCCAACATTTAAAGCAGGATTTTGAACCAATGACATTTCACAAGACGAAGCCACCAAGCATAAAACAATATTGTCTTGCGCAACAATATTGCCAGACGCTGTTAGTTAGGACAGGCTCAGATTAACATGCAAGATATTTCTTGTTTGTTGATTCTTAGCACTCGCAGAGTGCACCTTGGCGGCAAGCGTTAAGTAAAATAGCAATTATCCAGTTTGCATGAAGCAAAGCCAAGCATTACAGTCACAAACAGCACAGAACGCAGCATGTGAGGCCACCGACAGCTGACATGCTGTTACTTACTCCATTGGAGAGAGTCACATCTCCATTGGCCTGGTTGGATGAATACAGATTGACGTATTCACCCTCCCCACCTTCATCATTAGCACTTTCGCTCTACAGAAAAACAAGAGGGAGGACAGCACAAGCACAGGCAGGCGTCAGAGTAAAGCTGATGGCCAAAAGGGAGCTGAAAAACAGCTCAAATACACTGTTGCTTTTTTGGCGGGGTTGAAATTAAAAGACACTTTTTTGCAAAGCAAGATCCTGCATTACTGGCGCCTGGAAACCTGGCAAGAAGAAGAGCGTTATAGTGAGTCTACTACACATGTTGAGTAGTCTGCCAGAAACACACTTAATTGTTGCAAATCCATGGCCTTGAGAGTGCCTCGACTGCAGCAAAAGAAATAGGATGAACAATAACATCACAATAAATAATCACATTTGTTTAGGGCTATTACATTAAACAATTCTTCCAGCAGATGATATCTGTTATTAGCCTAACAAAGTGTCTAAACTGGAAGCAACATTTATTATGCAATAAAACTATATTACTCAATTATAATAAAAGCAGTCGGCTACATTACAAGTGGACTGACGTCAGACTGAGCGGGCCTGTTTCCTGTCAAAACAAGCTGGGCACTGCCAGTATAGACAAATGTAATAGGGAGTTATAACATTTTCATTTAGATGAAAAAAGAAATCATACTGTATGCAGTATACATATTTTTATAATGAAAACAATTTGTTATAAACAAAGACAAACATATCTTTACATTTTTCACCAATTATTTTTTAAAGCATTTTATTTTATTTCATTGTTAATGAGTTTTAATTTCTATAGTTTATAACCATTTTATACTGGTTATATATAACCATATATATATATATATATATATATATATATATATATATATATATATATATATATATATATATATATATATATGGTCCTCCAGTTTCAACCACAGTCCAAAGCCATGCGGTACAGGTGAATTGGGTAGGCTAAATTGTCTGTAGTGTAAGTGTGTTTGAGTGTGTGCGCGTGTGTGTGTGTGTGTGCGTGTGTGTGTGTGAATGAATGAGTGTGTGTGGATGTTTCCCAGAGATGGGTTGCGGCTGGAAGGGCATCCTTGCGTAAAAAATGTGCTGGATAAGTTGGCGGTTCATTCCACTGTGGCGACCCCAGATTAATAAAAGGACTAAGCCGAAAAGAAAATGAATGAATGGATATTTATATATAGTTTTTTGTTTGTTTATTTTTTATTTGCATAATGATTATTTTTGTGTACCGTCTGTAATAATTTTCGTTTTTTTGCAACTAGAAAACTGTTATAAATAAAACCTTTTAAAGAAGCTTTTTAGATGAAACTCTGGTCAAACTCTGATTAGTCAAACCTATATTTAGTAGTCTCTTTCCCAATAAAACATAAAGTGTTCCCTTTATTCAGTAAATAGATGGAGCTCAGCTGACACAAGATCATAACAGGCAGCTCAGGCACATAACGGTGGGGATACAAACGAGACCCTGCGGGACAATGTGTGTTTAACCTGAGCTTTCAGCAGGTCACAGTTGCAGGATCCCTGTGTGGTACAAGGCTTTGACTCTTTAGATCTCCAGTTTAGATCTCTAGAGGCGTGTGGAAAAAATAAATAAATAAATAAATCACTCAACCCTAACAAGGCAGTGCTGCTGTTAATTGAGGCTGTGAACTATTCATTGCCTACAGGCTACGGCACCTGTGATTCATGTGAGCTATTACCAACTTGTTTCCCCTTGTAGCTGCAGGTAAATGCAGCGACACACGGTCAATAATTAGACAATCAGCACTCTTTGAATGTTTGTGCTACTTCACAGCATGAGAAAAACTACAGAGGTAAAACTGCAGTGCTGGCAGCTACTTGACACTATTCAGTTTAAGGCTGTTTCATAAAAAATTATGATTAAAGGCTAATGAATTTAAAAATTTACAAAAATAATTGTGACTATTCATCTGATAATTACTAAGTTGAAATCTCACTTTTTTATTTCAGTTTTTATCTTCATTTTTTTTTTTTACAAAAGTTATTGAGCTTTTAACAAGGGGCATACACACACTAGACTATCTGAACCGTGCCCGGGTGTGTTTGAGCTCCATTTCCCAGTTTGTTTGACAAGTGTGAGTACTCCGAACTGCGCCCAGGTGCATTTCAGTTGGCCGGCCCTGGCACGGTTGGAAGAGGTGGTCCAGAGCATGGTTCAGCTGGGATGCTTGTAGTGTGTAGAATGCAAAACTCGCACAAGCACAAAACTGAACACGGTCATTACTTTTATGGACCGTTACCACTGAGTGGTCCAGTATGGTACGGCTTTTATGTCCATTTCCACTGTCAAAAGGTACCAAAAAGCGAACCGTAACAATTCGTAACGACGTACCATTTTTTGGGTACCCTTACGGAAGGTTACCTGCACAACAAAAGGGTACCAAAAGCCAAGACGCGCAGCTGAATGCTATTGGTTTACAGAGAAACGTCACCAGCGCATACACAAGCAAGGGAATGAAAACAAAGGAAGCACCATTTTTAAATTCACAGCTGAGACATTACACTATAATAATATATACATATAATAACGATCCATGGACGACCTGAGCTTAAACAAACTTTGTCGTTGTCTTGATGAACCGCCACAAAGGCAAGCAGATGAGCAAAATCTACCTTATAACCCGTAGTTGTTTACAAGGCCGTCTAAAGCGCGAGCCGTTTCGCTTTCTTGCGTGTGTCTATATTTGAAATAACAAACTTCTTGTGCTGATGATAATAACGTGAGCGTAATTATTAAAGTTCTTCTGACATCATAAAAAAAATCAAGTATTGCGTTGATTCAACACATTTTAAATAAGTAGTTTAACAAACTATACATAATTTCGAATATGTTCAATTTTTTTTACAGTATTTGTTTTATATCTCACAAATATTTTTTACTTTAGCTACAGAAAAAAGTAACTGCGACCTTTTCTTTTAAAAAATCCTTACCAATGGGAGCTTATATTATTTAATTTAAGTTAAACTCTTGCTAATTTACATATACATAATTCCTTTTTTATTCCCTAGAATTGTTTTTTTTTTTTTTTTTTTTTTTGGAAATCTGAATTTAAACAGCTTTTGAAAATTCTTCACAAAATAAATAGCTAGTGCCTACTTTATCATAACTTTGTCTTTGATTTTAAATCTGTGATTTTTCATCTCACTATTCTGACGTTTCTTATTAAAATTGGAAGTTTATAACTCTCAACTGTGAGTTTATATCTCAGTTCGTTACCTTGATCAAAAAAAAAAAAAAAAATTGTCATACATTCTTGTGCACTTCTGCAAGTTCTGCTGTTTCCTGAATATTAGACTTTAAGGAAGATATTAAAAGGTGAGGAATAAACATGTTAGATAGTGGACAGGCAGCAGGGACTCACCGTAGGGACAGGCAGAGAGCCCTCGCGGTTCAGAGAGGAGTTAGATGCAGAAAGGCTGAGAGTGGACTCTGTCTCACCGGGACCGGGCCCAGACACACACTGCTGCAGCTGACAAGACAGAGACGAGGAAGAGGAGGAGGAAGGAGACGCAGAGTGTGAGGAAGCCTAGGAGGAAAGAGAAGTGCGGAGGAAGGAAGAGAGAAAAGAGGCCAGAGATTCATCATGCACAGCGCAGATGTGTATTGAATGGAGAAACAGACTGAGAAACTGGCATATTCTATTCAAATCAGTCCCTCAATGATTTTGTGTTGCTATGATTGCACAATTGACAGACAAATCAAGCAAATGTAGCATAATGGAGACACTGATGGAGATTTCATGTGACCAGATGCATTGTGTAAATTGAATTGATCTCATTTTAATCTGGACAAAAACATGTCATACTGTATTATTATTATTAGTATTATACTTGATACATCAGACTTTAAATGACTCGTATGATACATAATGATAACACAAAGAGAAACCAAATGGCTCAGTTTTACTTAGCAAAAATAGCAACCCAGGTTCATTCTGAAAAAGTAGCTATATATACATTTCTGGAGACCACCAAATACATCCCAGGAGCTATGCTTTTTAGCAGTTTTTGTTTTTGCGAATCCACCAAAGGCCGTTGTGTACACATTTTGTGATCTCAAATTTCTCTTACAAGTGCCGTTTTCGCCTGCTGTTCTCACGTAAATCCACCAAGTCAATCCAGAGGCCTCTGTTGACTGACTGACCCACCGTCCTCTGAGCGCTACGTTTTCAGAATGAGCCTATGTTGAAAAGTAGCCATTTGAGACATTTAAATATAAAAACGTTTGCTAAATTACCCACTGTAAATATATCAAAACTTAATGTTTGATTAGTAATACTCACTGCTAAGAACTTTTTTTTAAACTTTAAAGCCAATTAAGATTTCAGATTTTCAAACAGTTGTATTTCAGCCTAATATATTTCAATCCTAACAAACCAAACATCATGGAAAAATATTTATTCAGCTTTTAGTTGATGTATAAAACCTGACTTCCAAACAATAGATTAGTTGTGTGGTCCAAGGTCACTATTTTTCAACAGTTTTATTTCCATACTGTAGAGTCCTTTGTGAATAAAAAAATAAAACCTGAAAAAATCTTGAAGCGACAGATTTGATGTTTAAAAAAAGACCCTTGAGCCCTGAATGGACCCTATTTTCACTCTGTTAAACATGATGTCTACTCAAGACTCAGGCTACTGTGAAGCAGAAAAAAAGCATCAAGTGAAAGAGTTGTACTGTGAAGGTGTAAAATAACGAGAGGGTAACGTTTCTGCTTTTTGCCTGGCAGCTGCTTGTTATTGCAAATCAGAGTGTGGGAACAAAAGCAGGAACTTACTAAGACTAAAAGCACAATTAAATGGCTAAATGCTTGTGCAATTTAGATACGAGCACATATGGGCTACTTAATACCAGAGCACAATACACTTATCAACAGACCTCTGTGAATCCTCCAGCTCAGTCACGTGGAATGAGAGAAAAAAACAAAACAATGGAAACTAAGTCAAATGAAATCTATCTATCTATCCATCCATCCATCCATCCATCCATCCATCCATCCATCCATCCATCCATCCATCCATCCATCCATCCATCCATCCATCCATCCATCCATCCATCCATCCATCCATCCATCCATCCATCCATCCATCCATCCATAGCTTTGAAAAATAATTGAGAACACTTTAAATGTATTATTGATTCTCTGAATTTGTCACTAATAGGTGCACTTGTTGAGTAAATTTACTATTTCCGTTTTATTCCATGGTCTGTTGAAATTCTTGATTCTGCTTGGCTGGAGGGTGTGCGTTATCACCAAAGAGGCTTCCATGTTGTGCATTAAAATCCTTTAATGCACGGCAAGCCGTTGATTATTCCTTACAAAAACTACTGATAACATATATTCAAAATTTCAAATAAGAATATCAGAATTTATTTGCAGAAAAACAAAAGACAAAAAGTCAATACAATATTTCATGTCATCAAACCTTAAGTTGAAAAAATAAGTAAATAATAATAGTATTATTAATATTATTATAAATAATAATAATAACATTAAAATAATATTAACAATAATACACAAACACACCCAAATTTATCTGATTACTATAAATCCTATATTCATAATAATTCTTTTAATATTTGTTGTATTTTATATCTAGTATTTACAGTATCTATTTTTTGGCCCAACAAAATTTTAAAACTTGTCAGGCTCATCCTCTAACATTTTAAAAACTACACAGCCACTTCACTTTTTTTGTAACTTCAATACTTGTGTGACTATGATCTGGTTATGTAAATTCCATTTTTACATGTTAAATTAGATGTCTTATAGCATTTTCTCATGGATGCTTAACATTTTTTTTTCTGATTTGACTCATCATTTGATTGGGACCTATTTGCATTTCATTATTCATTGGATGTATGAAAAACAAAACAAGCTTTTGCTTTGAAAGAAAATTGACCAGGGACGCTGCTTAAAAAAAAAATAAATAAATAAATAAATAAACAAACAATCTTTATTTGCTTGTTTCTAATCTGCACAGCTAAAGCTGCTCAAAACAAATAGCGCATTACATAATGACTTCACAATAATCTTTTCTTTTTTTTTTCTCTGAATTAGAGTTCGCATCTTTACTTTGTTTGATACTTTTTAGCTGAACATATATCAGACATGTCTACACAACACACAATGACGAAACAGATGAAGTAAGATTAGCTTTTACTGGCACAGCATGACACTGATCGCCCGAGGCAACACTTAAACTTCAGTCGACCATCAGAGAATAAATACTGTGCCCTAAGTAGAGCTGCCACTACTTAGTAATAACTACGTATACAGTTGAGGGCAAAATTATTAGCCCTCCTGTGCAATATTTATTCTTTTTCAAATATTTTTAAACAGATTAAAGACATTTTCACAGTATGTACAATACTTGTTCTTCTGGAGAAGGTCTTGTTTCTTTTCTTTACTAGAATAAAAGCAGTTTTTAATAATAATAATAATAATAAACATTTTAAGGTAAATATTATTAGCCTTCTCAAGCAATATATATATTTTAAATTGTCTCAAGAACGAACCACTGTTATACAATGACTTGGCTAACTTGCCTTATTAACCTAATTGAGCTTTTAAAAGTCACTTAATACTGAATACTAGTATCCTGAAAAGTATCTGCTAAAATATTATGTACTGTCATCATGGCAAAGAGAAAAGAAATCAGTTATTAGAAATTAATTTGTAAAACTATTATGTTTAGAAATGTTGAAAAATAAGATTGTAACATAAAATATTGTGTAAAAAGTGAAGCGCTACGAATACTTTCCAGATGCACTGTACCTTGAAAAAGAAGACATGTAAACAAGATGTAAAATTAAGAGTAACATAATAATAATAATAATATTATGAACAAACCTTTAAGTGTAGGCTTCAGCATATTCTTATTCTGAATGGCATTACTTAATTCACATGTCCTTTATGTAACTTATGCAGCTAGCTACGTAAGGAAAAGTTCTTTAAAGGGCACCTTTGGTGAAAAATCTACTTTTCAAGCTGTTTGGACAGACATGTGTGTAAGTATAGTGTATAGACCGTCATATTGGGGTGATATAAACACACACAGTCCTTTTTTTTTCAATTGAACAACATAAAATCGGTGGACGAATTGGAGCGGTTTTCAGACTGACCGCAACTTGACTTAGGAGTGCGGTCCCCCTATCCCCCAATATTGATTGACAGACGCGTCACCATATCCTCAGTTTCTTGTTTCACGTCTGCCATTTTTAGCGTGTGTTTGCTCTATTTTTAGATGTAGGGCTCATTAGGCTCAACACAAGACAAATATTCTCCACATTATCGCTCTAATCTGAATTATTGTTTGTACCTTTTGGTAGGTTTGCAAACATGTAGTTTTCATTGCGTCTCCTTCACAGGTGTCAAACTCAGTTCCAAAAGGGCTCTGCACAGTTTAGTTCCAACCCTAATTAAACACACCTGATCAAACTAATTGAGTCCTTCAGGCTTGTTTGAAACCTACAGGTAAGTGTGTTGGAGCAGGGTTGGAACTGAATAGTGCAGGGCTTCGGCCCTCCAGGAATTGAGTTTGACACCGCTAGTCTACTTTAAACATCAGCCGTTTGCTTTTCTCGCAAACACAAAAGCTCCCTGTGATCTTAGGTGCAGCTGAAAAAGTGCAAGCGCTTTGCCTCATGTGCGCGTCTCTCCATTGGAAATAAAATAACAAACTTGCCTGCAGGTCGCATACCAGAAGCGCCTCTCTGCGTGGCACCGTGCATTTCAGGGGTTCTGGGCACGGGTTTCTGTCGGGGTGCACGCGGCGGCACTTTGGGTCAGCGGCTGGATGCCGCGGCCGGCCACCGACCTGGGGCACCGTTGTGTTTGCCCTAGTGGAGGCCTCTGTTTGGAGTTCTGGAATGCATGGCGCTGTGTGGCGCGACGATTCAGGACACTTCATGTTTCTGCCGCGCCACTAAGAGTGTCTGGTGTGCCATGTCGCAGCTTCGAGCGGCACATTCGGTGCCTCACGTCAAAGTTAATTCAGGATGCGTGGCTATTAGTCTCGGTGTACAAGCTTGGCACTTGAAACTAGCACACAGTTGGCTGTAAAAATATACAGAGACAGAAAATGATTTTGTACTCTCTGCTTGGTCTGTATCTGAGACGTACAAGTACGGCTGAACCCAGCTTAGCTTCTCTCTGTCTGCTGCAAACACAGAGCGTGGGAGCTCTTGGCTCTGCCCCCTTGTTACGTTAGGCGAAACTTATTTTCATGTGAACCAACACGCCCCTAAAACAGCGAGCTGTGTACACGCCCCCAACATGACACTTTTGAACACATTATAATAGAAACATCTGAACTGTGTGTTAAACTGAAACTAAACTGTACACTCAGAAGAACCATAATATTAATATTAAATCATAAAAAAGGGGTAAACTATGTGCCCTTTAATATAGCACAAGAACAAACAACTCTTCATTCAAATGCCAAAAATTCTCATAAAACACTGAAGCACTTTATGAAATAGGAGTAGAAGTGGATTATTAATCTGAGTTTGTAGAAATCTCTCTCACAACAGTCTCACGTTTGTGATCCCAAACATATCTGACCCCGAACACATGACATCGCTTGAGTCTCTTCTGCCCACTCTGATGCCTCCAATATTTATCGAGGAGGAAACAAAAAAAAGCTACACTGGTTTAATTTTGCACAGAGGCCTAAGTTAAGTTGTTAACATTACCAGTGTTTGTGAACTGCACCATATAAATGCACATGACATTCCTTGCATTGGCTATTGAACACCACGTACAACACATGCAATTGCTGTGGTAAACACTGTTACTTAGCTGATAATTATTTTTTTTAATAAAGACTTTTATTTTACTAATAGGTCCAAAATTGTATTATTATTAATATTATGTTTTATATAAAGACAGTCAAAGTAACGTAATATAAGTTGATAAAAAATATCAAGGTATACAGTATACTATTGTTGTCACGATGGAATTGGGTACTGGAATTTTACAAACGTCCATTTTCTGTGAACATTTGAACGCTGTTGAGTGCGTTCTTAAACCCTGCTGATTTGCCATTGTGTTCACATGCTCAACAGAAACAGATACAGCGACACTGGAGCACTTTAAAGCCATGAAGATCAGCTGATCTCTTTATGAGCAGACATACAAGTGATCTGCTGATGAATTGACTGATCTTCATGGCTTTAAAACGATCTAGTGTTCCTGTACCTGTGTTTACACTCAGTAAATAGTGGTGAGTTCGGTGAACGGATGACCTTCACAGCCAATCAAAGTCATTTCTGCTAAGCATGTGAACACAATAGCAAATCAGCACTGTTTAGGAACGTGTTCAGCAGTGCTTAAATGTTAGCAAGAAATGGACGTTTTAAAAATTACAACACAGATTGGTATCGAATTCCAGTATTATGACAATAATAGAATATAGAGTAATCAGAGAGTGAAATTCAATCTATTTGAAGCTCTTTTTTAAGACTCTTTCCATACATTTTAAGATCTCCTCGCCACTTTAGGTTTTACAATGGCGACAATTTAATTTAGTGTAAAAATTAAATAAATACTAACTTCAGGAAAGCACATCTAAAGACGCTTAGCTTGTGATAACTTCTTACCAAAGCAACAGATTTCACAGAAAGTGAAAGAAGAACAAGCTGACTACCTCTATGAAAGTTTCAGAAGAGAAATACAACAACACAATTAGACCAGTGAAAAAAGCTTCCCAGAGATGGGTTGCAGCTGGAAGAGCATCCACTGCGTAAAAACTTGCTGGATAATTGGCGGTTCATTTCGCTGTGGCGACCCCTGATTAATAAAGGGACTAAGTCGACAAGAAAATGAATGAAATGAATGAAAAAAAAGCTGTATGTGAGGCTTTAACAAACACCATTAAATGAATTAATGAAAATTTAGACTCCCATTTAATACAACTCAACACATTCATCTATGGCTGGGGGATAAAATCGGTATCGATATTTATTGACTGAACATCATTGTCAATATTGATTAAAAAAAAATAGATTTAGAATGTAGTTTAGGTATGAAGCACTATAGTTTTATTAAATGTGGCTGCGCCTTGAAAGCAATGCCAATAAGCTGAGGGTGTCAGTTTGTCATTTCCAATGGAGGCACACGACTTGCACAACACACACATTGGGGCAACTCGCACCTGAACTGTGCATTTTCCAGCTGTACCTAGTTAAAAAACATTTAAACTTTTCTGAATGCCGCGAGCGTGAGTAGAACTAATCAATCTGCTTCACACTTTGTATGGAACATACACATTTCAGTAACGGCAGACTAATAACCTCAGACAAACACAGCACATCCAAACACTGCAGCAGGTTTTACTTTTCTCCATAAACTCGTATCGAACACATAGCAATGGTTTGTTTATTTGTCATCGTCTAAAAAAACGTTTGATGGTTGTTTAATTACAGGAGATGCAAGGGAAGCGCAAGCAAAGTCCATTGTAAATGGATAAGGAATCCACGCGCACGCTTGTCCCTTCGGATCAAAATAATAATACATGAGAAAATGAGTGCTGAATAGCAGCAGTGAAGAGATTGTTTAAAAAAAAAAAAAGGATGCAAGGATGTCGCCAGAGTGGCTTTATTTTTTTTTTGCATCCCAGCCACTAGCCCCCCATCTGAAAGATATTTTAGCATAGGGGTAATGTAGTCATTCAACTTCACAGTTTGTAATGTTACAATATGTATTTGAATATTGATGGTTGGTTCCTTTACTTGAAAGCTCAGATTTGATTCTCATAATTTGTGTTGTTGACAGAGTTTGAGGCTCACTGTATCATTATTATTCACACCTTAAAGTTTGCTTTGATTGTTTAGTATTTACTCTTTACCATTGCACACACTTTGTAACCTTTTTTTAATCAAGTTTAAGAGTTTCTTGAGGACTTATGTTTATTTTATTACAAAGATATGAGATATTTTGTTTAAATACTTTTGTTTTTGACTTAAAACGATTTGCCTTCATAATGGTGGTAAATTAAAATAAAAGGTTAAGTAAAACAATTCTAATATTCCAAAATGTGTTGTTAAAATATATTCAATAATTATTGATATCAAATTATATTAAACATGATATAGTTTAAAATTTTTTTTGTAATATCACCCAGCCCTACATTCATCTATAAAGACACTAATGCACTGATCTTCAGTTTTTCACGTCTGACTACAATTTTTTTAACTAGCAAATTGGCTGATTCCATATTTCAGAAATTGTAAACCAGAAAAAAATTAAATAAAATTTGCTCAAAAGCAGTGAATAGTTTTTTTTACACTTTATAAAATTTAATACCTGGCAAAATAGCATTTAAGCCTTTTTTAGGGGCATTACATTTTTCTAAATTGAACTAAATTCATACTTTTTAAAGGTCCCATGAAATAAAAATATTTTTTTAGATGTTAGTTACAGTGTTTTAAGTATATCTATAAGCTAATCCGCACCAGAACGGTGACAAAATTAGCATTTATGGTGTATAAAACCCAAAACATCATGTAACGCTTGCAGTTTGTTACTTCCACTTAAATGGATCAACGGTTTTATTTATGTCACATCTTACTTCAGTATCAGACATGCCCCGCCCATTTCAAGATGCTTCACATTTGCGGCTCTTCAGCTCAACTAATCTCACTAGCAGAGCAGTGATAAAACAAAATGGGGGAGGAGCTACACTATGTCCCACCCTCTCTTCATGTTTCAGTTGAGATTACGTCAAACATGCAACCAAGCATTTCATGGGACCTTTAGGACTCTGCGGACACCCTGAATTATTGATGTCGATTATGTTGACTAATCACAGCAGCCCTAGCCATAAGCAACACAACATTGCATCAACATTTAGAGCATGTGGGAATATAAGTGATTGAGATCTCACCAGTTGTCTCTGTTTTGGGGGCAGTGCTGGCGGAGGAAGAGTCTCATCGCTGCTGCTGAAGGAGTCGCTGAGGCCATACACTTCCTGAAATCGCTTCCTATTGCGCTGCTCATAAATGCTTTCACTTTGTGGCGTCTGATAGAAAACGGAAGGCAGCGGCTCTGAATAGTCCTCCATGAACTGCATGTATTTCAGGACTGTGGGTAGACAGGGGAAAACATAAATAGGTTAAATCGGCACACAGGTCGACAGGTGCAAAAAAACGAGCACATGCTTTAAGAAGAGGAAAGGTTATGATGTCAAGAGGCTAGGAAACTACCATGTGAATTCACACTTTTAATTAACAAGTGAATTGTGTGGGGGGTTTAGCTATTTTGTTTTAGATATTTTGAAGTGATTTAATTTAGGTTTTTTTTTTTCGGAATTTGTATGCATTACAGAAATTAAGATGTACTGTCAGTATTAGACTAGAATAATTTGATTTGTATAACACAGTTAGCATATGCATATATGAATCAAAAGTTTGTAGAAAAATGTCTGAAAACCTTTAATATCCAAAATGACATCAAGAAATGCAATATAGAGCTATGGAAATTTTTAAGAAATTATCAGTTACTCTAGATTTACTTCACAAGTGAATTTATCAATTTATTCTGGATATTTTTAAGTAATTTAATCTTGTCATTTTCATATTTTTTATGCATTATGCAAATTAAGATGTATAGCCAATAATAAATTACAGTGCATCTGGAAAGTCTTCATAGCGCTTAACTTTTTCCACATTTTTTGAGTTACAGCCTTATTCCAAAATGGATTAAATTCATTTACTTCCTTAAGATTCTACACTTAATACCTCATAATGACAATGTGAAAAAAGATTTTTTTTAATTGTTGCAAATGTATATATATATATATATATATATATATATATATATATATATATATATATATATATATATATATATAAAAAGCTGAAAAATCACGAGTACAGAAGTATTCACAGCCTTTGCTCAATACTTTGTTGATACACCTTTGGCAGCAATTACAACCTCAAGTTTTTTTGTATTTGAAGCCACAAGCTTGGCGCAACTGTCTTTGGGAATTTTTGCCCCTTCCTCTTTGCAGTACCTCTCAAGCTCTTTCAGGTTGAATGGGAAGCGACAGTGTACAGCCATTTTCCGATCTCTCCAGAGATGTTCAATAGGATTTAGGTCTGGGATCTGGCTGAGACACTCAAGGACATTCACAGAGTTAGTGTGAAGCCACTCCATTGATATTTTGGCGGTGTGCTTTGGGTCTTTGTCCTGCTGAAAGATGAACTGTTGCCCCAGTCTGAGGTCAAGAGCACTCTGAAGCAGGTTTTCATCAAGGATGTCTCTGTACATTGCTGCATTCATCTTTCCCTCAATCCTGACTTCCAGTTCCTGCTGCTGAAAAACATCCCCACAGCATGATGCTGCCACCACCGCCATGCCTGGTTTTCTCCAAAAGTAACATCTGGCTTTCACTCCAAAGACCAGAAAATTTTGTTTCTTATGGTCCGAGAGTCCTTTAGATGCCTTTTGGCAAATTCCAGTCAGGATGCTATGTGCCCTTTACTAAGGAGTGACTTACATCTGAACACTCTACCATACAGGCCTGATTGGTGGATTGCTGCACAGATGGTTGTCCTTTTGTAAGGTTCTCCTCTCTCCACTGATGTACGCTGGAGCTCAGACAGAGTGACCATTGGGTTATTGATCACCTCCCTGACTAAGGCCATTCTCCCCCGATCACTCAGCTTAGATGGCCGGCCAGCCCTAGGAAGAGTCCTGGTGGTTCCAAACATCTTCTGCTTACGGATGATGAAGGCCACTCTGTTCCTTGGAACTTTCAGAGCAGCAAAAATTTTTCTGTAACCTTCCCCAGCCTTGTGCCTTGCAACAATTCTGTCTCAGAGGTCTATGGGCAATTCCTTTGTCTTCATGCTTGGTTTGTGCTTTGACATGCACTGCCAACCCTGGGACCTTATATAGACTGGTGTATGGCTTTTTAAATCATGTCCAATCAACTGAATTTATCACAGGTGAACTCCAATTAAACTGCTGTAACATCTCAAGAATGATCAGTGGAAACAGAATTTACCTGAGCTCAATTTAGAGCTTCATGGCAAAAGGCTATGAATACTTATGTACATGTGATTTTTTCAGTTTTTTATTTTTAATAAATCTGCAACAATTTCAACAAATCTTTTTTCACATTGTCATTATGGGGTATTGTGTGTAGAAGTTTGAGAAACGTAAAAAAAAAATGAACTTAATCATTTTTACAATAAGGCTGTAACAAAAAAAAATTTGGCAAAAGTGAAGAGCTATGAATACTTTCTTTCTTGTGTATTTATGTAGCACATTTATTGTGTATGGCCATATACCCAAAGTGCTTTACAATCATGACGGGGGAGGGAGGGGTCTCTCCACACCACCACCAGTGTGCAGCATCCACTTGGATGATGTGACAACAGCCACAGGACAACGGCGCCAGTGCTCTCACCACACACTAGCTATTGGTGATAGTGATAGTGCCAATTCAGTGGAAGGGGATGATTGGGAGGCCATGATTGTAAGGGCGGATTGAGGGAATTTGGGACTTATTATGTATATATACAGTATATATATAAAACATCATATCCAGAATTTATTAATGTTTTTTGTCATTGTAATTTGATGTTCATTTATGGGTGGATTATTGTTAAAAACATTATTTTCCGAATGTTTTTTTTCCTCCACTTCAGAAAGTCTTTTTATATGTGTATTTTCTAAAAGGTTCACAATTTGAGTTTGTTTATTTACTGCCACATCAGCAACCTATGGCTTTTTTGCGGCAGGATCAATAAACTCACATTTCAAGAGTTCATCCTTAACTGATGATTGATTATGAAGCATGTTTGGCATGCTGTCTCGGAAGAGAGCTCTGAACTTGTGAGATCCTCGAGCCAGATCCCCCCCATTGCAGGGTGAGAGGGAAGTCCGAGTTCAGGTGGGTCTCTGTTGATAATGTTGCAAATACATTATGAAAGCATGGAGTGTCTATGCTGTCAATTTAGATTTGTCAATTTACTTATGTTACATGTTTTTGGTCTGTGGGTGGAAACCGGAGAGCCCGGTGAAAACCCATGCAAACACGGGGAGGACATGCAAACTCCGCACAGAAATGCCAACTTGGCCAGGTAGTGTCTGAGCTAGTGACATTCTTGCTGTGTGGCAATGATGGTAACCATTAGGCCTCCGTGCTGCCCTGACAAGGAAATGGGAGGAGTAGGGGTGGAAGGGGAGATTCTTCAAGACGAAGATGGCTGAGGTAAGATACTCTGGTTATTTATAGTGGTTAAGGAGTCGTCTGATTGGTGAATCAGTGTTAGCTAATATGGACTAGCTGCTATTAATCATAAGCGCGTGCTACTCTCGAAATTAGTTTATAAATAAACGTCACAACATAATAATAACTTCAATAATAACTACATATTTCAAATTTAAAAAATGATACAGGATAAATAAATATTTCATTGGTGGTCAATTTTTACATTATTTCAAACATTTAGCAAACACAAACTGCACATGTAAACGCAGTGACTGCAATCCAAAGCCAATATAAAATTGTAAAGAGCTCAACATCCCCCGTGTGGCCTCACATCAACTCCTCTATCAATCCTCACAGTTGATGTGTGGATTATGACATGATTCAGAGGCTCCTCCCCTGCAAACAACAGTCTTTCAGCAGGAGCTCATTTCCTGCCGGTTTGGGTGAGGCCTTGAGCTGCATTGAGCCAGAGATTTCTCCAACAAAGCCATTATTCCATCTGACCTCACACTGCAGCTGACATCACTGTTTCCCAACACTGAGAGGCTTTACAGATGAAAAACTAGTGAAAAACGGGCTTTGCCATATACTGCGTCACACAGCGCGCACATTTCACAAGGAATTCAGTGAACTGTGCAAACAGCTTAGTCTGAAGACAAACAGAATTGCTATGGATCAAACTACTAGCTTGGACATACAGTAGTATTTGAAGATGCATGTTATGAATGCATGTTATTATGAATGATTTATCTGTTTAGTTCATTACAAAAATAATGTTAATAGTTGTTCCAGCTTGGTCCTGGATACTAATTCTGGTCAGCACATTGCAGACCTGTATTTTCTGTATGTAAGATTTTTTTTTTTTTTTTTTTTTGCTGTTTATTTTGTTGCATGTTTTTTGGTGTCTTTTATTTTGTATCTTTTTGTAATGTTTTTTACAATGTTTTGTACATTTAAATATAATAATAATAATAATAATAGTAATAATAATAATAATAGGTTTCATTTATATGTATATCACAATATGGAAGATATGGAAGTTTTATTATTATAATTATTTTATTTAGAAAAATTGTCATTTATGTATGAATTGTTAATAAAAACATTACATCATTTAAAATGTTTTTCCCACCTCAGAAATTTCTTTTTTTGAATTTGTTTGTTTTTTTATTACTATATCAGCTACTCATGGCAATATCAATATACTGTAGATAATAACATAAGTAATTACTTCAATAATAACTTCATATTTTAATTAAAAAAATATATATATATATTATATTATATTATATATATATATATATATATATATATATATATATATATATATATATATATATATATATATATATTATTATATATAATAATATATTGTATTATTATATTATATAATAATTATATAAAAAAATTTTGATGTAATTTTTTAGTTCAACTTTTTGATAAATAACTTCTAATTCTTCCTGGTGATACATTTTTAAAAACATCCAAGTGCTTTGAGTATAAAAATCTTGTCTACAAGATTTAAAAATTTCAAATTCTAATAAAATGTGTTTTATGGTGAGAGAGGCCTGACAGTGATTACATGTCGGTGGTATAGTACATCCTTTTTCAATAAATATTAACTTCATGGAATTTTTCTTGGATGCGTTTCATTCATTTTATGCTTTTCTGCTTAGTCCCTTTATTAATCATGGGTCGCCACAGCGGAATGAACCGCCAACTTATCCAGCATGTTTTATGCAGCGAATGTCCTTCCTGCTGCAACCCAACACTGGGAAACACCCACACACATAAAAACTACAGCTAATGTAGCTTATTCAATTCACCTGTAAAACATGTCTTTGGACTGTGGAGGAAACCGGAGTACCTGGATGACCCTGGATGAAGCTGCATTCACACTAGAACTATAGAAACTGTATTATGCTTTAAAAAAAAACGGCACAGTATCGGGATCAAATCTGTATCGGTCGATACTCAGAACTTTGTTATCGGGATCAGATCAGTTCTAAAAAAATTGGTACCGGTGCATCCCTAGTTTTTTCAGTTTAAATTATTCATGACTTCTTTTTTTCTGCAACTCTACATTTTTGGCCTTATTTGCATTTATTGCCAAAAAACGGAACTGAAAATTGTCATTACAGTAAACTAAAAGGGAAATAAAAGGGAAAGAACCAAAATTGAAGACTTTCACCAAAACTGCTGTACTTCCAACTAGACAGGTCTCTGTAACCCAGTGATTTGCAATCCTCTAAACAACCCATCTGAATTCTTTATACTCACTATGGCGACTCTTCTTCTCCGGCAGGGGTGGGGGGCTCTGGGGGATCTGTGTGTTCTCACTGGGACCGAAGTTCCCCATAAATACTCCAGGGTTTGAGGGGGGGATTGCACCGAAGAGAGGGAAGGGTGGAGTGTGCATGTCCTCATCTGGAACGTTGTCATATTGAGAGTAGAGTCGTTCCACTGGAGGCAGAGGTGGCCGCCGTTCCTTCTTCGGGAGGGCAGGAGGCATCGACTGGTGCTGGACTGGAAATGAGGAAGATTCGTGGAGAGATTCGGGGAGGGGGCTCAGACAACCCCCTGTGTGTGTGTGAGGGATCTGCTCAGTGCTGGACAGGTCTTGATGCAAGAAGTCATAGTCAGGGTCGTAGCTCTCTGCTGTGTCTGAATAAGCCAGGAAAAAAGAGAGAGAAGATAAAAATCATTCATTTTTTTGAAAGTAGATACTCAGAAATGTACCCATTCATATCACATTTCTCACTTTATTCACAACTTCATGACAAATGTTTGATGAAAATGCTGAAATACAAAATAAATATTAATAAAATACACATTTTAAAAACAGTATATAAAGTAATCAGAGAGTAAAATTCAATTCATTTTAAGACCATTTTAAAGACTCTTTCTTTACATTTTAAGACCTTATAAGCACTTTAGGTTTCAACAAGAAACATTCCAACATTTTAACTAGCAGTATATTTACTAAATATTAACGTAAGACACTAATCATAAACTATAACATTATAACATACTGATTAAAAATATATTAAATCTAGCTAATTCAGCAGGTTGGCGCCTAAAGAACTGCTGAAAAACCGATGATGCCTTGCTACTGCAGAAAACAGAGCAGCATATATTTTTGATTTTAATGATTTCATAAACTACAAAGCATCCTGATATTCACAAATCAAATTCAGGCAAACTTTAGCATACAACAAAACATTGCATAATTAAAAAATTATGTAAAATTTAATACCTTGCAACATAACATTTAAGACTTTTTTATACTTTTTAAGAGCCTCCAAACTCTCTACATTGATTTATCAACTTTTTATACTTTTTAAGACCTCGCGGACACCCTGAAAACGCCACGACTGAACATAAAAATAAAAATATAGCTAAATAAAACTCAAAATCTAAACATTGTGCTTTTAAGACTGCAACTTTCTAACAATTCTGTTATTTACATTTCTGTCTGCATCCTCATAATGGCTGGTAAACTGTAGTCAAATACATCTTTTTTCACATTATTATGTCCTTATGGGATATTGTGTGTAGACTTTTGAGGAAATAAACAAATTTAATCCATATTGGAATAAGGCTGTAACAAAAAAAAAAAAAAATGTGTAAAAAGTGAAGCACTATCATTACTTTCCGGATGCACTGTATATCCCCATATTACACTGCCCTAAAAATAAACTCTCTATTTCATAACACAAACAAGTATTCATAATTTGAAATATGGCTGGTATTTTTTAATGTTAAAGACAGTGGGCCTTGCTTTACACATGCATAGATATGCATAGATTCTAAATAGATTAATAAAGCTCCTAAAACATTAAGTCATGAGAAGTGGACTTTTTTTTTTGATCATTTTAAAAAGCATAATTAGGCTGTTGTCACTTTAAGACATTATACACTGTTAATGTCTCTGAACCTCTCTGTTCTGCTGACATGAATATTCAGCGAGATTTTGAAACACAAGTTTGTATTTGACCGGTCCAGCTGCAGTGAGCTTAAAAAGTGAAGTGAATTTAGCTTTCAGACACTAAGGTGTCTCATTCTGACAGGTCACCTTCACATTACGTTAATTACTCATCAGACATGTTAAACTTTTTCTTTTCATTCATTAATGCGTCTTTGATGCTCTAATGTTTATAAAGTGCATAGATTTAACTGTCTGTTGATTGAAATTATGATTATATATTGTCTTTCCCTAGAGCTTATCCCCTGACAAGCTCTCCCCCTGGAATATAGAATTTAAAAACAAATCAATTTAGGGCCTATGAAAATCAATATCAAATCAGCCAGGTTTCTTTAATCATTAATTGAAAAATAGATCTTTGTGCTCAGCACTACAAGTTTCCATCCCAAAGTAGCTTCTGCAGCATTGTTTGAAATGCATCTCACCTAGAGTCTCACAGCTGGTGTTACGAGAGCACTGTCCACTGTCCTGATCCAGAGAGGACAGCTGTTCATCTGACTTGCTCAATATGCCGATGCTGCCACATGGGGACAGTCGTGGCGATTCTCCTCCATATGAGTGACTGCCTCCAGAAAAACGCCTTTGTAAGGCATCTGCTTCATACTCCTGAAAATAAGAACAGTCAACCTTGAGGGACTATCAAACATTAAATAAAGGGGAGTCTCATGTTGCTTTGGACCCAATGACTTTCATTTTATTGGTAAAAACAGTTCACATTTCCTTCAAAACATTTTTATGCTCCATGGAAAATGGGAGGATTAGTAAGAAATACAGTATCCTTTTAAAAATTGTCCCAGTTACTGATAACTGAGTGACCTTATAAAACATCAGATTTCTGATGAATTCGGAATGGTTACTTAAAAACAGCTCATGGGAAAAAGAATGTAAGACCTTGAGTCATAGCAGTTCAGAGTCATTTTCAGTTTCACAATCTTCTTACCCAAAACGGGTACTAATGAGGTTTAAAACCCTAATTTGTGATTTAGAACAAAATGTAAATATGAAGAAAATTTAAAAAAATATATATATAATACAAGATTCAAAAAAGAAAATTATATGTAATAGTAATTTAGTAGTTTAAAGTTGATCAATAATGTTTTTCAAAATTGTGTTAAGACAGGAACGGATGTTTTATATATACTTTTATAGTAATATAATACTATACAATGTACAATACAATGTTAAATTGTGACACAACGGTGACGTATGGAACACGGTTTCCGTGTCTAAGTCGCTACTCTTTTGAATTGAGAAAATGCTCATTTATGACCACTTTTTAGTCATATCACACATAAGTGAAGTTTCATAAACTAATTTCGAGAGGAGCATGTGATATGATTGTGCACCGCTGGCCACTCATCCATAATCAGTAATAATCCAATCAGAATGATCCTAGCTTAATATAAATGGATCACTTTCTCCTTATTGCTGTATCTTCGTTTTGGAAGAATCCCCCCTTCCACCCCATCTCCTCCTTTTTCTCCCCTTCTAAAGAGGGAGCGATCGAGACCTACCTGATCTCGGATTTCCTGATATGCTTCTAGACCGGGCGGGAGCCCTGGGCTCAAATATCTCCGAGCTCAGAGTTCTCTCCCGGGACAGCATGCCAAACCTGCTATAAATGCCAAGCATATCTAAGTGGGAACTCTTGAAAGCGAATTATATATAAAATCATGGTGTACACAACAGTCTCTGGGCTTGCTTCATCGAAAATACCAAAATTTTAACAATTTATAAAAAACGATTCACTTTCTGGCCATCTAATATTAGGCATGCATATATATTGCGATCATGATTTTCGAAAGTAATGCATCGCTTTGTAAACGTTTATTATTAGTATTTGATAAGTCTTCCTATTCAGTTTAATATAGCGCTTGGACCCGGAAGCCCTTTTGTGTGACGTCACACTTAGCAAGCCGATATACATTTTTTATAATGATTAAAAATGTAGTGTTTTAGACCCCAATGGCAATTTCAAGAAATAACACAAACATGACCTTAAACAATGACCTCTTATTTAAAGGTTCAGGACACCCTGGAGAACTTTTTTTTTATATTAACAGATGTGTGTGTGTTGAGCATCAGTTAAGACAATGTTAGCACCTGTCAGCTTTAATTGTGGGGAAAACTGGATAATTTTGAGCATTTGTAAGCTAATTTCAGCTTCCGGGTTTAAAATGATTTTTGGGGTGGGATCAAAATCGGCGACATAGCGCAGTACTGCAAGTGCAATAATGACGCGTTGGTTTCTCATTATTATTCATAGCGGAGTTTTCTTATCCTATGAGAAGAGCCGGCTGCTTAATTATTCATGAGACCTGCCAGACATGCCAGAGTCAAGCCCGAGCTGTTAGACACGTCACGGACCCACGGCACGGGCACACAGTATTTACCTGTTATGAAGGCTCATATGCGTTTGTTTCCATGATCCACGGGGTTTGTTCCATGTTTTCCCCCGCGATCTTGTCAGGGCCGATCATACAGCAAAGCTGTGTGTGTGCTGCTAGCATTTTTGTCGGGAGAGCAGCACGAGAATTAGAGAATGGCGGACACTGTCTTTCATCAGGAGTTCGTTCACATTCAGACACATCACTGTGCTGCTGTGTTTGCCTAAATTCTCCAGATTACCAGCAGGGCTAACGGTTAAAATAGACAGGTCAGGAGACCTGCTGCACTGAGTCTGCTGGATACGGGGCTTGAGGGAGAATCCTCATTTATAGGGTTTACATGAACACACTTATCTTTATAATGATATAAATTGTGGTTATGTGTATATGAAATTACGAATAACAAATGTAGCAGGGCATTAAATTACTGTTCATTTCTTTGCATTTTAACTTTGTAAACTATAAACTCATGCGTCTCCTCACGGTTTGACTGATTTTGTGAGCTACCTTCGTTCGCTCACGTTCTCCCCTGGTGGCCACGCCCACTCCTGCCCGATGCTCGCGGAGCTCCATGCCCATTAATCATGCATCTTTTGAAAAAAATCTGAAGTAGACTTTAACCGAAAGTGGGGGGTGTCATGGCCCTTTAAATACACTTCAGATGAATTACGAATGGTTATTAAAAAACACTTTTAAAAGGGACTATAAATTAGTCATTTAATGCAGAATTCAGACTGCAGGATTTTAGCCCCAATTTTCACTCGCCGACAGGTTTTGAAAAATCACAAATGCCTGAAATTACAAGCAAATAAGTGCTTGTTCATGTGAGTAACAATCACACAGTGTAAACTACCAAAGACGCGATCTGAGAAAATCGCGATGAGTTGCTGACACCTGTCTGATATTTGGCGTGCTAAATATTTGGAGCTGTCAAAGATTCAAATCATGCCGTGTAAAATGTGTTCTGATTGAAAATAACATTGGCAATCACCTACAGCCAATGAGAGAGCAGCATCCACTAGTATGGGTATCTTCAGGCCAGCGGGAAGGTTGGGGGGGAAGTTAAAAGGGCTCATTTTCAGTTTATTTGTACCCAAGAAATGGAGGAAAAACAAGTGGAAATTTGGCAGCAGCACACGTGTCTGTTTGACGTGTCTTGTGAGCATTATTACAACCATGTCAAAAAAGAAAAAAAGTTGAGGAGAAATTGCTTATTCCCTTTAAACCCAGGTGAGAAAATATGTACTTTTTCTACCCCATGAAAGGCCCAGATAATCATGCGGTGTGACAACATCTGTGACTTAACTACTTTGAAAATCCTGCTGTCTGTACTCAGCATAAGGCTTACATGAATTTCATAAGCTGCAGGATGAAGTGATGAAGCATCAAGATCAAATTCTCACCTGTCGACAGATACCAATGGGAAGACTTGATCCACTTGTGGTGCGACTCATTGGCGCAACCACAGCAATCCTGGTGGGAGACGGTGCCGACTGACGCTTCTTTGGAGGGAGAGCCGGTGGACTGCGAAGAGAGTGTTTGTGTGTCAAACTGATTAATTGTAGCCACTAATAAGTTTTATAAAAGCTGTCAAGCTTTCAAGCAGACACATTTTGAGTTAACAGTACACATGAAATCAAAACTAAGTTTTCAGATTACATCAGTCTGAGATAATGGGCGTGGTTAGCATACTTAACTACGCCCCAGTCAGTTATAACAACAAACAGAAATGGTGTTGAGGAGGAAGTGTCTATTAAGTTGTAATAACTTTCTCAAAACTCCTTTTCCAATGAAATGCCTACTTTACTACATCCAATCAGCTCGCTGTAGAAAAAAACAAGCCACGCCCACTGTTATCTCATTTAATGATCAGTTTCATAGGAACTGCGTCACAACACACACACACAGCTTCCGGTTCATGCAGACTTTAAGTAAGACCGTAAACAATCCTAAGTCATCAGGAGCATTTTTAGCAATGCGAAAGTGGAATCCAGCTCTGGAACCACAAAAACCACAACTTCATAAATCAGTCAGCCTGGTGAGCTGCTCCGTCGCCCCTAAAACAGCTGCTAGTAGTGAAGTCATGCAACCCAGCGACTAGCAGAAGAACTGACTCATAGTGAATGTAGAGTATATGTCTGGCTGACATTTGCAAATACTGATTATCTTCTGAATAACCAGTCTCAGCATGCCAGGTCAGATAGATTTTCTTGACGTATCAAATTGTTTCAGCAGGCGAGAGGCTTGGAATGAGATTAAATCAGGTTCTGGCTTTGAAAGAAAGCTATTAAACACCTGGAAGACCTGTCTTAGTCTTAACACGGTCATTTATTTGAGCGGTCTGATGGATGGAAACCAACTCAGGGCTACTGGTAAAAGGATAAGCCACAATATCAGCTGTGAGCTGAGCGAATTTGGCCATGAAAGCATCTACATGCCATTTCAGTGAGCTAACTGTGCTTCTGGGATGCTAGTGCTGCTCTGACCACTGCAAACAGGCAACAACAAAACTCATTAGCACTCCTTTAAAAATCTCCCTTTTACATCAACTTTTCCAAAATTCCATTAGACAGTTAGAATTTAACGTTTATCTTATTAAGCTTAAACCCATATTGTACTTGAGGAGATACACTTCAGCCAATGTAACAAAAAAGTGTTTTGGATGTTACCATGCTATTATTTTGTTTACCCCTTTAAAAAGTAATCAAAATCAGACTAAGAAATTTTCTGACATCAAAAATCACACAAGAACCAAATCAAAAAAATAAATAATAATATAATTTATCTTTCTGAATCTATATCTACTGCTTCATACATACTGAAGGTCCAAAAGTAATAAAAAAACTGTCAAAAAATTATAAAATAAATAAAATAGTAATAACATTTTTTTTTTAAAAAGGACAGTTCACCCAAAAAAAAAACAATCATCATTTTTCTCCCTCGAGTGGTTCCTGTCCAGTTTGAGTTTCTTTATTTTGTTGAACATAAAAGCAGACATTGTGAATAATGAAGGAAATCGGTGGCCAGTAGCTATGTTTCCATCCAAAGATGCAAATTAAAAGTACGTGCAAAAGAGGAATATCTCTTAAAAGACATGCGAATAAAGCAGCATTTATGTCCAACAAGTCAAAGAGAACAAAAGCGTCACTTCCTGATTAACTGGCACCAAATATCAACTTGGGTTGCACGGTTTACCGGTACTATGGTAGTATCATGATACTATGGCCCCAAACTGTCGGTGCTGCTGTAGTTTGTAAACGGTAGTATTATCTGTATATAATAAATATAAGTATTGTCATTACCGGTCTATCTACAATACATAATGTTACATGTGAAAAAGTCACTTAAATGCTCACACGCTTGTGCAACAATAAACCATTTTATTTTAATAGTCTGTGGAGCCCTTTAAGGTTGCACGTTTTCTGATGTTTCGAACGCACATATAAATCAGTTTATTTCTGTTTCTGTCAATATGATTTAGTAGCTACAACCACCGCGACTCACAAAGTGAAATTTGAAATTACTTTGGATTGTTACCTGATAAGACTGGGGGGAAAACAATAGATGGAAAACCCATAATAGCAACAGGAAACAATTTTTGACAACTTCATAGGGATTAATTGTGTTGGAAAAATGCTCTTTTTGTATCAAATTTCATTTGGTATAATTTGTATCTTCATTTTAAAGTGTCTTTTGTTGGTCAGTTATCTAAAAAAATGAACAAAAAGATCTAATGGATTTTAGTTAAAGTGATGTGCAAATAATACTTTTTTCAGTAATAAGAGACTTATGAATTAACTTCAAGTAGGCCAACTGTAACATTTTAAATATAGTATTTCTGACCAATTTCTTTATAATTTGAGTTATGACTAAAAGTATCGCAATGTAACTTGGTATCGTGATACTTCAGCTGGTATAGTATCATAATGTGAATAGCGACAAACCTAATCTCAACAGAATAACAGAATTTGTTGCTGCAGGAGAAGCTGCGTGAATCTTTTCTTTATTTAATAAATGACTTGCGCCTCAGAAGACAGCATGTCGATGTACACGCAGTGGCGTTTGAAGGCGTAAGATGCAGAGCACAGACGCTCTAGACAGTTCTGGAGGTCATTAATAATATAATAACACTAATACTGAAATGGTTACGGCATTTAAGAATGACCAAAACAAAATTTCAGATGTTTTACAGTGTGCTTAGCCTGCTGGTTTGTTCATTCACACACATTTTCATCACCACATGATCTCTTGTAACAAAATTACATGACCTTTTTTAATGCGCATACTGGAATTTGTTCAGTAAAAGCGTTTCTATCGTAGTTTATGCGCATCTTTTCTTATCAAATAAAAAGTTTATTCTACTCAGTTATGTGCATTTTGTATGCGCATTTTCCAAACAGATTCGTATCATGGCGTTTCCATCAACCATTTTGTTATGTGCATATCCTAAATGCTCATAAAATAGGTGGATGAAAATGGTACTACTGGCTACAATGCTAGAAAAAGTAAATACCAAGGCAGTCAATGGTTCCCGATTTCCAACATTGTTCAAAATATATAATTTTGTGTTTAACAGAAGAAGAAACTCAGACTGCTTGAGTGAGCATAAAAGATTTTTCGTTCTTGGGTGAACTATTCACTTAAAAATGAAGACCAAAAAACATTTGATAAAAAATTATGGAAGATTTGTTCTCTCACTAATAATATTCATTTTTATTATGCATTTTTGAGTCTTGTTGAACTCTGATGGTTAATTAAGTTGATAATAAATGATGTAATATGTCTTTTAAAGTATTTCCATGGGAAATTTGATTGCTGTAATAGAGTAAATATGTACACAAAAATGTGTTGCTAAAACACTTCAACAAAAATTCATGTGGTTGAGATGTTTTAAACCACAATACAACTTTGACTTCATGTTCTTATTAATTTAGCATGTCTATTTAAAAAATCAGCTTGCTGTAAGAGCAAGATAAATGCTGCTTTAGTTCAGTTTCATATTAATGTGAGCTAAATGGACAGTTTACACAAAAATGAAACATTTCTGTTTATTTACTCACCCTAAGGCCGTCTAAATGTATTTTTAGTTAAACATGATTCCACTTACTTACTTACTAACTTACTTACCTACTTACCTACCTACCTACCTGCCTGCCTGCCTGCCTGCCTACCTACCTACCTACCTTAATTAGTTAGTTAGTTAGTTTGTGTCTACTTTGGTGCATTACAAGTACAGAAATTTGTATAATTACAATTACTATAACCGAGGTATTAAAACAGCGAGGTTGTTTATGGGAAAATGCCTTTTGTCCTTATAATTCAAAATGCAACTTAATGGTGTCTTTTGACATTCGAAATTTGCCAAAAGTTTCCTGTGAGGGTTAGGTTTATGGGTAACGGTGGGGTAAATCAAAGTCAAGTTAAAGTCAGCTTTACTGTCAATTTAACCACAAGTACAGGAGAATCAAAGTTGAGTTACTGTCAGACCCTAGGTGCATCGCAGATAATATTAATACGAAAAGTAGAATTTTAAAAAGAAATAACAATAGATACACTTACACATACAATATAATCTAAAAATATAGGTAAAAATTCAAAACAATGCAATTACATATTAGTGCACATGGCAAAGAGTGCAAACCAGAGTTGTGTTTTTTCTGTATAAATTACATTACACCAATGGAGAGTCCTTGTAAACCACCAATACCAACATTTAAAGGGCACCTATTTACCCCTTTTTTAAGATTTAAGGATGCTTCTGTGGTTCAGTTCATTTAGTCCAGACAAAGGGCAACACATGATACATTGAAGCATTTTTCTGACATTTTGGGTCCTTTTCACACCACACTGATTGCTTTGATCCAAAATAGATGAAAAGAACCAAAATGCAGTCATGTGACAAAATCCATATCACTCATTGGCCAGATGTTATTTCCTAAACTGCTTTTCGATTGGTCAGAATTAATGTACCGGAAAATGCCAATGGAACTCCCACAAGTAAAAAACCAGCAGACACTTTTCACTATGGAGGGACGACTGCGCTGGCTGATTGTATCCCTGGTCATAGTATACTATTTAGTTTGTATACATCACTTTAGACAAACTATATCTTTCGAGAATGAAGCACGGCTGCAAATGGCGAAAGCACATCGCAAGTCACTTCTGGAGGAGGCCTGAATTAATTTAGCTAATATGGTCATCTTCCAGGAATATTACCAACGATCTATCAGGTGGTGTTTTCCCTCTCACTCTCTTAGTTTAAATTTGTTAGTAAAGCGCTGTCAACAAATATTTTTCCTCTGCATCCCATAATGCACTGGATTGGACTACGGCAGCTGGATTAGTCCAAAAAGTCTTTTGTGTCTCCAGAATGTTCTGTAAAGTTTCTGCTCATTTATTATACCTTTCAGAATACTGGAATTTTCTGCTCTGAACACAAAGTAGCTGTTTTTGATGCCTGTGCCTTTAATGCTAGTTCTCCCTAGCCACCGTTTCCACGTGCCTGTCAGAGTGTGCCCCAATCTCCATTTTGGCTGCATCAGATAAACAGCACAGTGACGGGCATAAAGGAAGTAGTTACCACGTAACGTTGAAAGACATTTTACAGTAAGAACTTTCCCATTGATTATTTGATGTATGTGTTGTGGAGTTAATTCAAGCCTTTCTGCAATGACGAGTCACACACAATGTCGTTACAAAGTTTAAAGTTCTTTGGACGGCAAATGTGACAGGATACGCGCCAATATCCTCTGCTGTAGGGACATCTTTTATGCTAATGTACAAAATAAACCTGATTTAACGTCCACAAACCGCGATTGAAGCTTCTTCTTTTATAATTGTACTGAAATGCAGCTGTGGTAATGATGTACAGTGATTTTATATTTCTTTATTTTATAACTGCTTTAAAAACATTTTAAACTTGTAAAACTCATTCTTGATCACATTTGATGATGGTTGATGATCACAGAGCGCTCAATAGATCTTTTAATCCTGGTTGCTTTGCGCACGTCCTGTCTTGTTGATATAATTATACACGTTACTGCGGAGACATGTTAATACGCAGCTGTCAAATGATTTGGTGGGTGGGGAAACCGCACATCTATGTCACATTGTGATGGGCCTTGAAATTGAAGGGATTTGGATCCTATTTTAATGCCAGGAAATTTAAAATAAGAGATTGTCTTTATATGACTCCAATATGACTGTGGACACACAATACCTACACACAATTCTGTCCAAACAGCTTACAAAAGATGATTTTCATCATAGGTGTCATTAAGATAGGACGAAATGAAGGGATCATGTGGAACCCAGCATTTTTCACAGTGAATCAAGTTGGCTCTAGTTTATATCCCTCCAAATTAAAACAAAAAAACAACAGCAGCAGCAGCAATCGAACCAAGCTGTAGAGTGAACAGACCAGGTGGCAGGATAAACTTGGCATCAAATTAATCCCCAACAAAAAGCTCACATATCAGAGACACAGACTGGAAGCAGGCCAATATGGAAATGCCAGCAAATAATTCAAGGCACAAAGTGAACTCTCTTTTATGCCAGCAGCACAACTTAATCCTCTCGTCTAGACTTGGTATCAGAATATCTCTTCTCGCCGCTTCTCTCTCTCTATCTTCCAGTCTTCGGATCAGAACTGACACCGTTCAGTTCATTTCTCAGAAAACAGCCCATATGTCAATGACTCTCTGCAAGAGGAAGCAGAGTCTTCGGTGTTGCTGCTGCACCCTACAAAGGCCTAAATTCTCAAGAATACCACTATTTATATCTCTCCTTCACACCTTTTTTGTTCAGGCCTCCCACAAACCATGATGGGTCTGTGCAGTCATCTGTAGCCAAGCACAGCACCGTACTTTAAAATAGAAACGACATGTTGCTGCAAACTGCATCACCTGTGATATCTAGATGTTTACTGCATGCAAACCTGATGAGATGGCATGTTATGATAACACAGCCTACTTCACGGTTTCTTTTATAAACTGCTTGCTTTGTGCAGTACCGTCTTTCATACTATCACACTCATAGTTTTTCCACTTCATAAAGCTTGTAAATGTTGTAAACAGCAGTATCAGTTGGGCCTGGCACTTTCTGCTGTTTTCTATAAGGGTTTGAAATGATGTAGGCTTATAAATCTGGGATATATCTTATCGCAGTTTAAACCCCAGATTCCAATAAATTCGAGTAAAAAAAAAAAAAACTTAAATAACAAACATTTTCAAATATACACCATGTCTCAAAAAATCCAAGCAAAATAAACTGTCAGAATTTCATCAAAGTACCTCCAATTTTAAATATCTTTTGTAATTAGCAAAATTCTAAAAATTCTGGCAAATTCATAAAATTAGATGATATGTTTATACGTTTTCCACCTTACCTGATTTATATCACCGCATTACCTTGTTAAACAATGACTTTGTTTACATGGACATCAGTAATCGAATAATTTGCCTATATATTTTTATTTGTCAGAATAAGACAATAATACGCTTAAGGTGTTTACATGAGTTGCTTTTCGAATGTTTATTTCTTGATGCCATTTTACATGTTATAACACTTAATTCGGTTAACGTTATTGCGTACCCTCGCTATCCACATTTCATGTTACATGTACATTTCGAGTTACATGTAATTTCGGGTGTTTCATTTTTCGACTTTAACTGCAGTTCGGCAGTTTCACTTTCATTCAGGAACATTGCATGGCTGTCCCCTGTGACAAACGAGATATTGGATGCAAGTATGAACTGCTGGAGGAGTGTTTGTTTTAATGGAATTTGATACCGCACGCTATATGGAGATAAAAAAAACAGCATTTAGTGATGGGGGTGTCTGTGGTCCTTCACTGTCTCGGTAGATGCAGAGAATATTGTCAAAACCGCTGTGCGTGTATAGACTATCCAGTCGCAAAATGCGGTGAAAATCCTCACACATCTCAGAAAGTTTTGTTTTAAGGCTTCTTTCCCCAATTGTGCAAATAAACAGGTGTTGCACATTTACGCAGCCAAACTTAAAAAAATAAAATACTAATGATATTTTTAATTGTTTAACTGATACCATAAATTGGTTAGAAAAGCACCCTTTTGGTTAACGGTTAATCGGTTATTATGAGCATCCCTGCAGTACATAATATTTTACTAGATGTTTTTCAAGATACTAGCTAAAAGTGCCATTTAAAGTCTTAACTAGGTTAATTAGGCAAGTCAGGATAAGCTGGCAAGTCATTGCATAACGATGGTTTGTTCTGTAGAAAAAAACCTTTGCTTAAAACGCTAATAATACTGACCTTAAAATGGGGTTGAAAAAATGTTAAAACTCTGTTTATGTGGCGAAAATAAACCATAAGACTTTCTCCAGAAGAAAAAATATTACTGGAAATACTGTGAAAAAATCCTGCCTCTGCGAAACATAATTTGGAAAATATTTGAAAGAGGAAAAAAAATGAAATCACTTATTGTTTTTGAAAATGTTATTGTGGTGAAAGTCAAGTAAAGCTTACGTACCAGTGTTGTTCAGGCACTTTGAGTCCAGGTAGAGGGGGTTTCGGAGGGGCTACTTCCTCCTCAGGTACATCATTTGGGGTCTCAATGTTCTCAGCTGGGGCAGGGCTGTCATTCAAGATGGGTTCCTTCGTCTCAATGACAGGGGGCTCAGGGACACTGCCATAATAATGTGGTAAAAATGAATAACAGTATTAGTGCTGACACATCACAATACACAGCATGTACAGGTGGATTTTATCCATATTATTTGTATTTAAAAAGAAAGTTCACCAAAAAAATTAACATTATGTAATTTACTCATCACTTGTTCCAAACCTTTATTATTTTATTTCTTTATTAAATATATTATTAAGAAAAATGAAAACCTGAATCCATTAAATTCCATAGTATAAAACAAATATGATGGCAGTCAATGGTTACAGGTTTCCAACAATCTTCAAAGTATCTTCTTTTGTGTTTAATGGAAGACAGAAAGTCAAACAGGTTTGGAACAAGTGAAGTGTGAGTAAACAATGACAAAAATTAATTTTGGGGTAAATTAACCCTTTAATTAAACACTTTTTTTTATGGAAAGTTCACAACATTTTTTTTAAATGTAGTTATTTTTCCAGTGCTGTATTTTCATTTTGTATGAAATAATTCCAAGCACAATGTTCATTAGCATAATTCTTTTTATATACCGCTGTGGGCTGGCAACTGGAGGAATGGTTTTGACAGGTGTCGTAGGTGAAGGGTGCTCCTGCTTCTCAATGGCAACTTTAACCAGCTCCTGCAGGAAACCACAGAAGCATCAACTAAAAACAAAGCCTGTGGCTAAATCCAGCTGGATTATGGGTGGAGAATAAATCGACACATCAGCAGCATGTCAAAAACAAGCCCTGACAGAGTTCTACAGAACATCAATACCTTTACACCATCCAGCACTGCTTTGATCACATTTGTGACTGTTGTTATTGTGTCTTTATCTTCCAAATTCACACCCTCCAGCATTACTTGGTCCGACCAGCGAATGAGGTTTGCAAGGCTTTGATAGAGTCGGTTGAGACAGGAGGACACCCTTGAACTGAAGACAAAAGGAAAAGGAAGTCAAATAAGCATTGAATACAAAAAGCAATAAGATTAGAGACGCTTAAAAACATTTTACCTGCTCAGTATCTTGCTATCTAGTTGTACCAAGCCTGTGACAGCCTCCAAAACTTTACTAGCAGAACCAGGAAGCATTTCTAACACCTTCTTGTCCACCGCCATCTTGTCAATAATGGTCTTGAAGTACCGCAAGGCGCTGACCACTTCTTTCTCATGCTCCTCTAATCGACTCAGACTCTAATGTGGTCAAAAAACGTTACCAAGAATGTCACTGACAAGTAAAACATAACTACATGTTTATTTGGTTTTAGACCTGCCATGTTTTCAGACAACTAAAAAATCTACTCCATACCTTAGTTACAGTTTTCTCTGGGGACTTTACGGGTTGTTCTGGTGGTGGTTTGGACTTTTTGTTTGATGGTGTCCTCTTGATTTTGGGAGAGTGGAATTTGTCCTTTAGTTTCATGGTGAAGGATGTCAAGTGGGAGCGCTGGGACTCTAAAGGAAGATAAAAATGAAGTTCATTTCCTCAGGGTTATTAAAATACAAAGAATTTTTGGGGTGAATTCAATTAACGTATAATTTTGCACAACATGACTATAATCTAAATTCACACTCATTTTGCATAAATCCCATTCATAAATGTACTCATTTCGGAATACACAATTCTGGTCATACTGAATAGGGTTGGGCTGATAAAACGGGATCGGTATTTATTGACCGAACACCATTGTCAATATCGATAATAAAAAAAAATGTAAGTTTGAAGTTTCGGTATGAAGTGCTAAAATTTTATCAAAACGCGGCTGCAGAGCACGCGCCTTGGAAGCAATACCAGTAAGCTTAGGGTGTAAGTTTGTCATTTCCAATGAAGGTGTGCGTGCAACGTGCAAGTGGAGTACTCGCAACACGCTTGCATTTTCCAGGTACACTTAGTTGAAAAACATCTGAACGTTTCCGAATGCCCCGAGTGTACCACAATTCATGCAAGTAAAACTAACCAATCTGCTTCACCCGTTGTATGGAATATAAACATTTCAGTAAAGGCAGACTATTTGCCTCAGACAAACACAGCGCACACAAACACTGCAGTGCTGTTTACTTTTCTCAATAAATTTGCATCAGAATGGCAGCAATGGTTTTTCCGTTTATCATACTCTGAGATGAGAGGTGGCATAGTTTACGAGAGACGCCATAGAAAATGGTAAAGGAAAGCACACACACACTTGTCATTTCAGGTCAGAATAACAAAACACGCAAAAATGATTGCCATATAGCAGCAGTAAGTAAACTGAAAAAAAAGGATGTAAGGATGTCGCCAGAGTGGCTTTTTGGTTTCTTTTCTTGTGCATCCCAGCTACTAGTTCCCCATCTGAAAGAGTTTTTAGCAAGGTGGTAATATAGTAATTCAACTTCAAAATTTGTTATGTTGCAGTGTGTATTTGAATAATAATGATTAATTCCTTTATTTGAAAGCTCAGATTTGATTATTAAAACTTGTGTTGCTGGCAGAGTTGACACCTTACAAATGTTGATCTACCTTTACCATTGCATACACTTTGTAACATTTTATTTATCAAGTTTAAGAGTCTCTTTAACACTTAATTTTCTTTTGTTATAAAGAGATCAGATATTTAAATTGCCTAAATATATATTTTTGACAATTAAAACTATTTGCCTTGGTAATATTGGTAAATTAAAATAAAGTGAGTAAAAAAATAAAAATCCTAATATTCCTAAATGTATGGTTAAAAAATATTCAATAATTATCGATATCAAATTATATGAAACAGGATATCATTATCATTTAAAATATCGCCCAGCCCTTATATTGAAACAGAGTTAAATTTTTTTTCCGAATTTTTATTTGTATTATTTTTGTTTTAGTGATTTCTTCATGTTTTGCAGCCATTATTTAATAATTATTTTACCACTAATTAAACTTATCCCATTAAAATAAGCTGCCATGGCAACAATTCTACTTTTTGTTCAGGTAAAGTTCTTACATCTAATATTTATAATGCATTATATCTTTATTACAATATGCCAAATGGTTCTACCCAGGTAGCAAGGGATTCTGGCCCAGATTAAAAAAAAAAGGTTTTGACATTTAAGTAAAGTAATAATGTTACACTGAAAATAAATTACAGAACAATGAATACATAAATAAAAATAAGAACTAAAAATAGTCTCGGTGTACAAGCTCAGAACTTGAAACCATCGCACAGTTGGCATAACTTTGTTAAGTTGCAGCACTTTTGTTCCGTGCAGAAACGCGGTGTTGAGAAGCCTTTATGATTAATTAAATGTGACGAATTAACGCACGATTAATAGTGAAATTGGATAATCGTTGCATTCCTAGATGGCACCGTCTTTAAGGCAGCACACAAGACATGGGCCAGATGTTAAATGTAGTATTTGGCCCAGATGGTAAATATTGATATGTGGGCCATGCAAGTTACAAATACATTTAAATTATTATTTGAGTAAAGAAATATTTTAATACACAAAGTTATTTCCATCTTCCTGTTTGCATCTTCTAATGCCTTCATTTTAACCAAGGAGTCAATCAATATTTAATTATTTGAAATATTAAACTATTGTTTAATGCATGTTGCAAATTAACTGAATTTAACCTACATTAGATATATTTTATCAACCAAATTATTATTTTACAAATTATATTATTATTATTAACCATTACCATTATTATAGCGCCTAAAGCGCAATGCTTCGTGGGTTTATCAATTTCACTGCAGTTGTGACACACCAAGCCTGGCTTCCAAACAATGGCCAAACATGGGCCATATCTGGCCCAGTTATAGGTTATTAACTAGGCTGAGACTTGGCCCAGATATGGTCCATGTTTGGTCCTTGTCTGGAGGCCAGACTTGGACCATTTATATACCATAAATCACTGCGGCATGTGGGCCAAGAAAAAGCTGATTGTGTGGGCCAGAGATTTTTTACTATGTGGGTATTTTAAACCATTCTAGTTCACTGTGATATTATTTCACACCAACCTTATTCTGTATCTTGTAAAAAAATATACAAGATGAAATGCAGGCCTTGGTGTACAATAAAATTGTCTTGAGCTACAAACTGTATTGGTCACAGTTGGACTTAGTGCTCTCTTGGAGCGTGGCGCTCTGCAACGAATTATGGTGATGACACTATTGTGCAGGCCAACAAACCATTTAGGGGCTATTCATCCTTACACACATAAAGGAATGAAGTGCTCTGGGCTTGTGAGGATGCTCTGTGAATTTTCATAAACATACAACACAGAATATTCTACTATAAAAAGTCAGATGAGTGCGTTTAATGGGGTTGTGTCAGGATGTTTGACTCATGTGAATATACAAGCTTTGAAGGCTGGGTGTGAGCAGATTAGCACATAAGTACATGAGACATGAAGAGAATCACATATCAAAGACAGAAGCTCGTTTTTGTTATGTTGATGCATTTCCTTTTAAAACAGGAAACGGGGGCAGGATCAAATGGTTTCAAAAACATTTAACAGCCTATGAGCTTAGTTGAAATATAAATCATGAATATGATTTACCAAATGCTGTTGCTAGTCAGAAACAACCGATTTAGGCATAAAATACATTCCCAATGTTTACACAATCAAACATTTAGGTAAGAGGAGCCTAAAAATAGCTTAAAAATGTAACTCACTAAGCGCTAAAATGAGAGTAAAAGTGTTGGCGAGAATGTAAACAAACAGTGTTACTCTGCAGTTTGCTGGTAAACTTTTAAAAATGTATTATAGCAATGCCTGAAAATACAATATGGCAACTTTAACATAATCATAAAGACAGTAGAAGTAGCTTATGCTTTCATCACATTTACTTTTTTACAAAGTACCGCTCGTAATGAAACTCCCCTTTTCGTGCAAACCCTTCCCTCTTTTGCCACTTGACACTCTCACTTAAACAAAGCTGAACTCAACCACTTTTAAGGGTGTCACGATCCTCCAAATCCTCGATTCGATTACATTTTCGATTCTAAAGTCACGGTTCGGTTTTCGATTATGACTAATTAATTAATTAATAACTAATTATTTATTTGTAGCCTACCGTTTAAACTACCCGACCCGCATGGTCTTTGCTTTACCCATAGACAAATCATACAGTAAATGAATAAAGGCAAGATACACACATAATTACCACCTGTCAATCACTTTTTCTACGGGACTCGTGAATAGGCAGTGATCTGTGTCGTTATAATGGCGTCTGTAAAAAAGGTGCACAACCAACAGGAACCAGCCAACAGTATCTGAGGTGTTCGCTAAAATGACCAAGTGTGAAAGTGAAAGATTGAAGCAGTCTACTGACCCGCTGTCTCGAGCGCATGAATGTGTGTGCCTCAGTGTCTGTGGTCACGTGATGTGTGTTTTTAGCGGAAGTGAGGAAGGAGGGCTGCTCAGAAATGCTACACGCAAGTGTGGATGTAGATCGTTGTTGTTCTAAAATGCCATTAAAAAGCAAAGACCTATTAGTGTAAACAGGGCCTGAGTGAGTATTTTTCGTGAGCAGATTTGCAACAGGGGCGAGGCAGAGGATTGCGATGCGCCCATCGTCTATCAGCCCAACCATAAATACAAAGCAGAGCTTGCAAACTGTGTTTTTTTGTCGACAACACGAATGTTGTCAACATAACTCACTGGAAATCCAAAATACTTCCACACCGGCGACTTTATTGAAAGAGGAGAGGGTTTAAGCTCTGTCGACGGGTCTCCTCGACTGCACTTCACTTCAACAAGCTTGTTTTTTTCCCGCTTGGCAAGCCAAGCTGACGTGACATGGGGACATGGCAGCATCGACGATTCTATTTTTTGATTCGATAATCAAAATTGAGCATAAATTTCAATCGATTTCGATTTAAAAAATCGTGACACCCTTAACCACTTTCCTGACTTTTTATAAACTAGAGGGGGGAAAACCCTGCTGAGAGAAAAAAAAGTACATTTCTAAAGTCGTTGGCCATTGGCAGGTGGAGTAAAATATATTTTTAAGGTCGTGTGGGTGACAAAAACATTTACAAAACAAACATCTATAAATAATATTTTTTTAAATTAATAAACCAACCTTAAATAACAAAACGAAATAAAAAAAAAAACGGCAGGAAGTACAGAACCTGATACAGTTTACTGAAAGTTAATACATTCAAATATGTGCAGGAGAGTAATTACTCTGTGGAAGTGCAAGTCTTATCTGTATTATTTTATCTCACAGTAACTGATGTGACTGCTAATCTGAACAGGTTAAATTGCCCATGAGAGCCAACTTCCTGAATGACTGTCTAAGAAAACGCGGCACTCTGCTAATGAAAACACGCCAAACCAATGAGGTGTGCTTTCGCCTTTAGAGGATGTGATCTTTCCATCCGCTACTCACATATGTAGTGGGAAGTGCTGTACCCTAATTCAGATCCTCTTTTTAAGCATATCCTCTTCTGAAACTAACAAAATAATCAACCACAACCTCTGAACA